ATTATGGTGAAGCTAATGTTGCATCTGGGTAGCGTTGGGTCATCACGGGCCGGGGTTTCTGTACAATCGTGTTGTTTCTTTGCATAGGGGCTTGTCTGAAGATCTTTCAGCATTAAAACAGTTAATCCTTCTCGTTCCTCCTCTCTTTTATTTGGAGCACTCTAGCAGCAGGGAGAGGGCTCCAAAGGACTTTGGAACAGCACTCCCAAGCTAGGGCTCTCTCGATGCTTTAGGCAAATGCACGGGGAGAATGCTATCAATGGATACTAGCCACAATGGGCATGTTCTCCCCCCACTGCCAGAGGTGTCATGCCTCTGAATGCCTGTTGCTGGGAATCGTAGGCTGGCGAAGCTAAACATACCCAGCTCCTTCAACCGTTCCTCATATGGCTTGGTTACCTGACCTTTGTTTGTCTTGGTTGCCCTCCTCTGCAACACCTTCCAGCTGGTCAACATCCTTCTTAGATTGTGGTGCCCAGAACTGGACACTGGACTCTAGGTGGGGTCTGACCAAGGCCAATAGAGTGGGACTATTACTTCACTGAGCACTAAACTTCTGTTGATGCAGCTGAGAATAGCATGATAGAATAGAGGGACACGGGTGGTGCTGTGGTCTAAACCACTGAGCCTCTTGGGCTTGCTGATCAGAAGGTCGGCGTTTCGAATCCACATGACGGGGTGAGCTCCCGTTGCTCTCTCCCAGCTCCTCCCAACCTAGCAGTTCAAAAGCATGCCAGTGCAAGTAAATAGGTACCGCTGTGGGGGGAAGGAAAATGGTGTTTCTGTGCGCTCTGGCACTCATCACGGTCCTCCGTGCGCCAATAGCGGCTTAGTCCTGCTGGCCACATGACCCGGAAAGCTGTCTGTGGACAAACGCTGGCTCCTTCAGTCTGAAAGCGAGATGAGCGCAACAACCCCATAGTCACCTTTGACAGGACTTAACCATCCAGGGGTCCTTTACCTTTTACCTAGAATAGCATTAGCTTTTGTTTATTTTTTGCTGTTGCCACTGCTGCTGCATCATCACACTGTTGACCTATGCTAAGCTACTGGTCTACTACGACCCCTAGAACAGTTTCACATGTACTACTGGCAAACCAGGTGTCCGCCATCTTATATTTGTGCAGCTGGTTCTTCCTTCCTCAGTGTACAACTTTGCATTTGTCCCTGTTGAAATTCATTTTGTTAGTTTGTTTTTTCCTCAATTTTTTTTATTGATTTTCAACGTTTTCAACATCACATAAACAGATAAAAACATAAAAACACTCAACAAAGCTAACATAGCAATAAACTAAACACATACAAAAAAGATTTGTTCTTCTAGCACCCAACTTCTTCACATTAATAGGTGACTTCCTTGAATCCCTTCTAACTGAATTTCATTATATCACTTTTATAACAGTTCTCCAAATTCATATTTCTAATAATATTAACTCCTTTCATTTACTAACCTCTTCTCCTTTACTATTATTCTAATCCTTAATACTTACTAACACCTTTCCCTATTCTACCCCTAAGCCTATTTGATACTTCCAAGGATTTTCTATTTATCTTATACCACAATATTTAGCTAAATATTCTTTAAATTTCATCCAGTCCTCTTGTGTCTCCTCTTCTTTCTGATCGTGGATTCTTCCAGTCAGGTCGGCTAGCTCCAAAAGTCCATCATCTTCATCTGCCATTCCTCATTTTGTTAGTTTGGTCCCGGTTCTCCAATCTGTTACCGTCATCTTGAACCCCGATTCTGTCTTCTGAGGCATTAGCTATCCCTCCGAGTTTGGTATCATTGTCAGATTTGATGAGCATCCCCTCAATACCTTTGTCCAAATTATTTATAAAGACGCCGAACAATGGGTCCAGGAGAGAAGCCTTCAGCACCCTACTTATCACTTTCCCCCAGGGTGACGAGGGAACATTATCCTGATTTCTGCTTTGTGCGTGACTGGAGCCTTGTTTCCAGAACCCCAGGTGCCATTTGCTCCCATAGATTGTATCTCATATCATCTCATTTGCTCTGTGTTCCTTGATCTCTGGGGAGGCACCATGGCGAAACCCAACCTCCTGGCTCCCCGTGAAGGGCAAAGAAATCGGGCCCAGCAAAGGAAGCAGGAGACCAAGGCTGTCGATGACTAATGGGACGAAGAAACAAGACCCCTCTCTCAGCTACAGACCATCCATTAGTGAATTATGGATTCTGATGAGATTACCCAAGTTATTCTGGGCTGCCGGGAGCAGAAAACAGATCGCTCCTTGCCGCTTCTGGGAGACAAATTTATTTTCTCAAGTGTGGTGGGGTGGCATGTGGTTGCACAAAGCACATTTCGGTGACTGGCTGCAGAGGCAGACCGTCGTCACAACAACGCTTGACATGGGGGCATTTTTATAGACTAATTGGAACGGTAGAGTTGGAAGGGAGCCTGAAGGTCATCGAGTCCAACCCCTTCAATGCAGGGGTCACAGCTAAAGCTATGGGATGTATGGTAATCCACTGGGTGTGAGATTTGACCAGCTCTGGCCCATCTGAAGCTGGTACAGGCTCGTCTTATCTTGAGCCCAAGCAGAGTGTAGTCCCGCAACGAAAGGATAAGCAGGTAATGTGCCACATGCTGAAGTTTATTTACAAGCTATGCTGAGAGCATACAAACACACATCTTGCCTCTGTGAGAGCAGAGAAGCAACTCCTCTCGACACAAAGAAACCGAAAGAACACTGAAAAACAGGAAACCAGTGTACGTCACATCCAGTCTCCCGTTCCCATGGGAACCCAACAGTAACTCTGAACTGTGGAATGTAAAAATTGTCTTGTGACAAGCATTTTGCTGCTCAGTAAGGGAAATAGAAACCAACACTGGGAGCAGTCAAGTACAACATTCCTTGTAATGCTAGAGAAGACATGCGAGGGAATGTTTGGTCCAGCCAGTCGAAACTTCCTGTTCTTCCTGGCTGGATCATCCTTTCTTTTGCATGTGATAGGTGGGCGTGACCTTACCTGTCCAGGTAACAAAAGGAGTCACGCAGCACACCTCTCTCTTTTTCACTTCCTTCTTTGTTGGACTAGCTTCTAGCTAGGACTGCTTTGCTAGCTCTCAGCTTTCAGAAGCACTGGGATTATTCCCCCATATAATAATAATAATAATAATAATAATATTATTACTGGACGGCTTCCAACAAAACACTAAAATACAATAAACTATTAAACATTAAAAGCTTCCCTAAACAGGGCTGCCTTCAGATGTGTTCTTAAAGTTTGGTAGTTATTTTTCTCTTTGACATCTGGTGAGAGGTGTTCCACAGGGCGGGTTCCACTACCTAGAAGGCCCTCTGCCTAGTTCCCTGTAACTTGGCTTCCTGAAGTGAGGGGACCGCCAGAAGGCCCTCAGAGCTGGACCTCAGTGTCGGGGAAGAACGATGGAGGTGGTCTCGCGGCCGCTCCCAGTCACCAGTCTTCAAAGGTAGCCCCACATAGAGGGCATTGAAGTCCAAGCGAGAGATAACTAGAGCATGCACCACTCTGGCAAGACAGTGTGCGGGCAGGAAGGGTCTCATCCTGCGTACCAGGTGGAGCTGGTAGACAGCTGCCCTGGACACGGAATTGACCTGCGCCTCCATGGTCAGCTGTGACTCCAAAATGACTCCCAGGCTGCGCCCCTGGTCCTTCAGGGGCACCTCTGCTGGTTCTTAGGTCTTGCTTGCCATAGCTCAGTTTAACCAACCGAGTGTGATGTTTACAGTGCTAAGGTTGCAGGTTTAGCTGCTGGAATGATGCGTATGGAGCCGGGGGGGGGGATGCATTTTGTGTTTACATCTTATATTTTTATGCTGTGAACCATTCTGAGATCTATGGAAGAAGGGCAGTATGCAAATTTAATAAATGACGAAATTGGTAGTAATAATACCGTAATAAACAGCGCTTTTTTCTGGAAAAAAAGTGGAGGAACTCACCACAAGGTTCATGCAGCGACTAAATGTGTGATGAATAAACTCAAGCAGGTAACGATCTGAATTAGAAATGACCACTACAGATATAGTGGGGCCTTTTCAGCACTGGCCCCGACTTGGTGGAACGCTCTGTCACAAGAAACTAGTGCCCTGCGGGACTTGACATCTTTCTGCAGGGCCTGCAAGACAGAGCTGTTCCACCTGGCCTTTGGTTTGGACTCAGTCTGACCCTTTTGTTTCCCTCCCCTCATGGTCTTGGATTTATTGGCTACTTTTAAAATGAGACTGCATTTTAAATTGCATTTTAACCTGTATTTTAACTTGGGGTTGTTGTTTTTTCCTTTTCCCCCTATTATGTTTTTACTGTGATTTTATTGGTGTTCAGCCGCCCTGAGGGTGGGGTATAAATAAAATTTATTATTTTTTATTTAATTATTATTATAGGTGGCTTTTTGGCTCAGGCATTGGGTGCATATCCTGTTTCAGCCCTTCCGGGTGGTGTTGGTGCAGGAATTATTTAATTTAGAAAAGGCAAGGGAGAACTCAGTTCCCCCATGTTCCTGCTCAAACAACCCCCGCCCCCGATGATAAAATATACAACAACAACAGCAACAACAACAACAACAACTGACTTATCCAGCCTGGCTTTGTTTGGACCCCGCGAAGCGCCCTGCGGCAGAAGGTGCAGTAACAGAGCGGGGACGCTCCCGGCCGGCAGATCAACGCGGAAAAGAGTCCGGGGTTGTTGTACTGTCTTGTCCTTTTCGCATCCCGCGCGCTCCATTCCCACGTGCAGCCGCACACGCGAACGGCCCCGCCCCGCCCTGCAACATCTCCCGCCTTTGCCATTGGCCGAGCCTTTCCCGCCTCGGCCCCGCCCCACGCTCTAAAGGGCGGTCCGCCCCGCCCCTGCCCCGCCCTCTCGCCCCACCCCCGCCTTTCCTCCGGGCCCCGCCTCCGCCGCCCCGTTCCCCCGCCCGCCATTGGCCGAAGGGCCTCTCGGCGGCGGCCAATCGGGAAGAGCCTCGCCCTCTTTGTTGCCCGGGCCAATGAGCGGCGGCGAGGGCGGGGCGTCTCCGAGCTCCGGTTCTCCGGGTGGGAGAGAGGCTCGAGCAGGAAGGACGCGGCCGGCCACGCCGCGGACCCCTCCGCCGCACCAGCCGTGAGTGCACCGAACCCCTTGCTCCTCCTCCTCCTCCCCCTCCCCCTTGCGCGCCCCCGATCGCGTTCACACGTTCAGCTGCCTTGGATGGCGAGCGTTCACGTGTCTGCTCATCCACACGTTCAGCTGCCTTGGATCGCGAGCGTTCACGTGTCTGCGCTATTAAGGGGTAACGGTAGCAATAAGCGTCTGGGAAAAGGGTCTCTGCCCCGCAGGAGTTTGCAATCAAAGTTTGATTTGTGGGTTTTTTTTGGGGGGGGGTTGAGTATCAAGGCTAAGGGGCGACCTGACAGCAGCCACGTGCTTCAGCCACGTGGTCTCGTTTTGTCTTTACAAGGTTTTGTGTATGTGTGTTTTTATTATAAAGGGAGGGGGATAACTAGGTTGGATCCTGCTAGCGCCTGCCGTTGTGATTCCTCCTTTCTCTAGCTCTTCCCCGTGCTTCTTAATGCAGCTTTAAGCCTCTGTATTTATGCTACTGTTATTACTACTATTTGAACTGATTTTATAATGAACTGATTTTAGAATCTTGTATTATTTTACTGTTGTTAGCCGCTCTGAGCCCGACTTCGGCTGGGGAGGGCAGGATATAAATAAAAATTTATTATTATTATTATAACCAGTTTTTTTCTCCGGGGGTACACGTACTCCTAAACATTTTGTGAATCTTTGTACTTATGTCCATTTACTGTATTTATTTCCCCTGATTTGAACTATAAAATGGTGATTTAATGAGAGCACCCCTAAACCTTTTTTTATAGGGAAAAAAAAAGCACTGACTATTACTATTATTAATTTGTTTATTACCTGCTCTTTGCCCTAAGGTTCCAGGGCAGGTTGCAGTACAACTCTCTCCCTCTCACCTGCTGTTAGGCTTGCTTGTTTTCTTTTTAGACTAGAAAGCTATGCTGGTCTCTGGCGCTGGTAGTTTCCCCCTGACAGAAACTCCCCAAAGCGTTCCTTCCTTTGTTAAATGGATGCTCTGCCTTTTCCACGAAGATGCATCCAAGGTACCTCGCCACGTGATGTTATTGTGGGGAGATTGTGAGCTTTCGCAAGCGGGTCCTGCAATAAACTGAGCAGTCTTCTGGGTACCACAGCACGCTTTGTGATTCCACTAGACATCTAAAGGCAGCCCTGTTTGTTTTTTGTTTAGTCGTGTCCGACTCTTCGTGACCCCCTGGACCAGAGCACGCCAGGCACTCCTGTCTTCCACTGCCTCCCGCAGTTTGGTCAGACTCATGCTGGTAGCTTCGAGAACACTTTCCCACCATCTCGTCCTCTGTCGTCCCCTTCTCCTTGTGCCCTCCATCTTTCCCAACATCAGGGTCTTTTCCAGGGAGTCTTCTCTTCTCCTGAGGTGGCCAAAGTCTTGGAGCCTCAGCTTCAGGATCCATCCTTCCAGTGAGCACTCAGGGCTGATTTCCTTCAGAATGGAGAGGTTTGATCTTCTTGCAGGCCATGGGACTCAAGAATCTCCTCCAGCACTAGAATTCAAAAGCATCAATTCTTTGGCGATCAGCCTTCTTTATGGTCCAGCTCTCACTTCCATACATCACCATGGAAAACCATGGCTTTAACTATACGGACCTTTGTTGGCAAGGTGATGTCTCTGCTTTTTAAGATGCTGTCTAGGTTTGTCATTGATTTTCTCCCAAGAAGCAGGCGTCTTTTAATTTCGTGACTGCTGTCACCATCTGCAGTGATCATGGAGCCCAAGAAAGTAAAATCTCTCACTGCCTCCATTTCTTCCCCGTCTATTTGCCAGGAGGTGATGGGACCAGTGGCCATGATCCTCGTTTTTTTGATGTTGAGCTTCAGACCATATTTTGCGCTCTCCTCTTTCACCCTCATTAAAAGGTTCTTTAATTCCTCCTCACTTTCTGCCATCAAGGTTGTGTCATCTGCATATCTGAGGTTGTTGATGCATTACTGTATTTTAATATTTTGTTGGAAGCCGCCCAGAGTGGCTGGGGAAGCCCAGCCAGATGGGCGGGCTATAAATAATAAATTATTATTATATTATTATTACTAGTGGTAGGGTATATCTAAGGTGTACACCTGCCCTCCTGATCCAGCCAGCCTCCTGCCTCCTCAACCTTTCCCTCCCACCTGCAGTTTGCCACATGGCCAATAAAAGGGGGTGCACAGAGGGTGGGATGGGATGGGATGGGGTCTCTTGTGCCCGCTTTCTGCTTCCAGCATCCCTGTTTTCCCTCCTCTCCCCCTCTTCCTCATAGCAGTACCATGGTACCAGGTGCCCTCCATTTTCTTCCAGTTCCTCTTGCCAGGCTTCTTGAGAAGGTGTTTTGCCCAAAATCCGTAGAACCAGGTGCGAGGGGCAGAGTGGTTGCTTCTTGATCAGGGGTGCAGATCTGCATTATTATTATTATTATTATTATTATTTTATTATTTATAGCCCACCCATCTGGCTGGGCTTCCCCAGCCACTCTACTAGCAGATCTCTGGTTGATTTTGCAACGGAATTTCTGGCGCCCCGATGGTTTAAGCACACCAGCAAAACGCCACCCCTCCTGCCCCAAATTGTGCTTCTGAGATGAAGGAATCTCGGAACTGCTTTTTTTTTTTTGCGGAAAATCCGTGGACACCATCAGATTCTGGTGCTCATAGGAAGCTCTTTGACTCAAACTTGTTTTTAATTCCGAGTCTGCTTCCCTTGCGTCAAGCTATGCTTGATGGATCTTGGGGCTTTAGAAGATCCTGCAAGCCCTGGTTTAGATTGTGTTGTTTAATACAGGGACCTCAGTGTGAGCTAGAGCTAGGCAATAACTTTGGAAAGGGGGTTCTGGGGGGGTTGCACAAGATGGAGGGGAGCACCTGTATATTCCTCTTCCTCTCTTTCACCCTAACCACCCATCCTATAGTCCAAACATTTCCCTTTTCTGCAGCTGCTGCATCTCTTAACAGCTTTCTGGGAGTTGTTCCATGCATCCTGCCTTGTGCTGCCCTGCCTTTTTCCTGATATATTATCAACTTTTTGCCGCCTCCTGCTTCAAGTAGGCAGGCGTACAGTGGGCGATGAGTGGCTCCCTTGCCCACGAACCTGCTCCCCTTTGCCCCTTTCCCAGTGACACCGTGTTTGGTGCAATACAGCCTTGGACACCACGGTGCCTTTCTGCCCAAACCCATTTGCCTTGGCTCCTACCTCTGAGCAAAATTCCTGCTGGTTTTGATTCCTGCTCCTCTTTGATCTCTCGCCTGCTCCTTGCTCCGGACTCCTGTCTTTGCCTTTGGGGAGATATTTGTAGGGGGGCCAGGTTGGCACAGAGAGGGTAGGAAAAGGCAGGAAAAGACCTAGTGGTGGTGAGGATAGAGAGAGAGAATGCTTCATTTCTCTCTGCCCCAAATGCATTTTATAGGCTGTGATATTCCTGTGAAATTCTGGCTGATTTGGGTGGGAGAATCAATCAATTAACACCTTTGTTTTTAACAAGCAGTTCCTTTGTTTTGTTTTGGTACTGCAATATGGCACGAAGAGAAGACTGATTTCACATAACAGGTTTTAATCGGCAAACGAAGTGGAAAAAAGCACCAGTTGATTAATTGGCATGATCAGATCTTAGTGTAGTTGAACCTTAAGGCCATACTTCTTGTATTTATATGTTATTTTGGTCCTTTTTTTAACTGTACGGGAAGTGAGAGGAAGAAAAATATTAAAGATGATCTTTGCTTTATTGGCCTGGTTCACACATAATTCTAAGCCATGGTTTGTTTAACGGCTAGCATTTTATTTAAAAAAGGACCATTCTTTCTCCAAAGTAATGACTAGTTGTTCATCTGCTTTTCCGTCATGCCTTTGTAGCTTTGTTTTGGACGGGGTTGCTGAACAAACCATGGTTAAGGAAGGATGTTGGACAGGCACATAACTCAAAGCAGCTGTTTAAAGTAAAGATTTGTCAGCCAAAAACAAACCATATCTTCAAATGGTGGTTTGTGGGCAGTAAACATACCATAGTTAAGTTGTTAGGTAAAATTCACACATAAACCTAAGACACGCCTTTAGGAAATCATAGCTTAATAAAGCATGTTTTCGTGTCTTGGGTGAACCAGGCCAATGAGAGGCAGTTTAACAACTAATTCCGAAGAGGTTTTGTGTTATACACAAATGTGCTCAAATATATTAACCTGCCTGTGTTGGCTGGGGCTTTTGTCCAAAATACATGAAGGGCACCAGCTTGGGGACGTCTGGAAGCCAAACAGTTTTTTAGTTGGCAGTCTAAAAATCCTTTAATCAGCCGACAGTTCTAGTTGACGAAGATCCTGGGAGGCAGAAAATGGAGGCAGAAGCGGAAGATATGAGTGGAAAATGCAGAGAAGCTGGTTGGGGGGTCCGTTGTTAGGAGACGCCTCTGAGCTTCTGGGGCAGTGGGTCAGGCTCTCTGGGGTGGGTGGGAGGAAAGCTTATGCCAGCGAGCTCTTTGAGGTGCTGCTACAAGGACTCGTGTTTCTACAGGCCAAGGCCTGCTTTACACATTCTGCATTTTCATGCACAAAGTGGGAAATGGAAAGAAACCAACGATGGCTGTTTGGGCTTGGTGGCGTGTGTTGTTTGCAGCCGTGGGCTGCTTGCTTGCGTGTAACATTGCTGCATGCAAATGTCTCCATGTGCACCTTGTCTCAGAACAAAAAAGGTGCGTGAATGCTGCCAAAAAGTGCCCAAGAGTAAAATTCAACTTTGAGCCCACAAAATGGTCTGAACATAGAACATAGAATGGGGTGGTTGTTGTTTAGCCGTGTCCGACTCTTCGTGACCCCCTGGACCAGAGCACGCCAGGCACTCCTGTCTTCCACTGCCTCCTGCAGTTTGGTCAAACTCATGCTGGTAGCTTCGAGAACACTGTCCCACCATCTCGTCCTCTGTCGTCCCCTTCTCCTTGTGCCCTCCATCTTTCCCAACATCAGGGTCTTTTCCAGGGAGTCTTCTCTTCTCATGAATTGGCCAAAGTCTTGGAGTCTCAGCTTCAGAATCTGTCCTTCCAGTGAGCACTCAGGGCTGATTTCCTTCAGAATGGAGAGGTTTGATCTTCTTGCAGTCCATGGGACTCTCAAGAGTCTCCTCCAGCACCATAATTGGGGTTAAATTACCCAAATAACACTGATAGATGATTTCATTTACCCATAACAATGCCTAGACAAAGAATGGATGCTTCCTCCCTAGACACCAAATGCGTTTTGACCCCCCCCCCGGGGCAAGATCAGCAAAACCCACACGTGCACCCTCAACCACTGTGATCGGTAAGCTCTCGGTCGTTTAGTTTAGCAGCGCATAAACTTTGGAACTCCCTGCCAATTGAGATCAAGATGGTGACTTCACTGTACTCTTTTCGGTGCCTGCTAAATAGCATTCTTATTTAGACAAGCCTGTCCTGACGCTTAGAAAGTTGAGGGAATTTTAATCTGTTTTAGTATTGTTAACTTTTGTATGTTTTAAAGCAGAGTTGCCAGTATGTCTTGATTTCAATGTTTTATACAGTGGAACCTCGGGTTTTCAAATGTAATCCATTCTTAAAGTCCGTTCAGCTTCTGAAACGTTTGAAAACCGAGGATCAAAGGGCTGTCAGCAAGTCCAATGGGGGAAATTGAGAAACGAGCCTCGGAAGCCGTTCAACTTCTGAGGCGCGTTTGAAAATGGAAGCTTTCGCTTCTGAGTTTTTGGCGTTCGGCTTCTGAAACGTTGGGCATCCGAGATGTTCGAAAACCGAGGTTTGACTGTATTTTGTAAACACCACTTGGAGGGTGTTTTGTTTTGTTTACAATCAAGCGGCATATGAATTTTATTAAATTAAATAAATAAACATGCAATCTTTCGCCCAAGGTGAGCCCGTTGCGTGATCTCTATAGACGACCAGGTGGGGTGACCTGACCCACAATGAATACAATGCAGAGCAGTATATAGTGGTTTTTTGGGGTTTTTCTTTAGAGCAGTGTATAGTTAATTGCAGGGGTAATTGCAGGACTTAGATGATCCTTGATGCCCCTTCCAACTCTACAATTCTCTGATCCTCTAAATTTTCTGACCCTCTAATTCCCCTGCTTCTCCAGCTGTTCTATCAACACTTCCTGATACCTGCCTTATTCTGTGTTTACCACCTGTTCCCACTTTTCCTCTCCAGACCCGAGCGACGTGGGGCAGTTCGTCTGTGAGGGTAGGACTCGTCCTTTCCCCTGTGTGTGAAAAATAATCTTATCCACGTTTCCTGCAGAGCATTCCCTCCACCGAGGGGATGGGGTCACTCCTGTTTCTGCATAGCTCTGTGCGTCCACCCCAGCTCTGTAACTATATCCAGAAGGTCATGTATACCAGACTTGGCTGCAGTCCAGATCTGGTTAACTCCGTCTCTTTATGTCGCCGAACATCTTTTTCCTTCCCTGATTGTGTTACAAAACTCCTGTTAGATTTGGCCCACAGACAGGTGATTGGTTTGAAGAGAGCTGAAAGTGGTTCGAAAGAGAGGAAGCTTTTCCCACGATGTGTAGACACACTTGCAGTCATAGAATAGGAGAGTTGGGGTACCGAGGCTCATCCATTCCAACCCCTTGCAATGCATGAATCTCAGCTGAAGCATCCCTGATGGTGGAGACGAAGGTGACACCTGGCTTGAGAGCAGTACATGTGAAAAGGATCTAGGAGTCTTGGTTGACCACAAACTTGACATGAGCCAACAGTGTGGCGCGGCAGCTAAAAAAGCCAATGCAATTCTGGGCCTCATCAATAGGAGTATAGCATCTAGATCAAGGGAAGTAATAGTGCCACTGTATTCTGCTCTGGTCAGACCTCACCTGGAGTACTGTGTCCAGTTCTGGGCACCACAGTTCAAGAAGGACACTGACAAACTGGAACGTGTCCAGAGGAGGGCAACCAAAATGGTCAAAGGCCTGGAAACGATGCCTTATGAGGAACGGCTAAGGGAGCTGGGCATGTTTAGCCTGGAGAAGAGGAGGTTAAGGGGTGATATGATAGCCATGTTCAAATATATAAAAGGATGTCACATTGAGGAGGGAGAAAGGTTGTTTTCTGCTGCTCCAGAGAAGCGGACACGGAGCAATGGATCCAAACTACAAGAAAGAAGATTCCACCTAAACATTAGGAAGAACTTCCTGACAGTAAGAGCTGTTCGACAGTGGAATTTGCTGCCAAGGAGTGTGGTGGAGTCTCCTTCTTTGGAGGTCTTTAAGCAGAGGCTTGACAACCATATGTCAGGAGTGCTCTGATGGTGTTTCCTGCTTGGCAGGGGGTTGGACTCGATGGCCCTTGTGGTCTCTTCCAACTCTATGATTCTATGATTCTATTCTATGATCCCTGACAGACGGCCACCCAGCCTCTGCTTAAAAACCTTCAAAAAAGGAGGTTGAATGGCTCTTGCCTTCAGGAAGTCCTTCCTGATACTCAATCAGAATCTTTTTCCTGGTCGTTGGAATCCACCTGTTTGCTCAATCTTTCACGTGACAGCCTTTTAGATAGTTGAAGATGGCCCTCACATCGCTTTGTCATATCTTCTCTTCTCCAGCTCCCTCAACCATTCCTCATCAGGCCTGATATAACCGGTAGAATTCTACAGGATGGGGTCTTTGTGTGGGAAAACAGTCAAGATCCAAGGATCCCCAAAGGGTGGAGATGTCAGGCATCATCTTGGCACCCAGGCATCATCACTTGGTCGCAAAATGCGCCTGGCTAATTTCAAGCACTGCTTGCTGGTTGTGTTTGTGTGTGCATACAGTCATACCTCATGTTACGTCCACTTCACGTTACGTTCTTTCAGGTTACGCCCCGCGGTGACCTGGAAGTACCGGAAAGGGTTACTTCCGGGTTTCGCCGCAAGCGCAGAAGCGCAAAATGACGCCACGGGCATGTGCAGAAGCAGCGAATCGCAACCCACGCGTGCGCAGATGCATCACTGCGGGTTGTGTTCTTTTAATGTTGCGAACGGGCCTCTGGAACAGATCCCGTTCACAACCAGAGGTACCACTGTACATATATATGACATACTGTTACATGCATATTTTTGGACATAAAGTTGGGGCCAGTTAGACATGGTGGTTTCTCTCCCGCCTTTTCTCTCTCTCTCTCTCTCTCTCTGCTGGAATATCATAGTTCTGGCATCGCTAGGCGTGATCTCTTGAGCACATAGAGTGGCCTTCTTTCCCTCTACGCTAAGAGCCTGGCAAACAGCGACGGTCAGTTCCCCTTATCCCTTGCAGAAGGATAAATCAGTTGTGTGCTGGGTAGGGGGACTTTAGTTTTAAAATGGAAGAACTATCTGATGGTAAGGGCTGTTCGTCAGTGGAAGCAGCTCCCTCATAAGATTGTGGAGGTTTTTAAGCAGAGGTTGGATGGCCACCTGCCAGGGATCCTTTAGCTATGACATTGCAGAGGGTTGGGCTGGATGACCCAACCCCTGGGGGGTTCCCTTCCAAGGGGCTGGATGACCCCTGGGGTTCCCTTCCAACCCTAGGTATCTATAAGCTTTCTTCTGAGCTCTTTCGCCTGACTCCAGGGGTGTGGGAATGGCTCACGTTAACCAGCACAGCCACCTTGGGTAGGGACAGAGGATGCGGTGTGGGTGTGGGTGGGTGTGTTGCATGAACCCTAAGGGGCCGTGGTGGTGTAGTGGTTAGAGTGTCTGGCTAGGACGTGGGAGAGCTGGGTTCGAATCCCTACTTGGCTGTGAAGCCTTTAGTAATCCTCACAGAACTCTAGCCCAATGGTTGCCATTAATTTGATTTTGAATTGATTTTAAAATGAATTGATTTTAGAATGATGTTTTACTTTTATTGTTGTTAGCTGCTCTGAGCCTGGCTTTGGCTGGGGAGGGCGGGATATAAATAAATTATTATTATTATTATTATTATTAAGCTCACTGGGTGACCTTGGGCCAAGTTGCTGCCTGAGAATGAAATGTGAGAGGGGAGACCCCTGTACCCCACCTTGAGCTCCTAGGAGGAGGAGTTGGGATAGAAATGGAATAAAATAAACAAACACACTCCAGGTGCCCAGCTTCCTTTTTTAAGGGCAAGTCTCTAGCGTTTGTGATACCTAAAACGTCCAGACCCTGGTTGGTTGATTGGCAGCTGTCTGTCTCGAGAGACAATGGAGTTTGCCTCCGGGGGTGAAGTCAAACCGCTGCATTAGCAGCACCGAAGTGACCTTTCCATGGTATTTACAGATATACTGTATCTCAACAGGGAGGCTCTGTGTTGTTGTGGCTAATAACCATTGATAGATTTCCTTGTCCAGGAAGCTAGCTTCTTCTGCCTCTTCTTCCTTTAAATTTGCCAAAGCGGCTGGTGGGTCCCGGACACCGTCTGCCATGGGCTTCTGCCAACACAGAAAAGGAAAGGGTGGGATAGCTTGCTTCAGGGGGCACCCTATGCAGGCGAGGGTGTGCCAGGGCGGGCGCGGTGCCAGCCTCTGCAGCCGATGTGCCTGCTGCCAGCCGGTTGTTGCTGATGTTGCCTTTGTCCTCTCCGCCTCCTGAATCTTCGCCGGAGATCTGGCTGGGATGCCTTCGCCCAAGAGCTGAGCCAAACATTGGCTTTAATTTATTTTAAAGGGAAACAAACCCCGTTTCCCTTCCTTGCCAGGCTCTCTCTGTTCGCCTCTGGAATTTTTATTCTCTGCCGGGGAACAGCCCAGAATGCGCTGGCTGCAAAAGAGGGAATCGCCTTCGGAGGCAAGAGCAAACGTATTTGCAAGAGGAGCAAACGTATTTGCAAGAGGAGCAAGGGGTCTGTGCACCGTCGGCGCTTTCTGGGTGTGAAATTTCTGCCTAGCTCACACGAGAAATCTGTGTTCTGGGAGTCATAGAATGGTAGAGTTGAAAGGGACGCCAAGGGTCATCTAGCCCTACAAAATTTACCGTATTTTTCGCTCCATAAGACGCAACTAGTTTTTAGAGGAGGAAAACAAGAGAAAAAAATATTCTGAATGAAACAGTGGGTGTATGATTTTTGTGGTTCATGCTGTGGCCACAGACATGATATGTGATTTGACGGTGAGTTTGGCGTAGCCCAATGCAAAAATCCTGAGGATCCATGTGGATCAGTGCTTTGTAACCACGTTTTTGCACTATTGCGGCCCCACGAAACAGTGGATGCGTGATTTTTTTGGTGCAGGCTGTAGCCATGGACATGCAATGTGATCTGATGGTGAATTTGGGGTGACCCAATGCAAAAATCCTGAGGATCCATGGGCTTTTACCTCCCCCCTCCCAAGCAGCCTCCTTTATCGCTAGTGTCCCTTATCTCCCTCCTGATCGCTTGCCGATCAGCTGCTCAGCAGCTTCGTTTCAACACCCCTTTCCTTCTTTCTTTTTTAAAAAAAACCCACGATCTGCTTTTCGCCCCTGGGCAATTCGGCTCCAGGGACTACGCATAAGACGCACAGACATTTCCCCTTACTTTTTAGGAGGAAAAAAGTGTGTCTTATGGAGCAAAAAATATGCTAGTCACATAGAAAGTGGACATGATAGTGTTTGTAATTGACTCCTTGGGAAGTCCGCCTCCGAATCGAGCCAGGGAGTCTATATCCATCAGGCCTGCTGGAATCAGTTGTGACTCCTGCATGGCTTCCAACACCGCAGTTCTATGACCAGTGTCTCACCCTTCAGTTTCATACAGTCATAGAATTGTTGGAAGGGACCACAAGGATCGTCTCACCCAACCCCCTTAGGACCCCTTTGCCCGGCATGGTTCTCAAATCCACAACCCTGAGATTAAGGGTCTTAGGCTCTACCAACTGAGCTGTCAAGGTTTGATGGTTAATAGCTAAAATTCCTTCTCCTTGTCCTTCTTCCCAGTCTCCAGCGTCAAAAACAGCAGCCTGTGTGCAAGGGGAGGACATTAAAACTAGATTATTTTTATAGAAAACCTTTTTCCCCCCAGGTGACCTTGTTGAAGAGCTGGAAACAGAATAACCTCCTTTCTCTTTCTGTGCCAAATAAATGGAGCAGGTCCTTTTCATTTTAGGGTTTGCTCCGTCCGCAGAGCTTGGCGCTTGCCTCACCTCTATCTTGGCTGAGTTCCTTTATTCTGCCAGAGGCATGCGAGGGTGTGGACTTCCATCATCATCATCAAACCTTTATTGGCATCCCTTGCAGAATAAATAGGCCAATGCGATCTCGTCACCATTTCAACAGTACAGTCATTTGCCAAAGGGAAGAAAAGGCGAGCGATCTATTTCACCTCTGTGGGTCTCCAGCAAGGGCAGGGTCCTGTAGCGTACTTGGGCAGAAGAAAATCAAATAGAGGAACTTGGCTACTGCCTTGGTGAGCTCCTGGTCTCTCCCCTGTAATAAGCATATAACCTCTGTCTCTGGTTTCCATGTTGGGATACATAGGTGGTCTAAGAATTGTTGGTGGAGATCATAATATATTTTGCATTTATTTATTTTTTAAAATACATTTTTATTGATTTTTTAAAAAATATATCAGTTCCAACAGTCATACAATACATCTTCTCATCTTATACAATATTTTAGACTTCCGTCAACACCTCTGATTTTCCGTTCTTTATCACTTATTCTGCATTTCTTAATTTCTATATTACATTTAATTGTCCTTAACTATAATTCTCTTCATAGTCTTACGTGCAGTATTTAAAATAATCCACCTTACAGAACTTCTTGCAGTCCAACTAGCGTAACCTGTTAATCACAATTACTTTCCAAATAGTTCATATATTTACTCCAGTCTTCTAAGAATCTCTGATCCTGCAGGTTTCAAATCCTTCCTGTTAATTTGTCTAATTCTGCATAGTCCATCAACTTCATTCTCCATTTGTTGGTAATTCTTCTTGTTTCCAAACATATTTTACATTTAAGGGCCATGTGAGCCAGAGTTTTCACCAGGTGAGCAACACATGGGCAGATCCTATCTCCTTCTGCCATACCCGCAAACCTACCCCAAAGGAGGATAGAAGGATTACAATTGAACCTTGTTGTTTAGTCGTGTCTGCCTCTTCGTGACTCCATGGACCAGAGCATGCCAGGCCCTCCTGTCTTCCACTGCTTCCCGCAGTTTGGTCAAACTCATGCTGGTAGCTTCGAGAACACTGTCCAACCATCTCGTCCTCTGTCGTCCCCTTATCAAGGTTCATGGTTCTTACATTCCAGGTTCCTATGCAATATTTGTCTGTACAGCATTGGACTTTCCTTTCGCTTCCAGGCATATCTGCAACTGAGCGTCCTTTCGCCTTTGGCCCAGCCACTTCATCAGCTCTGAATCTACTTGTACTTGTCCTCCGCTCTACTTGTACTTGTCCTCCGCTCTTCCTCAGTAGCATGTTGGACACCTTCCGACCTGAGGGGCTCATCTTCCAGCGTCATAACTTTTATATGCCTGTTGTCTTTCTCCAAGGAGTTTTCTTGGCAGGGATACTGGAGTGGCTTGCCGGTTCCTGCTCCAGGTGGATCACGTTTGGTCAAAACTCTCCACTATGACCTGTCCATCTTGGGTGGCCCTGCACGGCATAGCTCATAGCTTCTCTGAGTTATTCAAGCCCCTTCGCCACGGCAAGGCAGTGATCCATGAAGGAGACAATTGAACCTAGCCAGCCAAAAAGCCCTTCTTTCTTGTGGGTTGAACAAAAATGGTAAATAATTAAGGTTAAATTTCTGCGCCCAGGAGACTCAAAAATAAAGAGGGGAACATGTTTTCCCCCACAGCTGAGATGAGTTCCTGGCAGTCTATGTCCCACAGCCTATTTTAACATGGCCTTGGCGATTGGAAAAGCCACAGCACCCAGGAGATCCTCTGAAAGCCCAAGTTGCCGTGACTTTGTGCAAAACAGTTGTAGCCTCGGGGAAGGGAAAGGGTCTGACAGTGAGACAGTGGACTTTCGGTGAGATGTTTTTGATTCCTGGAGCCCTTGCCTCCTGTTTGTGCAAGGAAAAGCATTCCTCATGTGCGAAGTTGCCTTTTTTTGCATCCTGATGGATGGAAGTGAGACGATGCTGTTGCCGCGGCAACGGAAGCGATGACATGCCTGGAAACCTTCTTCGAACTTTGAAGGTTTGATGAGGGCGGCAGCTGCGCCTTTTCTCAATTCAAAACTTTTGCAAGCTCCTTGAGGCAGGGACCTTTCTCTTCAGGAATGGCGTTCCGTGTTTGCATCGATGGTGGTGCATGGCTTAATAAAAAAAACAGTCCATACATGCCGTGATCTGGGGGGCGGGGGGGGGCGGTCCCAGGAAAAGCTTCCCTCTGCAGAGTCGGGTGTTAACATATATCTGACTTTCTAAACTGGATGTCCTGCTATAAAATAGGTATAATGTGCAGCCAAGTGGGGCAGAACTCTACCCTTCTCCCCGCTCAGTTATTTAAGCTTTCCCACAGGAAATTTTCCATTTCGTAAGGTAAACAACAAAAGGGTGCAATTGCAAATAAAGATTAATCAAGATATTATTAGGCGAGTTTCCAAGTTTTTCCCTTGGCTTACTAAATGCAAGTAAGTAAACATGCTAACTTAGATCATTCTTGAGAATAGGGGGGTGGGATCTGTGGCCCTGCAGATATTGTTGCTGTTGTTTTGTTGTTTAGTCGTGTCCGACTCTTCGTGACCCCCTGAACCAGAGCATGCCAGGCACTCCTGTCTTCCACTGCCTCCCTCAGTTTGGTCAAACTCATGCTGGTAGCTTCGAGAACACTGTCCAACCATCTCGTCCTCTGTCATCCCCTTCTCCTTGGGCCATCCATCTTTCCCAACATCAGGGTCTTTTCCGGGGGTCTTCTCTTCTCATGAGGTGGCCAAAGTCTTGGAGCCTCAGCTTCAGGATCTGTCCTTCCAGTGAGCACTCAGGGCTGAGTTTCTTCAGAATGGAGAGGTTTGATCTTCTTACAGTCCATGGGACTCTCAACTGGACTCCAACTCTCATCATCCGCAGGACCTATGGTCAGTGATTGGGGTGACAGGAATTCGGAGTCCAACAACACCTGAAGGAGATTGTGAGCCGCTTTGAGACTCCTCAGGGTAGAGATAAAGCGGGATATCAAATCCAAACCCTTCTTCTTCTTCTTCTTCTTCTTCTTCTTCTTCTTCTTCAAAAACTGAAGCAATTATTTCCAGGTTTTCGGTGTTCGAAAGCCGAAACGTTCGACTTCTGAGACGTTCAAGAACCGAGGTTCCACTATATGTGGGCTGTCCCTGTTCCAAGTGATTTTTCTTCTTTAAGTTCTCAAAGCTCTTAACCTGGCTGAAGGCTGCCCTCTGATCTAGCCAGATGTTTAACTGAGAATCAATCACAGTCAGTACATCATTTGAAAGATAAGACATTGGAGGTGTCTGGCCCCATAATGGCAACTAGACTGTTTTGGCGACTGTAACCTTGGTTTAAGGAGCGATTTCTCTCCCAGCTTATATATTGATGAGTTTCTAACCCTGCTCTCTCCCTGCTCCGTTCAGCCGCATGGCTTCAAAATCCCCATACATTTTGCATGACGTCATGCGCAGTGCCAAGGCAAGCATGCAACCTGCACCCTTTGCTGCCTTTTGGAAGACGGCTGGCTCTTGTCTGGCTGCTTCCAGGCCCTGCCACCCTGGTTTCCCTGCCTACCTGGGAAATAGAAGATTTGGTGGGGCAGGTGGGGGGCTGCCTTTTCTGCTTATGTTTCCAAAGTACAGTAATGCACAACATTCCCTGCACCCCAACACGACGGGGACAAGATTATCGTGCTTGGCTTGGTGCCAGCTGCATGAGACAGGGCAGGATTCGGTCTGCCGCTGACTGTTGGAAGGCAGCGATTAAATTCTCCCACACTGTCTCTGCAAGACAAATTAGTACCCTAAATACACTCGGCTGTGTGTGTGTGTGTGTGTGTGTGTGTGTGTGTGTGTAGAGCAGGCTTTCATGGTTCTGCTGCCGATGACGGAAATCTAGCAGCTTGATCCTGTTAGGGTTTGCTCTGAATGCTAAGCAGCGGGCAAAATGGATTTTTCAAAATCTCCTTTTGAAAAGGATAACTTTCCGATATGGAAGGAAGCTGGGAACTTGTACCCTCTAAATCTGTAAGCTCTTTTCAAAGACAGAAGGCACTGGAATCTTTAATACTTTCTTTGTGTTGGCTACAGGAATTGGTATAAAGGGGAATGAATTATTGGGTTTTAAATTCTATTTCCACCCCAAAGACATGGAGCTCTTTGCCAGAAGTTTCATTGGGCTTATTTGGCTGGCGTGATTTTTTTTGGGTACAGCTGAAGGGGCTGCTCCTTGCACTTAACATTTCTCTGTTTATCTTTTAAAGTTTGTGCCAGGGTAACATTTTTCCACGTTGGTAAAACTCACGGACCTCCAACAAAGCTCAGCGCTGGAAGATTTCATGGCAGGCAAGACAAAATACTACCTCACGCAGCGTGCAGTTAAACTGTGGAACTCCCTGCCACAGGAGGCAGTTCTAGCCAAGACCCTAGGTGGTTTTGAAAGAGGATTGGGCAAATTAATGGAGAATTAGGCCTCTGAATGCCCTCCGCTGGCAATTGCTCGTGGGGAGAATACAGTAATCTTGAATTGAGGTCCTGCTCTTGAGTTTCCCGCGGGGATGTGATTGGCCATTGAGAGAACAGGATGCTAGACTATCCCCCCAGTGACTCAGTGGGTCAGTTTGCATGGCTGTTCACCAGAAGGTTGGTGGTTCAAGTCCACCCAGGGACAGGAATTCTGCATTGCAGGGGGTTGGACTAGATGACCCGTGGGACCCCTTCCAGCTCTACAATTCTGAGATTCTCTGACCTACAGCTGGGTGGTCAACAATGTCTAGGCAACACGATGACCATGTACATACGCAATAGACAATCTTTATAGAATTCCTTCAAACCATAACAAGTACAAAATGAGATCTTTAGTCTCAAAGTCTCTGAAAATCTGTAAATGAAGCGAGGTACCAGACTTTGTACAATGAAAGACAAGCTGTGAAGCTTTGTGTATTCAGCAAATATGATGTCCAACACTGAACAGTGATTCCAGATATTGACTACTGTTTCGTAGAATTCTTTGTCAGTGTAGTGGGAGGATATAGAATTGCTTCATAAACCCATCTTATTTTAAATGAATGTATGTAAATGAAAATATCAAATGCTGTGAACAGTGCTCATGTCAGACGCTGATGAAGAATTCTATGAAACAGTAGTCTGGAATCACTGTTCAGTGTTGGACATCATATTTGCTGAATACCAGCAAATTCAGGCCAGTTTCCAAAGCAAATTATTCTAATTCTGCAGAGGGAAATTTTCTAGCCAACACTCCCAATGCAAAAATCCCGGAAAGGTTATTGCTCAGAAGCTTGCCCCAGTGAGTAGGATGCAATTGCTTTCAAAAAAAGTATAGAGTTGGATTTTAATTTTTAGTATAACAGAGCAGTTTAGTTACTGTTTGGAAAATAATTCCTTTCTGCTATATTTAATGCCAACAGCACACACAGGGTGGAAGCTGGCCAATTTGTTCTTGGTTTTTCTAGGGAGATAAACACCAATTTGTCTAGTTGTCCTGAAAGTACATAGAAAACTGGACAGGTGGGGATGGGATGCACTTTTAACCTTCTTAAACTGTGATGCCCAGAAGTGGACACAGGACTCCAGCTGGGCTTTAACCAGTTCAGAATAGAGAAGGACCATAACAAAACCCAATGTTCAGTTATGATATTTGGTTACCATAAGGACAAAAGAGGGAGCTTGCAGGATCAGGCCAATGGCCCTTTCAGTCCAGCATCCTGTTCTCACAGTGGCCAACCACATGCCCCGGTGAAAAACCCGCAAGCAGGATTCGAACACAAGAGCCCTCTCCTCCTCCATGAATTTGCCTAATCCTCTTTTAAAGCCACCCGGATTACTAGCCATTGCGGCATCCTGTGGGAGGGAGTTCCACAGTTTAACCAGTCGCTGCGTGAAAGAAGAGCTTCCTTTTCTGTGTCCCGAATCTTCCAATGCATCTGAAGGACCAGGTGCGCAGCCTGGGAGTCATTTTGGACTCCCAGCTGTCCATGGAGGCGCAGGTCAATTCTGTGTCCAGGGCAGCTGTCTCCCAGCTCCATCTGGTACACAGGATGAGACCCTACCTGGCCACAGTCTCTCCAGAGTGGTGAAGGCTCTGGTTATCTCCCGCTTGGACTACTGCCATGCGCTCTCCGTGGGGCGACCTTTGAAGGTGACCCGGAAACTACAACTAATCCAGAATGTGGCAGCCAGACTGGTGACTGGGAGCGGCCGCCGAGACCCATATAACACCGGTCCTGAGAGATCTGCATTGGCTCCCAGTACATTTCCGAGCACAATTCAAAGTGTTGGTGCTGACATTTGAAGCCCTAAACGGCTTCGACCCAGTAGACCTGAAGGAGCGTTTCCACCCCCATCGTTCTGCCCGGACACTGAGGTCCAGCGCCGAGGGCCTTCTGGTGGTTCCCTCCCTGTGAGAAGTGAGATTACAGGGAACCAGGCAGAGGGCCTTCTTGGTGGTGGCGCTCGCCCTGTTGAACGCCCTCCCAGATGTCAAAGAGAACAACAACTATCTGACTTTTAGAAGACATCTGAAGTCAGCCCTCTTTAGGGAAGCTTTTAATGTTTGATGCATTACTATATTTTAATATTCTGCTGGAAGCCGCCCAGTGGCTGGGGAAACCCAGCCAGATGGGCGGGGTATAAATAATAAATTATTACTATTATGCAACATGTAATTTTATAAGCGGCTGTCATGTCACCTCCTATGGCCTCTTCTCTAAGCTCAAAAATCCCAAACACTGCGACATTTCTTTGCAGGGTAGCTGCTCCATCATCCACGCAGTTCTTGAGATTTTACACGCACCACGTAGACCCAGTTCTGTTATCTGTCTCGGTGGCTTCCGGGGCTGAGTCAGGATTTGTGGCGCTGCGGCAGCTGCAGCCATTGCGTTCCCTGCGAAGCAAGCACAGACCAAACAGAAAGTCCCCCCCAAAAGCCTAGCCCGGATTACACATTCAGCGAGGAGGGGAGCAGGAGAAATGGCTGTGATCTTTCAACGCACGAAAGCACAGCAACGGCTATAACCCCATATGTCTGCACCATTTTGGCAGAGGGATGTGGTTAGTGAAAAAGGCATTATATATAAAGTCTGGCGGCTGAGAGCCAAGCCCTGGGGTGTTTCGGCTTTTAAAGAGCTCCCTTCCTAATGGAAATGGGCTCGGTAAATAATATTTCCACGAGGAGGGAAAGGGCGGGGGGAGAGAAATCTATTTAGTGTTCAGCGTAGTAAGATGGAGGAAGGCAGCTGTTGGAGAGACAGCAAACACACAGAGTTGCCCCATTTGGGGTTTTTTTAAACCCAGGTACACGAAGCCAAGTTTGAGCTGTCGTGGTGGTGAGTCTGTGGCCCGTGGCTCTAATTTGGCCCAACCGGAGATCTAATTTAACCCAGAAGGCCGTTTTTCCCCAAACCACAACCCAAACCTGCCCTCCCACATCTGAGATCATCAGGTGCAGGGAAGGTAGTAAGGAGAATAGGCCATTTAAGACCTTCGAAAAGTTAAAATACTGTTGTTGTTGTTTAGTCGTGTCCGACTCTTCGTGACCCCCTGGACCAGAGCACGCCAGGCACCCCTGTCTTCGTTAAAATACTAGTAAGCTACAAACAGTTATAAAACTCTCAATAAACAAAGAGCAGATTAAATATCCGGGTAAGCTTGTCTAGAGGGACGCGGGTGGCGCTGTGGGTTAAACCACAGAGCCTAGGACTTGCCGATCAGAAGGTCGGCGGTTCGAATCCCCACGACGGGGTGAGCTCCCGTTGCTCGGTCCCTGCTCCTGCCAACCTAGCAGTTCGAAAGCACGTCAAAGTGCAAGTAGATAAATAGGTACCGCTCCGGCGGGAAGGTAAACGGCGTATCTGTGTGCTGCTCTGGTTCGCCAGAAGCGGCTTAGTCATGCTGGCCACATGACCTGGAAGCTGTACGCCGGCTCCCTCGGCCAGTAAAGCGAGATGAGCGCCTCAACCCCAGAGTCGGCCATGACTGGACCTAATGGTCAGGGGTCCCTTTACCTTTAAGCTTGTCTAAACAGGAATGCTTTTAGAAGGCACTGAAAAAAAGCCATCACTGAGAAGGCCCTGGCCCTGGTGGAGGATAGTCTGACTTCCTTATGGCCCGGGACCTCTAAAAACTATGATTATTCATGGACCTTAAGGTCCTCTGCAGGGCAGACCAGGAGAGGCGGTCCCATAAATACGATTGCCCTTATGCCCACTTGAGCTGCCTCCACGGTCAGTCGGAGGCAGAAATGCTTCTGAATGCCTCTTTCTGGAAACCACAGGATGGGAGAGGGCTGGTCTTGTGCTTGAATCAGCCCAGTGGCCCACCCCCTCCAGCCTCCTGTTCTCGCAGGGATCAACCAGGTGTCCATTGTGGGAAACCAGCAAGGAGGACCCCAACGCAAGATCCCTCTCCTCTCCTGTGGAAGCAACAGCAGAGCCATCATGGCTGGGAGCCACCCATAGTCCTCTCCTCCTCCACAAATTTGCAACCCGGTGCTAAGTATGTTTCCTTGAAAGTGAGCCCCATTCTGACCAGTGAATAGTGGGGGTCAAATTGCACCCTAGTGGGGCAGCCCTATAGGGTGTTGACTCGGATGTGGTTCCCTTTGCATGCAGTGGGGGCTTCTTGAAGGTAAGCCTGCCTCGTAGGATTGCAGCCTTTGCCTCCAAGGTGATTTTCCCTAATCCCTTCCTTTTCTTGCTAATCCCATAAGACCCTCAGTTAGCACAATCCTTTCCCTGTATGTTCATTCCCTCCCTCCCTTCCAAGCACAAACAATCTATTTTGCTCTGCCATTTTTGGGAATGCTAGAAATGTGTTTTGTTTTTATTCCCTGTGTTTTAAAGCCCTATACGGCCTAGGACCCACGTACTTATGGGACCGCCTCTCCTGGTATGCCCCATGGAGGACCTTAAGGTCCGCAAATGGCAACACTTAGGAGGCCCCAGGTCGCAAGGTGGTTAGATTGGTCTCAACTAGGACCAGGGCCTTTTCAGCACTGGCCCCGACATGGTGGAACGCTCTGTCACAAGAAACTAGTGCCCTGTGGGACTTGACATCTTTCCGCAGGGCCTGCAAGACAGAGCTGTTCCGCCTGGCCTTTGGGTCGGACTCAGTCTGACCCTTCTGTTTCCCTCCCCATATGGTCTTGATCTATGGGCTACTTTTAAAATGAGTCTGCATTTTAAATTGCATTTTAACCTGTATTTTAAATTGGTGTTTTTCCCCATATTCAGATTTTACTGTAATTTTACTGGTGTTAGCCGCCCTGAGCCCAGCTCTGGCTGGGGAGGGTGGGGTATAAATAATAATAATAATAATTATTATTATTATTATTATTATTCCTCTGTGCATAAAATGCACATGTGATGATAACACACAAAAACATGTCTACAGTTCACCTTGATTTCAGGTCTTTGGGATCCCTCCTCCTCACTTTTCTGCACCTGCTCTGAGTAGGCTGCTCCTGCCCTTGGTTCACCTTGAGCTCTTCTGACGCTGCCTTATACTGTGCTGGGTAGGCAAACTAAGGCCCAGGGCATGTATCTGGCCCAATTGCCTTCTCAATCCGACCTGCGGGTGGTCCGGGAATCAGTGTGTTTTTACATGAGTAGAATGTGTGGTTTTATTTAAAATGCATCTCTGGGTTATTTGTGGTGCATAGGAATTCATTCATTCCTCCCCCCCAAATATAGTCCGGCCCCCCACAAGGTCTGAGGGACGGTGGACCAGCCCCCTGCTGAAAAAGTTTGCTGACCCCTGGTCCAGGGTCTCAGTTAGCAAGTAATGGCCAGTGTCAGACACCCATGTGGGTTTTCTGGAGGGGTTTTCCTGTGCAGATTAGGATCATTTCCCTCTTGCGTTCAAAATAAAATAAAAATGAGAGTGATCTGATTTAGCTTGCTTGTTTCCTGAATGCAAGGAAGAGAGAGCTAAGAACGGTGAAGCTGTCAAGCCTGAATAAATAAATAAATTTTCCGCTCTGCATCACTTGATGTCCAGGGATTGAACCTGAGGCATTCTGCAAGCCAAGCAGCTGCTGTGTCTCTGAGCTATAGTCCTCTCTGCCTGGGAAAAAATGGATATTTCTTCGATTTCTCCCTCCCATCCTCCCATCTCCATTTCTCAGTCAGACATCCATCTGTTTGAAGGCCGTGGGGGGTGAGCTGCCTGAGTCTTGCCAGTAAAATTACTGAATGGCAGGTAGGGATGGTTTCGAAAAAAAGGGAATGTAGACATGCTGCTGACAGTAGACTGGAGATCCATTCTTTTCTTGATGGGGGAAAAAACAAAACCCAAAACTCTTTCAAGGAACAAAGCAAACAGCGCTTTACTTAGAGCAAGCCCCCTGAGTTCCGTCTTGTGGAGCCCTTCCTTTTAATTTTATGTGGCTGCATTCCTGAAAATGCAATATATCATAGTTAAAATAAAGAAAAGAAAACGTACCCACCACCCACCCTATTGTAACAGATGGCATGAGAACAGCCCCGATTTAAAACCCTACTGTAAAAGCCTGTGTGAATTCATGTTTTGTCACTTTTATTATTAGTATTAATATTCTGTTGGGAGCCACCCAGACTGGCTGGGTTAATAATAATAATAAGGCCCTAGAAAGAGGGAGATGAACTTCCCTTTCTGCATTTTCCCTATCATCATCATCGTTCTGTGAACCTCTTTTCATTCACCCCCCACCAACAGAACCCTTAGTTTGATGTTCCCGTGCCAACTCAACTCCCAAACCTGCTTTTAAGACTTTTTGGGGTGGGTGTGGAATGGCCTTCAGCTCTGGACCTCAGTGTCCGGGCTGAATGATGGGGGTGGAGACACTCCTTCAGGTATACTGAAGAAACTTGCAATCAGTTAATTCTTGGCAGAGGAATTTTTTCTGCTTGCAGGTTCTTTGTTCCACAGGACTTTCTGACTCCTCAGACGTTAGAGTTCATCGGCCCCTTGATAATAATAATAATAATAATAATAATAATAATAATAATAATAATAATAATAATAATAATAATAATAACAATAATAATAATAAAAAATAAGTATTTATTGATGAGCTCATAAAGTTGTTGTCGACACCAACCCAAGTTTTTTAGGAACGTAAATGTAATCAAAAGTCAAGAACATGTGCAGGGGAAGGCAACCAAGTTGACCCAGGGTCTGGAAACCAAGCCTTATGAGGAACAGTTGAGGGAGTTGGGTATGTTTAGCCTGGAAAAGAGGAGGCTAAGAGGAGATTTGAGAGCCAGTTTCAAATATCTGAAGGGCTTCTGCTCTACAATTCTATGATTCTATAATCAACATTTGCTAATCATCATTCATCATTACTAGAAATCGTAGAATTTGAATAAAATAAGGAATATTGTTGCATAACGGAATCATCTTACTAAATACAGAGGGTCCTCACAGGCAAGGAACGTGCACTCTGCACATGCCCGTGCTCTTTACTTCTGAGGCTCATAATTCCTAGTGAAATCTTTCACGTCCGTGGCGTTAGAAGGGACCCCAAGTGTCATCTTGTGCAGCCCCCCCAAAGTGTAAGAATTGCAGCTAAATAATCCCTGAGAGACGGCACTCCAGCCTCTATTTGAAAACCAGACACGGCTCTCACTGACAGGAAGTTCTTCCTAATGTTTAGATGGAATCTCCTTTCATTGCAAATAAATTGGCTATTTTTTAAGAAAAGGTGCTGCGACGTGATTCTTTGTTTTCTGCTAGAGACCGACACAGGGGCCCATCTGGAAGTTGCTTCCCAATTCAGCTCCGAAGGACTTTTTGGCCTGACGTGCTTTAAAAGGACATCTCCTCCTCTGGAGGATGAGCAGAACCAGATGCTCCCAGGCTGGGGGAGAAGTTGGCCCAGGGCCTGATGGTTCTGCCAAATCGCTGGAGGGGACGATGGGATCCGGATTGGAGTGTGCTCAGGGCTCCCTCCCCAGGTGCTCCTGGACTGGGAATGGGCTCAGGGTAGGCTGGGATCTGCTGGTGGATCTCTGGGTAATTTGTAGCAGATCTGCATATAATTCTTGTTCACAGCAGGGAGTCATTCTGGACTCATAGAATCATAGAATCATAGAGTTGGAAGAGACCACAAGGGCCATCGAGTCCAACCCCCTGCCAAGCAGGAAACACCATCAGAGCACTCCTGACATATGGTTGTCAAGCCTCTGCTTAAAGACCTCCAAAGAAGGAGACTCCATCACACTCCTTGGCAGCAAATTCCACTGTCGAACAGCTCTTACTGTCAGGACGTTCTTCCTAATGTTTAGGTGGAATCTTCTTTCTTGTAGTTTGGATCCATTGCTCCGTGTCCGCTTCTCTGGAGCAGCAGAAAACAACCTTTCTCCCTCCTCTATGTGACATCCTTTTATATATTTGAACATGGCTATCATATCACCCCTTAACCTCCTCTTCTCCAGGCTAAACATGCCCAGCTCCCTTAGCCGTTCCTCATAAAACTCACAGCTGTCATAAGACTCACAGCTGTCCATGGAGGCGCAGGTCAATTCTGTGTCCAGGGCAGCTGTCTCCCAGCTCCATCTGGTACACAGGATGAGACCCTCGCTGCCTGCAAACTGTCTCGCTAGAGTGGTGCATGCTCTGGTTATCTCCCGCTTGGACTACTGCAATGCGTTCTACGTGGGGCTACCTTTGAAGGTGACCTGGAAACTGCAGTTAATCCAGAATGCAGCAGCTAGACTGGTGACTGGGAGCGGCCGCCGAGACCACATAGCACTGGTCCTGAGAGATCTGCATTGGCTCACAGTACGTTTCCGAGCACAATTCAAAGTGTTGGTGCTGACCTTGAAAGCCCTAAATGGCCTCAGTGCTGTATACCTGAAGGAGCGTCTCCACCCCCATCGTTCTCCCCGGACACTGAGGTCCAGCGCCAAGGGCCTTCTGGCGGTTCCCTCCCTCTGAGAAGTGAGGTTACAGGGAACCAGGCAGAGGGCCTTCTCGGTAGTGGCGCCCGCCCTGTGGAACGCCCTCCCAGCAGATGTCAAGGAAATAAACAACTATCTGACTTTTAGAAGACATCTGAAGGCAGCGCCGTACAGGGAAGCTTTTAATGTTGATTGCTGTATTGTGTTTTTAATATTCAGTTGGAAGCCGCCCAGAGTGGCTGGGGAAACCCTGCCTGATGGGCGGGGTATAAATAATAAATTATTATTATTATATAACTTGATTTAAAACAACAAACATGCAGGTGCAGTCATCTTTCCCCCAATGCGGGATTCGAACCCACTACCCAGAGATTAAGCGCCTCATGTTCTACCAACTGAGCTACCCCCGTCTAGTAGCCCTCAATGGCAACGTTCATAACTCCCATTGTTCTCGGCGCATTTTGCGATGGGAAATGTCAATAGTGCAAGCAGTTTCTGAGCTCTGGGCGCAGGACTGGGCCTAAGATTTGAGATTAAAACTGCAGCGTGGAAGGAAAAGACGACCTTTTTCTGCCTCCGCGCTTCTGCTCTCTGAAGACTGCAGAAGTTAGAGAAGGGGAAGGTCTAGGCCGGGGCTGTCCAACAGGTCGATCACAATCTACTGGTCGATTGCAGGATGTTCCCCTGGTTGATCCTGGTCGATCTTGGGACCCTCAACCACTTTTTCAAAAATAAAAAATTGCTCAACAGCTTTGCTTCTTCCTCCTCTCAACAACTCTGATCAGTAAGGTAAAGGTAAAGGGACCCCTGACCATTAGGTCGAGTCGTGGCCGACTCTGGGGTTGCGGCGCTCATCTCGCTTTACTGGCTGAGGGAGCCGGCGTACAGCTTCCGGGTCATGTGGCCAGCATGACTAAGCCACTTCTGGCGAGCCAGAGCAGCGCACGGAAATGCCGTTTACCTTCCCGTTGGAGCGGTACCTATTTATCTACTTGCACTTTGACGTGCTTTCGAACTGCTAGGTTGGCAGGAGCAGAGACCGAGCAACAGGAGCTCACCCCGTCGCAGGGATTCGAACCGCCGACCTTCCGATCGGCAAGCCCAAGAGGCTCAATGGTTTAACCCACAGCGCCACCCGCGTCTGATCAGTGCTACCCCCGAAAAGCTCAACAACTTTGGTCAATACAATGGGCATATTACTGCCAGTTTTTTTTTATTTTTAGTTGGAATAGATCGCAGTCTCTTGGAAGCTGGGCACCCCTGGACTAGACCATGTGAAACATGAGCATAATATTTTAGCTGCAGTTCATTCATTTTCAGCTTTGCATTTTTGTTCTTAAAAAAGAATGCGCCCATTTCGTTGTTGCACCCATAACCTCGGTTTAAGGTGCCCTTTAGCTCCTAGCTTTCATATCTCAGTTTCTAACATGGCTCAGTAGCCCTTGCCCTCCATGAATTTGCTTGATTTTTAAACCCATCTAGGTTGGTGGCTGTCCCATCCATAGTTTAACGGCGCACTGCAGGAAGAAGTGCTTTCATGAAGAAGTCGTAGCCCAAAACATCTGGAGGGCACCGGGTTGGCAATGGCTGCAGGGTGCATTGCATTCTTGGTCTTGCTCTGTCGTTTTGCTTCATGGTTTTCTTTCTTTTGCTGAGCTCTCGAGACTCTGCCGCTCCCATGTTTCTCTTCCTGCCCCTTCACATTTCTTTTAAAAATGGGTCTAGAACTGGGATGCTGTTGATGCAAAGGCGCTGTAAGATAATACGTTCAGAAGCCAAGGAGGAGGTGAGAACTTCAAAGAGAGCTCTATTTTTATATCTGGCACATCTCTCTCTACAATTGACACCAAGGTCCCAGGCGTGCCGGCATCTTGCACAACCTGTTTGGGACTCAAGAGGCTCTGGAGAAATAGGGGAACGAAAGCGTGCTAATGAGATTTATGTTTATGAGCTCAGGGGCTGGTGGTGGGCCGGCATTCCTGAGTGTCCGAATCGGCAGCTGTGCGCATGCCCTTTATTCAATTATTCTTGTTTACTGTACAGTGGTACCTCTGGTTGCGAACGGGATCCGTTCCGGAGCCCCGTTCGCAATCCGAGAGGAACGCAACCCAACGTCTGTGCGTCTGCGCGCGCGCGGGTCACGATTCGTCGCTTCTGCGCATGCACGTGACATCATTTTGTGCATCTGCGCATGCGCGAGCTGCGAAACCCAGAAGTAACCCTTTCTGGTACTTCCGGGTTGCTGCGGGACACAAACTGAACCAAACGTAACAAGAGGTATGACTGTATTTATAGCCTGCCTTTCTCCCATGTCGGCGTTCAGCTCATAGAATTGTAGAGCTGGGGGGGCTCCCCAGCGGTCATCTAGCCCAACCCGCTGCCACGCGGGGACCACCGCTCCAGAATCCCTGACAGGTGGCCACCCAACCTCTCTTTCAAAAACCACAAGGAAGAAGAGTCCGCCAGCTTCCGAACGACTCCTGCAAGGCAGCTAACAGCACTTAGAGACATTATAAAATGCAAAGCAGTAAGAACAAACCAGCTGAAAAGCGATAATTAAAATGAAAATGCATTTGTGTGGGGTTTCTCTCACGCTTCACCCGGAAGCTGCAGTGGGTGCAGAATGCTGCAGCACAATTGCTGACAGGAGGGAGGTGTTGCCAGCATATAACTCCCGTGCTCACAGATCTGTACTGGCTGCCCATCTGCTACCAAGCCAAGTTCGAAGTGCTGTTATTAGTATATAAAGCCCCTAACAACTGGGGACCAGTTTACCTGTGAGATTACCTTACCTCACAGACGCCCACTCGGCCACTTCGGTCGGAGGAATTGGCCCTGCTACAGGTGTCCCATAATACTCATTCCGCACTTGTAAGAAATCCATCTTTTAATTTGGCACTTTGGAACTGCCTGCCTAGTGATATCAAGCGGGCACCATCACTGTATTATTTTTGGTGCCGTGATGAAGACAATCTAAACAGGCAGCTCTGTTTAGGGAAGCTTTTAATGTTTAATAGGTTATTGTATTTTAGTGTTTCGCTGGAAGCCGCCCAGAATGGCTGGGGAAACCCAGCCAGATGGGCGGGGTATAAATAATAAATTATTATTATTATTATTATTATTATTATTATTATTATTATTTGGACAAGTCCACCCAGAGACTTAGAAAGTTGAGGTACTGTGAATCTGTTTCAGTATATTAACTTTTGTATCTTCCAAAATAGGATTCCTACCCCCTTGATTTTTGTCTTTTGTAAACTGCTTCAAGGGTTGTTGTTTTTTTACAATGAAGCAGTGTATAAATTTTATGAGATTAATAAATTTAGAACCAGCTATTAAAATCCAGTTTGCCCTGAAAGAAGCCCAGCGATCAGCTTGGTCTAGACCAAGGTTTCCCATCTGTTTTTTGGGTACAGTTCCCATCATCCCTTACCACCGGACCTGCTAGCTTGGGGTGATGAGTTTTGTAGTCCAGAAACTTGGAGACCCAAGTTTGGGAGACCCTGGTCTACATGTCAGTTCCCAAAGGCTTGTCTGAGCAGGAAGGTGGAAGAAAAGCGAGGAGATGGTCAAGCCTGACCTCTCTTGAGAGGAGGGAATTTCGTGTCTCGTGGCACCACCAGCCTTGCTTCTAATGCTGAAGGGACCGAGAGGAGGTGCCTACAAGTCGCTTCCCACGAAAACATATGTTTGTTATTAAGAAGAATAATTTAAAAAATCAACAGTAAAGCTTTGCAAAACAAACAAACAAACAAACAATTTCAGTGCCAGTGGAGAGAAACTGGATGGGATTAGAAACTTCCAAGCCTTTAAAAGTCTTGCAAAAAGAAAAAGGGAGGAAGAGTTTGCAAAGGAAATGGTAGAGTTGTTACCTACCTCAGTATGCAGGGGCAGGGAGTTCCAAAGGCTGGTGCAGCTATAGTAAGGTTCCCAGATTTTTTTCAATGAATCCGGGGACACTTTTCAACTTCAATGGATTTTGTATGGGGACTGATTTGTAAATCCGGGGACTGTCCCCGGGAAATGGGGACGTATGGTAACCTTAGGCTCTAGTCAAGGTCCAGTTCCTGCAAACCGGCCTTCTGGATATTTGCTTGTGGAAAACTCTCTGCAATTCCCAGGCAGGTGGGGGCTATAGGGGCATGTTAGCTTTTGTCCTGAGCTCATTTTGTCTTTTTGCCTGTGGGTCACGGAAACTGATTGGGGTTGACGGTTCACTTCACCTAACGCTGCTTAGCCTGCTTGCCCACTCCTCCTCCTCTTCACCCCCCCCATGAAGAAAATTGTTGGTATGGGCTTGGACATGTCAGCCCTTAGGACCCAGAGGGAATGCTTCGGAGAACTGTTTGGGCAAGGCGGTTCCCTACCCTGTGCAATATCTTTTGTCGGGGAGAGAGAAGTCTTAACTGTGGCTCAACCTGCCTGTCTTCTTCCCCTCTCCTGCTCCCCTTTGTGCACCCCCTCTTTGTCTTCAGAGGCAGCCCGCTGCACCCCCTCGGAGCATGGCCCTTCGCTGACAGGGCTGGCCGAAGTTCGACGCAGAGCAAGCCGGAGGAACTTCTCCCTGGGTCAAATGGCGACTGCAAACAAGGGTGAGTGGCCGGTGTGTGGTACCCGAGTGGGGCTGGATGCCCGTTGCCACGGCGACCTGAGCATCCTGGGTGGTCTTGGGCTGCTTTGGCCCTTCCGTCGGGCATGTTCCTCGAGTGCAGGGTTCCTTGCTCTTAGTTTGAATGCCAGAGCTTCCCTGCTGGATCAGGCCGAGTCCAGGCAGCTGCAGTCTCTCAGCCTGCAACCTGGAGGGTTGTTAGCACAGCGTTCGCCAACCTGGTGCCCTCCAACTTTTTTGGATCCCAGCTCCCATCAGCCAGCGCAGGCCTACCTTGCAGGGTTGCACAGGACACAGAGACGATGCAGAGCACAAATGATCAGGATTGCGCTTGAAACATTATGTGTTCCCTTTTGCAAGTTTAGGGAGGCTGCGGTGGTCCTGTGCTGGACGAAATTCCTGCCCACACTAACCCAGTGACCTCCAGAGGTTTTGGACTACGACTGCTGTGCTGGCTGGGGCTTCTGGGAGTCGTACAGTGGTACCTCAGGTTAAGTACTTAATTCGTTCCGGAGGTCCGTTCTTAACCTGAAACTGTTCTTACCCTGAAGCACCACTTTAGCTAATGGGGCCTCCCACTGCTGCCCCACCGCTACTGCACGATTTCTGTTCTCATCCTGAAGCAAAGTTCTTAACCCGAGGTAATATTTCTGGGTTAGCGGAGTCTGTAACCTGAAGCGTCTGTAACCTGAGGTACCACTGTAGTCCAAAACCATGGCATTGCTCCAGGTTGTGCTATGCAAAGGCTCTGCTATGCCGACGTCGCACGAATTCTGTCTTGAGCCTTTTTGGTTGTGATATGTCCAAACTAACATCCATCACTGCACCCGGAGGTAGGAAAGGTGAGGGAATAACATTCTTTGTAAATAAGCCTCGTGCCCATCAAAGGGCAGTAGAGCTGTCCTCAGGCAAGGGGGCTGTTGTATCCAAAACAATACAGAACGGAACTGGCTGAAATACCTGGCCGAGTGGCTCGAATCTTTTGCTCCATTTCTGCCTGCCTTTCTGTGTTTCGTATTCAGTCCTTGCCTCCCTTTAATAATCCGTTTCAGAAAGCGGATGCAAATCGGTTCAGAACGTCTCCGGCGAGGAAAATCCGCGTGCCGCAGCAAAAACCAGAATGAAAGGGGTTTGAGCCAGTTTGGTGCAGAGGGCAGCGCCGTGACTGCCTGAACTGGCAACGGGTTCAAATCGCTACTGGCTTGGCGGGCAGAGGGCTGCGTCTCAGGCTTGCCGTCTTCACAGGGTCGTTGGGGGTCTAAGACTGGATAGCCCCTGAGCTCCTTGGAAGAAAGGAATGCTTTTGCACGCAACGCATGGTGAAACTGTGGCGCTCATTGCCCCAGCAGGTGGTGGTGGCCCCAGCCTGGGTGCCCTTAAAAGGGGAGTAGAGAGATTCCTAGAGGAGGAGACGGCTATTGATGGCTACTAGCCATGATAGATATAAAACAGCTCCACAGTCAGAGGCTGCAGTGCTTCTGAATCCCAGGTGCTGGAAGCCACAGGAGGGGAGAATAGCTCTTGTGCTTACTGGTTTCCTGGCTGGCCATTGTGAGAACAGCATCCTGGACTGGCTGTTGGCCTCATCCAGCAGACCCTTCTCACATTCTTACGCGCTTATAAACTCATGCCTCAACAGACCAGCTCTGCAGCTTTGCAAGGCACGCCTGCCTTTTTGCAAAAAAAAATATTAGCAGATGCCTGGAGTCTCCTAAGAATCGGTGCTTCTAATTCTCCTGCCTTCCACTGCCGAAACCTCTCTGCGTTAACCACCCTTTTCTCCCCCAGCTCCCAATGGCCTCAACCCCCATTATTTGGCCTTATTGACAACAGAATTATGTACAGTGGTACCTTGGTTCTCGAACTTAAACTATTCAGGAGGACTTCTGAAACCGTTCGAAAACCAAGGTGCGGCTTCCGATTGGCTGCAGGAGTTTCCTGCCGTGTCGGACGTTTGGCTTCTGAAAAACATTTCTGGGTTTTTGGTGTTTGGGAGCAGGTTTGTTCGACAGCTAAGCTGTTCAGGAACCAAGGTACCACTGTATCTCCTTGTCTCTTCAGAGGTAAGGGGCTTCTTGAGTTCAGTGGGGCAGAGGGAGGTTCATGTAGGATTGCATTGCAGGGGGTTGGGATAGATGACCGCTGGGGTTCCCTTCCAGCTCTACAGTCCCATGATTGTAGCCTCAGCGGCTGATCCATGGCTAATGGGCAGAATTCGGAATGTGCTACCCACCCTCCTCTTTCCTCCTCCTCCTTTGCTGGACAGGAGTTTGTGGAAAGGCAAGTCCATGTACTTTGACCTGGGAGGGGGACGCGGAAAACCTTGCTGGACAGGAGGAGGGAAGCCTCCCAGAAGTTAGTTGTCCTGCCTGGGGCATAATTGCAAACTCATCAGCACTGGAGGGGACTTCAGCTATTGCAAGATATGCTTTTTTATTGCACTGTATTTTATTGGGACCCTGAATTCCACCAACTGGCGTCTGGTATAGAAAGACGTACGCTTAGGATTCAATAATTTTCATCACAGGTGTGATTTTGAGTACCAGAACTGAATGGAGCCCAGTCCTTACACCCCCCCCCCCAAACGTGGTCTGTCCTTTCCCCCAACTTTCTTCATTCCAGCTATGATATACTGTCAGTGGGTGAGTCATTTCTGTTGCAATTGCTGAACAACCGGGGAGTCAGGAATCCTTTGCTTACTCAGACATTAATACGAGGTTAGGAGAGGCAGGTGTAGTAGTAAACAGCCCGCTGGGAGATCCAGCTTCACATCCTTGCTTGCTGTCGTGAGTAGGTTGGAGTAGTGGTTCAGAGTGTCAGACCAAGACCTGGGAGACCAGGGTTCAGATCCTGGCTCGGCCATGACTCCCACTGGCTGTGACCTTGGGCTGCCAGTCCACTGCTTTGCAGCTTAACCTACTTTGCAGTGTTGTTGGGATTAAACCAGGCACAGGGCCTTCTCAGTGGTGGCACCCACCTTGAACACCCTCCCATCAGATGTCAAGGAGCTGAGTAGCTATATACCTTTTAGAAGACCTCTGAAGGCAGCCCTGTATAGGGAAGCTTTTTAAGGTTTGATGTTGTTTGATGATGTTCATATATATGTTGGAAGCTGCCCAGAGTCGCTGGGGCAACCTGCTCAGATAGTCGGAGTACAATTAATAGAAATTATTATTATTAAATTATGGGGGAGAACCTTGGATGAGCTCCTTGCAGAAAAAGGATGGGATTATAAGTGCAGTCAATAAATAGTGAATTGCTTTGCTTCTAAACTGTCTGCATTGCTGATTACAGTGAGCAAGGTAGAGGAAGCATTTGGCTGCTGAAATAAACGACTGCTGTGTCTTGTATCTGCTGAACCCGCAGCCTCATATTCTTCCTCTGTCACTGGTGCCCCCAGATGCCCCACAAAGGGATGGAGTGGCTGCTCTAGGGCCTTTTTAGTGTAGAGCAAGGTTTCCCCAACGTGGGTCTCCAGCTGTTTCAGAACTACAATTCCCATCATCCCTGACCACTGGTACTGTATCCAGGGATGATGGGAGTTGTAGTCCAAAAAAATAGCTGGAGACCTGAGTTTGGGAAACATTGGTTTAGAGAAAAGGTAAGAGGCCACATGATATTGTTGAGAGACAAAAGAGGAGGGCTCCTTTGGGGGTGAGGTCAATCAGCTGGAGAGTTGCAGCGCCTGCTGTGGCTGCAGAGACCAACAGGGGAGAGACATGTTTTGTTGCAGCCGGGGCAGGTGAAGGCATCTGGTTCTGCTGCTGCAGATGCACCAAGGCTAGGGTTACCAGATGTCCCTGGTTCCCGGGGACAGTCCCCGGATTTGCAAATCTGTCCCTGGACAAATTCCATCTCTGGAATGTCCCCAGATTTGCAAATCTGTCCCCTGTGGCAGTGGCAGTCTCAGCAGCCTGGAGCCAGCCTGGTAGCACAGTTGGCCCTGGCTGGCTCCAGGAGCTGCCTGCTGCCATGGCGCCCGCCATTTTTCCTCGCCGAAACTTCTGGCAAGAAAAAATGGCGGGCGCCACGGCAGCGAGCAGCTCCTGAAGCCAGCCAGGGCCAACTGCGCTACCAGGCTGGCTCCGGGCTGCTGACTGCCGCTGCCAAAGGGGAACTGGGGATGTCTGGCGGTACAGATCTCCTGCCTCCTTCCCCCTTTGTTTTGACTGATCAGGGGAGGCTCGGGGGTTGCAGCCAGCCGGCCGTTGCCCAGTTTTTAAAAAGCTCTACGCATTTATGTTTCACAAGGTGCGAAAGAAGGGCTTTGCACCTTGCCTGGCAGAGAAACCACGCGCCTTGTACCGCTCCTGGGCAATGGCTGCTCGCCCGCGAGGGGGAAGGAGATCGGGGAAGGCTCAGGAGTCACGGGTGTGCGGCGTGCCATTGCCCAGTTTAAAAAACTCTGTGCATTTTCTGTGTCACAGGGTGCAAAAGAAGGGCTTTGCACCTCATCATCCCCACTACTGACTCCCTGTTGCTACCCAGCTTAAAAAAAAAAAAAAGTGTCCCCGGATTCATTGAAAAAAATCTGGTAACCATAACCAAGGCGTTTCTTCTCTCTGTGCTCCTTCAGTGGTCATTTCTCCTCTGGTCACTGCTACAGATGCATGACCTGACGGTCTGTCTTCAGGCACGGCAGTTGTCTGCAAAGGGATTCCCCCACGGTGTTGCCATCCTCCGTGCCACTTTTGCAGACATTTTTGTGTCACAGAGTTGGGCCTGGTGCCAGAAGCCAGGAGCACATCCTTGGGGATATGACAGGAGTTTATGATATGGTTCGTGGCATGGAGAAAACTGAAAGGGGATTTCAAGCTTGGTGAAAAACAGGCCTGCCCCTATTCCTACAGTTTAACAGACGCAGCATAAAAGGAAAAGGCAACAAGGAGGGAGGAGAATGGGGGAAAGAGCAAATTTAGGGTACCTGTGCTTCAGGTTACAGAGCTCTTGCAGCGAGCAGCTAGGCTGGAAACAGTTCAGGGGAGTCTGATGGAATGGCTCTTGCTTGGGGTCAGATGCAGGAGAGCCAAGGGCAGCTAGCCTCTGCCTTTGGTGCAGCCTGATGGAAAGGTTGCTTCCAGGTGGCTGGGCTCAATGCTCTGCTAATGCTGAACCCCACCCTGGGGGTGGAGAGGACTCGGCCCCAGCTGTGCAGCCCTCACCCTCCAGCTATCGGCACCGCCTTCATGTCTGAGCTTGCTGGGGCTCGTGTCCCTGACCTTTTGTTTTTTAAGCACCTGCCCAATGTCATGTTTTCCGTCGATCAGATACGCAGTGACCCATCACTCTGAACTTTTCCACATTTTTTAAAGAAAACAACTGCGTGATGGGCTGATACGGGCTGTGAGTGCTGCTTGCTGGGTTGGTTTGGGGGATGGGGGACTCTTAACAGGCTTAGCTGTAGAGGCGATCAGGCTGGGTAAGGCAGTTTAGGACCTAGGCTAACGGTTTATTGTCGGTGCTCAGGTGTGGAAATGCCAGGCAGGCTTTTTAAAATGTGCATCTTCAAAATAAACATATTTTAAAAATATAATTTGTTCCATTAGAAAATGTCTTTGTCTTCTTCCTTTGTCTCTTTGTCTTCTTCCTTTGTCTCTTTGTCTTCTTCTCTGTCTTTGTCCTCTTCTTTGTCTTTGTCTTTGTCTTCTTCATAGTGGAGGCGCTTATCCAAAGCGGGCTCCCTGGAAACATTTATAAATAAGTTTCCGTGGCAGAAACCCTCTGCAAAAGGAAGAGCTGGATCGTTTCCACTTGACACGCCTCTGCTCATCAGTCGAACTGTGCACCCTTTTCACTGTCTCCTGAGCACCAAACTTATCTCTGCCATTTGGTGCATTGTTGTCACTGAGAGCTGCAGCTGTTGCCTGTTGATAGCAAGCCCAATAAACACGCGAGACGAAACCGGCTGTGTTCTTAGATAAATAAGGTATACTATTCATAGTATCAAATTATAAATTTCAACGGAAGTTCAACAAACGGACAAAGCAGAAGACCCAGTGGATCAGATCATTCTTTAGTCAGTTCATGCATGTTTATATTATTTTTGTTGTAAAATGTGTGAGATCATGATACTGTATTTATTTGCATTACTTAGAGCTTTAAGTACTGATGAAGCCCAGGACGGCGAAACAAGGCCAATATTATGGAAATCCTTGTCTAGACTCTGTTTAAGGATTTTGTGGAACTGTAACAACCTTTCATGTGGACTTTTTGGACTTTACGAACAGACAGATTGAATAGGCACCATTATACAGATGGACCTTATGCATGAACTGACTAAGGAATGATCTGATCCACTGGGTCTTCTGGTTGTTCGTTTGTTGAACGAACTTCCATTGAAATTTATAATTTGATACTATGAATAGTATACCTTATTGAGGAGTGGAGATGCGAACCCGGTTCACTGGATTACGAGTCTACCACTCTTAACCACTACAACATACTGGCTCTCACCTTGCAGTAGTCCAAGCGGGAGATAACCAGAGCATGCACCACTCTGGAGAGACAGTTCGCGGGCAGGAAGGGTCTCATCCTGCATACCAGATGGAGCTGATAAACAGCTGCCCTGGACACAGAATTAACCTGCGCGTCTATGGACAACTGTAGTTCTTAATTACTCCCAGGCTGCACACCTGGTCCTTCAGGGGCACAGTTGCCTGATTCAGGACCAGGGAGTCCTCCACACCTGCCTGCCCCCTGTCCCCCCAAAACAGTACTTCTGTTTTGTCAGGATTCAACCTCATTCTGTTAGCTGCCATCCATAGTGTGGCTGCATTTGGAATACTTTGTGCAGTTCTGGTTGCCAAAGGGATATCGTAGAGTTGGAAAAGGTTCAAAAAAGGGTGCCCAAAATGATCAGAGGGATGGAGCAACCCCCTACGAGGAAAGGCTGGGCTTTTTAATTTTGAGAGAAGGCGAGTAAGAGGCAGCATGGCAGACATTTTTTTAATTATGCAAGCCGTTGAGAAGGCGGGTGGACTTTTCTCCCCCTCTCGTAACGCTAGAACTCATGGACACCTAATATTGGAAGGTTCAGGACAGATAAAAGAAAGCCTTTCTTTACTCAGCACATAGTTGAACTGTGGAACTCACTGCCACTTGATGGCTACTAGCCATTATGCCTGTGCTATGTCTTCGCAGCTGGAGGCAGCCATGCTGCTGAACGCCAGTTGTCGGAAACCACGGGAGAAGAGGGGCTCTTGCGCTCGAATCCTGCTTACAGTCCTATTGGTAATATCCAAGGCAACATGATGACCAAGTCCAACAATGCAATATCAATATACAGTGGTACCTGGGGTTAAGTACTTAATTCGCTCTGGAGGTCCGTACTTAACCTGAAACTGTTCTTAACCTGAAGCTCCACTTTAGCTAATGGGGCCTCCTGCTACTGCCGTGCCACCGCTGCATGATCTCTGTTTTCATCCTGAAGCAAAGTTCTTAACCTGAAGCAGTATTTCTGGGTTAGCGGAGTCTGTAACCTGAAGCGTATGTAACCTGAAGCGTATGTAACCCAAGGTACCACTGTAAACTCTTTATATAATCTATACGGAACATTGAACAATATGAAATATATGAAATATGCACTCTCTACATAACCAAATAAACAGAAGTGTTACAAATCTCTGAAAGTCACAAAATGTGTACTCTTGGTGGTTTCTCTTGAAAACGTAGAACCAAATAAACAGAAGTATAGATTATATAAAGAGTTTATATTGATATTGCATTGTTGTACTTGGTCATCGTGTTGTCTTGGATATTACTGATATTTGTTTGCAACACAGGGGTTTAATTCTTTGGTTACTTATTGTTGTACAATCCTGTTGGGGCATCTGGTTATTCACTGTGAGAACAGGATGCTGGGTTAGGTGGGCCTGATCCTGCAGGCTCTCCCCATGTCTCTGTGTTCACCAGACCAAGCCAGCTGTGAATCAGCAGCTCCAACTTCTGTCTAACGTTGCTAGTGGATTCCTCTTTCTGAAATTGGCACCTGATCCCTGTTTGGCTTTGATGTGTCTCCTCTAGGCACCAAGTCCAAAGTGGGAGGTGTCCGCTTCGCCCCGCCTCAACCGGCAGAGGGGACTTCCAGCCATGTGCACTTTGACGAAAAGCTCCACGACTCCGTGGTCATGGTCACCCAGGAGAAAGATGGCAGTTTCTTGGTGAAGGTAAGAGTGCACTGTTGACTTACATTATGCTTGTGGTCCACCGAGACCCCTAGATCCATTTCACATGTACTACTAGTTGGGACGCGGGTGGCGCTGTGGGTTAAACCACAGGGCCTAGGACTTGCCGATCAGAAGGTCGGTGGTTCGAATCCCCGCGACGGGGTGAGCTCCCGTTGCTCGGTCCCTGCTCCTGCCAACTTAGCAGTTCGAAAGCACGAACTGCAAGTAGATAAATAGGTACCGCTCTGGCGGGAAGGTAAACGGCATTTCCGTGTGCTTCTCTGGTTCGCCAGAAGCGGTTTAGTCATGCTGGCCACATGACCCGAAAGCTGTGGGTCAGCTCCCTCGGCCAATGAAGTGAGATGAGCGCCGCAACCCCAGAGTCGGCCACAACTGGACCTAATGGTCAGGGGTCCCTTTACCTTTACCTTACTAGTAGGCCAGGCGTCTGTTTGCGCATCTGGAGTCTAGAGATCGGGACTGCGTGTTGGTGCTCCCATCATGTTGTTGTTTAGTCGTTTAGTCGTGTCCGACTCTTCATGACCCCCTGGACCAGAGCACGCCAGGCCCTCCTGTCTTCCACTGCCTCCCGCAGTTTGGACAAACTCATGCTGGCAGCTTCAAGAACATTGTCCAACCATCTTGTCCTCTGTCGTCCCCTTCTCCTTGTGCCCTCCATCTTTCCCAACATCAGGGTCTTTTCCAGGGAGTCTTCTCTTCTCATGAGGTGGCCAAAGTCTTGGAGCCTCAGCTTCAGGATCTGTCCTTCCAGTGAGCACTCAGGGCTGATTTCCTTCAGAATGGATAGGTTTGATCTTCTTGCAGTCCATGGGACTCTCAAGAGTCTCCTCCAGCACCATGACTCAAAAGCATCCATTCTTCGGCGATCAGCCTTCTTGATGGTCCAGCTCTCACTTCCATACATAGTCCCCCGCCTACCAGAAACCCTGTCTGTATGCTGGTGTCCCTATCTGCGCAGTAGATGTATGTATGTATGTATTTGTTTATTTATTTCCCTTCTCTTCTCTTCTCTTCCCTCCCCTTTTATGAAGATTACCCGCTCTGAGACCCCACAGCTAATTCTCCCCTGGCCTCCTCGCTGGCCCAAGTAGGTCTAATTTAGCCAGCTAGCCCTGGGGATTATCTAATGCTTATTACATGGATTTCCCCTAAATTGATTTCTGAACTTTGAATTTTATTGTTATTCTTTTTTTATACTGTATTTTATTCTGCTTCTACAATTAAGTGTTTTAAATTTGTTGTTAGCCTCCCTGAGCCCGGTTTTCTGAACCGGGAAGGGCGGGGTGTAAATAAAAATTTATTAGTAGTAGTATTAGTGAGGACTAGGAACACACTTTAAAAAATAAATTATTGAGTTTTACATAACATATTTCAATTTACACATATTGTTCACCATCACATTTAGGATTCTCAGAAGCCCTAGACTTCCCACCGCCCTCTGGTTCCCAATGTCAATCCCTTTTTCTTTCAGCTTATCCATTTTTTTATCTAATTTGTTAACAATATTACTAACTTTTCCCATTGTTACGCTTTTTAAACTCCACAAACCTAGCAGCAGCATAACGCTGAGCTGTTCTGGATTCCAAACTCTTCTGTGTCTAGCATCGCACCCTGTGTTTCTGATGAACTTTCTGCAAGAGGTTTTTCCTCTCTCGGCTTTATTCTTTGGCCCCTATAACTGAGATCCTTCCAGGTTCCCAGAGGGGACCCTCGCTCCCAGCAAAGCTCTTTCCAGGAAGGGTGAGCTATATATAAACCCTATGTGTCTAGATCCTGCCTCGATGATAGCATATTGAAATTAGCAAGTCCTTTTCGTAGCTCAGGGAATTACTGGTTTAATTCGCTTTTGCCCTTGGTGCTTGGAAGCCGTCCAAGCAAAGGGGATCAGGCAAGATTTTCAGCCTGGTAGCGTTGGTGGCTTAGTTGCTGTTGACTCAGAGCTTACCCAAATTAGCACCAATTTACCAGGACTTCGCCTGCTTCCTTCTCCTGCTTTGGCTAACAAATTGTCAGGAGACGGAGAGCATCCAGTTCTTTGTAACTCTTGAAGCAGGGGCAATAAAAAACTATTTTACTTTTAAAAGACAACTGAAGGCGGCCCTGTTTAGGGAGGTTTTTAATGTCTGACGCTGTATTGTTTTTAATATTCGGTTGGAAGCCACCCAGAGTGGCTGGGGAAACCCAGCCAGATGGGCGGGGTAGAAATAATAAATTATTATTATTATATTATTATTATTATTTTCACTGCGGGTGTAGGAGGACGCAGAGACACGGCAGAACAGGAGGTTTGTGTCGTGCAGAAAGCTTCAAAATGGAGAGGCTAGGAGCCTTGGTTTGGGGCGGGACTCAAGGCCTGCACAATGCGCTGGCTCTGGGATGCTCTGTGAGATTTCACGACGGCGCATGAATCCCCATGAGAATCCCTGGCTTCTCCCGCTAGCTAAGGGGTCAGGTGTGCACAGTTTTCCTGTACACACGGAAATCCTGGTGCCAAACCCCCTGGCTAAAAAGCTGTCGCACTGGGATCGATAAAATAAACACCCTAAGGGCACCACTTTGGCTAGCCCTGTTTTGGGGTTCCCTCTGTGAGACTTAATCCATGCGCAGGCGCCTGCTTCCCCCGTTCTTTTCACACACACCACTGTCTCCCAGCTGCTCCAGATGCCCGCAATGGCTGTTTCCTTCCTGCAAAAGGGAATCAGCCCATGGCTTTTGTTTTTTAAAAATTAACAGTAATTAAATCCTCAGTGTAGACTTCAAGGAGCCCCCCCCCATCCCATCCCACTGCCAAGAACTTTAGATCCCATTCTGGAAGCAGCTGTCCCTCCTGTTTTCATTCTCTTGCCAACGTTTTGTCCCCCTGGAGCAAAATGACTTCTGGGGAAGAGACGGGAGGGAGAGCCCTTGGGTGTCGGGCTGGGGGAAAGCCAGATGTGCGGAGAGATCTGTCGCCTGGCTTGTGGCGTTGCTTCGTCAGGTGTGGGGGTCCCTTCCTTCCACAGCACCTGGTTTTGCGAGCAAACCCAGTGGGAGTGAGTGAGGATAGGTGGTTTTTGCAGTGTAAAGGTAAAGGGACCCCTGACCATTAGGTCCAGTCGTGGCTGACTCTGGGGTTGTGGCACTCATCTTGCTCTATAGGCTGAGGGAGCTGGCGTACAGCTTCCGGGTCATGTGGCCAGCATGACTAAGCCGCTTCTGGTGAACCAGAGCAGCGCACGGAAACGCCCTTTACCTTCCCGCCGGAGTGGTACCTATTTATCTACTTGCACTTGGACATGCTTTCGAACTGCTAGGTTGGCAGGAGCTGGGACTGAGCAACGGGAGCTCACCCCGTCGCGGGGATTCGAACCGCCGACCTTCTGATCAGCAAGTCCTAGGCTCTGTGGTTTAACCCACCGCGCCACCCGCGTCCCTTTTGCAGTGTGGGGCCCTTCTAATTCCTATTACGTTTCCCGCTCTCAGAGCAGCCATAGATGGAGTCTTTGGCCTGGTTCAGACTTAGCAGCAAGCTGTGGTTTCCCTGGTAAAATCACACAACCAAGTTTTGGGGTGCCACGGCCCAGTGTGCTCACCCACTCCTCACTTTTCACGACTGAGAAGAATAAGCTTTCGCATACAGTGGGCAAACCACAACATCTGTTGCATCACAGGTAGCTCACCTCTGGCCTTCCAGATGTTCACAGAATCATAGAATTGTAGAGTTGGATGGTCATCTAGCCCAAGGGTCATCTAGTCCAACCCCCTGCAATGCAGGAATCTCAGCTAAAGCACCCATGACAGAGGGACACCCAACCTCTGCTCATAAACCTCCAAGGAAGGAGAGTTTACAACTTCCTGTGGGAGCCTGCTCCACTGTCTAATGGCCCTTACTGTCAGAAAGTTCTTCCTGATGTAACCCTGAAGCCATGGGTTCGAGTCCTACCCTCCAGAGCAGGGGAAAACAAACTTGCTCCCCCTTCCATGCGACAGCCCTTCAGATATTTGAAGATGGCTATCAGCTGGAACATAAAGAAGGCTGATAGCCGAAGAATTGATGCTTTTGAGTCATGGTGCTGGAGGAGACTCTTGAGAGTCCCATGGACTGCAAGAAGATCAAACCTCTCCATTCTGAAGGAAATCAGCCCTGAGTGCTCACTGGAAGGACAGATCCTGAAGCTGAGGCTCCAAGACTTTGGCCGCCTCATGAGAAGAGAAGACTCCCTGGAAAAGACCCTGATGTTGGGAAAGATTGAGGGCACAAGGAGAAGGGGACGACAGAGGACGAGATGGTTGGACAGTGTTCTTGAAGCTACCAGCATGAGTTTGACCAAACTGCCGCAGGCAGTGGAAGACAGAAGTGCCTGGCATGCTCTGGTCCAGGGGGTCACGAAGAGGCGGACACGACTAAACGACTAAACAGCAACAATCATATCTCCTCCCAGTTTACTCTTTTCCCGGCTAAACACACCCAGCTCCTTCAACCGTTCCTCATCAGGCTTGGTTTCCAGACCCTTGATCATCTTGGTCTCCCTCCTCTGCACACCTTCCAGCTTGTCAACATCCTTCTTAAATTGTGGTGCCCAGAATTGGACACGATATTCCAGGTGTGGTCTGGATCAAGACAGAATAGAGTATTGTTAGAGTACATCTCCTCTCAGCCCTGGCCAATTCTGGCAGTGCTACTTGTTGGATACCCTCCTTGTTGCATCCTCTTAGCTGTGTAAGGATATTTATATTGTGTGTTAGATCTGCTGCGGCCTTCAGAGGCAGCTGGGAGTTTGTATGGCACACACACACACACAAACGTGCATGCCTAGCTAAAGGAACTCAAATCTCAGAACTGCCTTCGGTCTTTGAGCCTCCACGTGTCTCTGAGCATGGGCAGAGCGTCTCCTCAAAGTCCCACGCCCGCTGACACCAGGGTTTTGGGGAGTCGTGACCCTGCCTGCGAGGTGACGAGGCTGAGGCTGCTCGACTTGCAGCATTTTTGGGAGGACTGCAATTACGAGATGGCATCAAGCTCCCTTTCTCCCCTTCTCTGCCAGGCCTTCCCATTTTTATCTGTGCGGCACTCCCGCCAAGCCTAATTACTTCTGGCATTTTGGACATAAAAACCAATTATCCAAGTTTCATTCCAGGAACAGCCTGATTACAGCAGCCTCTTCCGCCTCTGCGTTCTTATTCTTCCCTTGCTAGGCGTGAAACCAACAGGGTGGAAAAAGCGAAATTGGAGCTAGTTGCTGGGTATTATCTCATTCCTTGCTCTCTAGTTCTCCAGTAATGTGCGGAGGAAGGGATTTTTCACTTGGCTGTTGGGTGTGTGTTTTAAGGTTACAATCCCTCTCAGCCCCCCAGTCCCAGAGCTTTCGATCTTAATTTCCTTCTGCTCAGAGAAAGCCATCTCAGATACTATTCTGTCTAAGGCAGGATTAAATGCCGTTTCAAGGGCACTGAAATATTTATCGGTATAGATCTTGCCTGCTGGCACAACTACGAAGCTGCCTTTATTGGAGGACTTTTTGGCGATGGGTTGGGGGAGCGGGACCTGTGGCCCTCCAGATATTTATGAATTCCTTGGCTCCCATCAACCCCACCTAAATTGGCCAGTGGTCAAAGAAGACAGGTGGCCCTGTGTGGCCTGTTTGGGTAGCCAGCTGCTCTCCAAGTCCATAGGACCAGTAGTTATTTCAAGCACCACTCTCCAAATTCCCTTTTTTGCTGAAGGAGCGTCTCCACCCCCATCATTCTACCCAGACACTGAGGTCCAGCTCCAAGGGCCTTCTGGCGGTTCCCTCACTGCGAGAAACCAAGTTACAGGGAACCAGGCAGAGGGCCTTCTCGGTAGTGGCACCCACCCTATGGAACGCCCTTCCACCAGATGTCAAGGAAATAAGCAGCTACCCTATTTTTAAAAGACATTTGAAGGCAGCCCTGTTTAGGGAAGCTTTTAATGTTTGATGCATTACTGTATTTTAATATTTTGTTGGAAACTGCCCAGAGTGGCTGGGGAAGCCCAGCCAGATGGGTGGGGTATAAATATTAAATAATAATAATAATAATAATAATAATTATTAGCCAGAGGTTCTGTGTGTTCAGCCTGGGGCCTCCTGTGTTCAAAGCACTTGAGTTATCTCTCCGCACAATGCCACTGAATTCTTTTTATGATGGACATGGGAAGCCCCAGGTTAGGCTAGGCTGCCTTGGAGCGCCACCCTAAACCATGGCAGAGAGAAGTGAATCAGCCTAGTCCCCTCCTCCTGAGTTAACTGTGATTCGTCATGTGGCCCAGATTGACAGACAGTCTGTCCTTAATTGTGGTTAGCTTAAAGCAGGCCAGTGCCATTTCACAGTTTCTGAAGCCTGTTAACTAACCACAGTTAGATGGCCATTGTTCTGGGTTTCGATAGCACAGGAAACTGTGGTTTGCCGAAAGCGAAACGAAAGATTCTGAACTCCCCCCACAGCTTGCTAAACTATGGTTTAGCATGTTGCCTGTTCATGCCTACTTTATCTGCTCTGAGTGTTAGTGGCTCTCCTCAGTCTTAAGCGAAGTGAGGTTTTAAACTGGAGATGCTAGGACTGAACCCGGGGCCACCAGCATGCCAGACACCTGCTCTGCCCACCGAGCTAGAGTCCCTTGCCGTATGGAGTGTGTGATCTACGTCGGTTGCAAAATGACACTTGACTTGGCCAGGATCTGGGCTGCTTGAGTGCAGCGTTCCCTTCATCAAGGCTATTATTAAGCAGACATAAGTGTTATCGCAGCAAAGCATTTATTGGGAAGGCCTGTGAAGTACATATTATTATTATTATTAAACTGCTTTTAGTCTTCAGCCACTTTCTCAACCTGGACGGAGGCGTTTCTGCAGAAGCAGATCTGCTTTCCAACGAGTCGCCCAGATTACTCTCCCCCCCCGCCACCCCCCCTTCTGGGCTCTTTTCAGGCACCGAATCTCATTTACTGATGCGCGCCGTTGCTAACACATTAAGGCCTTGCCACGATCAAAGAAACTGTGAAAGCAGCCAGGCTGGTGCAGCTTAACGGCTGCCGACGTGCAGCTGGAAATGTTTTGGGACATTTGCAGAGCGGTTTTCGCCCGCCTCATCTTTGCTTGTTCATACTTGGAGCAGGAAACTGTGTGAATCTGGTATCATGAGAGAGAGAGAGAGAGAGAGAGAGAGAGAGAGAGAGGGAGGGAGATATTTTTGCTCCTGGTCTGGCTCTTGCCACATCCGGCTCAGAGCAGAGAGGTGCTTTTGTGTCTTGAGGGCAGCAACCTTTGGGCTTGGGAGACATGATGCTGTTGGGTGGGGTGGAGGCATATTACGTGAGGACGTGGCTCTTGGACTGGAAAGGGTTTCGCCAATCCTGATTAGGACCCACGTACCTACAGGACCGCCTCTCCTGCTATGCCCTGCGGGGGACCTTAAGGTCCGCAAATGACAACATTCTGTAGGTCCCAAGTCACAAGGTGGTTAGATTGGTCTCAACAGGGCCAGGGCCTTTTCAGTATTGGCCCCGACTTGGTGGAACGCTCTGTCACAAGAGACCGGGGCCCTGCGGGACTTGACAGGGCCTGCAAGACAGAGCTGTTCCACCTGGCCTTTGGTTTGGACTCAGTCTGACCCTTATGTTTCCCTCCCCTTATGGTCTTGATCTATGGGCTACTTTTAAAATGAGGCTGAATTTTAAATTGCATTTTAACCTGTATTTTAAATTGGGTCTCCCCGCCCCCCATTATGTTTTTACTGGGCGGGAGGGCAGGGTATAAACAAAATTTATTATTATTATTATTAATTATTTATTATTTGTACATGCTTTGAGTGTCTCGTTAGGAAATAGAGGACCCAACCGCCCTGGTCCCAGCCATAGAACCATAAAATAGTTGGAAGGGACCGCCAGTGGACATCTAGTCCAACCCCTTGCAAAAGAACCCGCAGCCAAAGAATCCTGGACAGATGCCCAGCCAACCTCTCCAGTGAAGGAGAGCCTGCCATCTTCCACCCACCCACAGGCAGGCAGTCTCATTTACTGTCAGTCTTCTCTTGCCATCAGAAAGTTCTTCCTATCATTTAGTCTGAATCTCCTTTTGTCTACCTTGGTTCTCAAACTTAATCCGTCCCGGCAGTCCATTCCAAAACCAAAGCGTTCCAAAACCAAGGTGCGCTTTCCCATAGAAAGTAATGCAAAACAGATGAATCCAGTCCAGACTTTTAAAAACAACCCCTAAAACAGCAATTTAACATGGATTTTACTATCTAACAAGACCATTGATCCATAAAATGAAAGCAATAATCAAATGTTCTGTGCTATAAAATAAATATGACATTATTGTAGATAATTAAACTTAATTTTTTTCTTACCTGCGCTGATTATAGTCATTGTTTGGATGGGGGGCTTTTATCCATTTCCGCAGTCACACAATCAATCAATCGATCATAAAACGAAAAACAAGCCATAGACACAAAAATGAAAAAGCCACACAAACAAAAACGCAAGAAATAGCAAAAACAAACGCACTGAATATCACCTCAGAACATTGCAATCAGAAGTGGAAGGCTTTAATTATGATGGGGGGGGGGGCGAACTAAAATTTGCTGCTTAAGGGTAAAACGGAAGCAAATAAGCCTTAATTAGGGTTGGGGGAGGGATGACTTAAATTTGCCGCTTAAGGGTAGAAACGGGAGCAAATAAGCCTTAATTACTATGCGGGGGACTCAAATTTCCTGCGCAACAGGAAAAATGGAAGCTCAGGAGCATGTTCAGCTTCCGGGACAAAGTTTGAAAACCGGGACACCTACTTCTGGGTTTGCAGTGTTTGGGTTCTGAGTTATTAGGGAACTAAGCTGTTCGAAAACCGAGGCACCACTGTAATTTGAATCCATTGATTCGGGTCCTCTGGAGCAGCAGAAAGCCAGCTTGCTCCATCTTCCATGGGTCCAGCCCTTCAGATATTTGAAGATGCCTGTCCTATTTCCTCTCAGTCTCCACTTTTCCAAGCTAAACACTCCCAACTCCTTCAGCCCTTCCTCAAAAGCCTTGGTTTCCGGACTTTTTATGCAGGAACCAGCTTTCAGCTGATTCACATCCTATGTCTGGATAGCTCAGTTGGTTAGAGCATGGCACCGATAACGCCAAGGTTGCAGGTTCGATCCCTGTAAGGGACAGCTGCAAAATTCTGCAGAGTAGGGGGTTGGATTAGATGATCCTCAGCGTCCCCCGTTGGGGGTTCCTGGCTAAAGATGCCCGTTCTTTGCCAGTTTGGTGCCCTCCACATATTTAGGGCTACAGCTCCCATTGGCACTACAGTGGACCCTCTAGTTATGTACCACTCTGGATACGTAACTTTCGGTTTATGAACGCTGCAAACCGCGCACGCATTCGCAGAAGCGATCTGAGCACCGTGCGCAGAAGCGCCCAATTGCGCTCCGCTTGTGCGCAGTAGCGGCACCTCTGCCGACGGACTTTTCGGGTTGTGGGCGGACCCCCGGAACGAATTTAATTTGTATCCGGAAGCTCCACTGTACTTTGTGTTCTCATCGCCTGCCATTCCATTTTTTTTTTTAAAAAAGGACCGTGTGAGTCTTTCCGCAGCCCAAGGCGTCTTCATCCCCTTTCTCGCTGCCTCAAATCATTTGCCCTGGGAAGCCAAGCTCTGCGCTCGAAGCAATTATATAAATTATGCCTAATTTCTGCCTTTCGGATGTAATTGCGCGATTACGCCTAATGTGCCGTGCATCCAGCTCTCTCCACCTGCCATACCGGGTGATTTGTTTCCGCTCAGAGGCAAGCAGGGAGGGCTGCCGGCCTTACACCCTCCCAGGCTGGCTCTCACACTGACCCTGTTTCCAGTCCGCCTGTTTCATCAGGGGCCTCAAATCTGGGCGTAAACTTCTTGCCAATGGCCTTCAGCAAAAGGCCGTCCCGTATAACGCAACCCGCACGCCCCGGTTTAATCCCGGTTCACCATTTCCCCTGAAAATCCAATCAGGAAGAAAAGTCAGTGGAAATGGTAAAATCCAGATTTGTACGAGACGACGGTGTTTTGTTGATGGTGGTGTTTTGCGGGGGTGCCGCAGAAAACATTGGTGTGCACGAGTCGCAGAGGGTTGACAGCCAACTGCTGTGTGGGTGTCCCTGAAAACATTGTGCGTCAGGATAAATTGTTGCTGAGTTCTTCAGGGCCGTTAAAACAAAAAGAGATTGTGGAGAGCTCTAGAAGGGCCTCTCCAAATGGAACGAATGGGTGGAAAAGCAAGAAATGCAGTTTCATGTCAATGAGGGCACAGTGATGCAGGGTAATTAATCTTAATTTTGCATATTCGCCCATGGGGTCTGAACTGGCGGTGATGGACCAGGAATGAGACCTTGGGGGCCCCAGTGGATAGCTCGATGAAGATGTAGACCCACGGGGGGGGGGGGGCTGTGAAAAAGACAGACTCCACTCTAGGGATTACAGTGGTACCTCGGGTTACAGACGCTTCAGGTTACAGGCTCCGCTAACCCATAAATATTACCTCGGGTTAAGAACTTTGCTTCAGGATGAGAACAGAAATCATACGGTGGCAGCACGGCAGCGGCAGGAGGCCCCATTAGCTAAAGTGGTACCTCAGGTTAAGAACAGTTTCAGGTTAAGAACGGAGCTCTGGAACGAATTAAGTACTTAACCTGAGGTACCACTGTATAAGGAAAGGAATTTGAAGTATAACTTGACAATATCATAATGGCATTAGACACCGCCTGATTTGTGTGGGGGTTGCATTCTGGGTCATCTTGTGGAGCGCCCCCCCCCCGTCACTTCTGAGTTTGCGGCAATGCACTTGTGCAATTATTATTATTACAGTGGTACCTTGGTTCTCTTGCCCCTTCTCCTTCTCCAGGTTGGGTTCTTGAAGATCCTGCACAAGTACGAGATCACCTTCCACCTGCCCTTTGTGCAGCGGCTGGGGCAGGATGTCTGTGCTGCTCAGCTGGCCAACCTGAATCTCCGCGTGACCAGCATAGCGCCTGCAACGGAAGGTAAGGTCTTTCTGCCTTGCATCACCTTCCGCACTGTGAGATGATGGGTGTATCTGAAGGGGACCCTTTCCTGTGGTTTTGAGATTCTCCGTTTCTTAAAATGCTCTTCCTTATGTCCTGAAAACCCTGTTTTGTTTTGTTTTGTTTTATTTTCAAAAAATAAATAAATCATTTTATAACACCAATAAACAACACAAACAGAAAAACAAACAACACAAACAGATTCTTGTATTATCCTTATTTTTTTCTAAACCTTGTTAGGTGAGCTTCCCCAAGTCCCCCCATCTGATTTTCATTTCACCTCATCTTTAGCAGTTTACATATCATAATTTCTAACCATTTTTTTAATCGCACTTACTTTAACCATAAAAATCTTCACATTTTATCACTTACAAATAATACTATTTTAAATTACACTGTCTTCTACTTCTAACCCTACAGCCTAAATCCAGTTCCAAAGCTATTCTAAGATTTAAATATTAACATATTTTTTCAAATCTTCCTTAAACTTCTTCCAGTCTTCTTCCACCTGTTTTATTGATCCTCTTAAAAACACACACACATACACACCCAGTGTTTCCCCTCTTGGTTCTGACTTTGCCTCTGTACGAATCTGTGCTGCAATTGCGTTTGGAATATACAAGGTACAGTTCTGGCTGCCTTGCCTCAAAAGGGATGTTGTGTAGCTCAAAAAGGCTCAGTGCAGGGGGGCTACCAGGTGGCGCGTTGGAAGATGGCCGACAATAACATCTCTCTGACCCATACGAGGTACTAAGGGGCTGCTATGGGAAGTAGGCAGCCTTCCTATACTCCCCCAGGATGTGGGGGAGTGCTGTCCTGCCAGCGGTGTTCACAATGCACCCCCTGAAACGAGTGATGGGGGTGCTGAACACTTGGCACAGGCCCTCGGTGAAGTCAGCTCTTCCTGACGCCGATTCCAATCAGCGTGTGCTGGTTGCTGCAGCTTGGAATTATAATTGGAAACATACGATTGGAAAGGAAGCTGAAAGCACATACATCAAGTAAAGCTCGACCGATAAGGCTGCTGATTTATGGATCTCTGCGACCAGGAGTGACGGACGGATAAGCAAATCTTCTGATGAACTACCACAAGGAGACTGTATGTTTGGAACGAAGGGGGGGTGGAGGAAAAAACTCTTTTTTTCTGCATGATGTGACATTAATGATGTGACATTCACCCCAGATAGAAATAAGATCGTCGCGTTTCTATCAATCACAGGCAGGATTTTAAGAACTATGTGGGACGGAGTATAACAGGAAAAAAGACTGGAGAACGGTGAGAAAAGAGGAAATTTTTTATGACGCAGTTAAAAAATGGCGTCTCGCCAGGACAGGTCTGCCGGAAGAAGAAGGACTGGGGGAGGAGAATCAGGATTGTTTGAATGAGAAGGAATGCTGGAATGTAAGTTTGACCTGACAGAACCCCCAGACTCATTTGATTTATTCGGTAAGCCTGAGAAAAATAAAGGACAGATCGGAGATTAATTTTGTTTATGGAAGCGTTGTACGGAGGCTGTCCCGGATCGATATGATTTTTGGAAGAGTACAAAACCCACATAGAATGCCAGCTTTCAACCTGCTTGTGAAAATCATCAGAGATCGCAAAGAAAGGAATTTATGATAACAACAAGAAGAGAAAGGAAGTAATAAAGCTCTATCCGGATCAAACTGGACAGAACTGTCTAATTAATGCAGTAAGATAAGTGATGCTGTTTTGGACTCGAGCCGAGCTTGATGTATGGGTACCCCCAACAAAATTTAAAATTTGGCTGTATAATTTGGAATCAACGTGATACGGATAATGTGATGTGATTGGCCTGTTAATAAAAATTATTTTTTAAAAAAACAAAAAGGCTCAGTGCAACCTGGGAAACATCTACTAAAATGACCAAGGAAGTGGAGCGATTCCTCTCTGGGACTTCCTACTTTGCAGAAAAGGCAAGAGGCAACTTGAGAGCGGTTTATAAGATTAAGCAGGGCACTGGGGATGAATTCATGGAGCCAAGCAGGAGGTGCCCTGAAAAGAATTGGGAGCCAATGGTATCGGCAGTGCTGGTCTGACTCGGTCAGAGGGAATGCTGGGAATCACGAGCGGGGAGAGTGTTCTTGTGCTTGGATTTTCCTTGCGGGCCCCCCCTAATGGGCTTCTGGTTGGCCTCTCTAAGAAGAGGATGTCCATATCTCATAGAATCTCAGAGTTGAAAGGGACCCAAAGGTCATCTAGTCCAACCCCCTGCAGTGCAGAAATCTCAGCTCAAGCATCCATGGCAGATGGCCACCCGACCTCTGCTTAAAATCCTCCAAGCAAGGCGATCCCATCACCTTCTTAGGGAAACTGTTTCACTGTTGAAAGTTCTTCCTGATGTTCTGTCGGAATCTCCTTTCTTGTACTGTGGTATCTCAGGTTACAGATGCTTCAGGTTACAGACTCCGCTAACCCAGAAATAGTGCCTCGGGTTAAGAACTTTGCTTCAGGATGAGAACAGAAATTGTGCTCTGGCGGCGGCAGCAGGAGGCCCCATTAGCTAAAGTGGTGCTTCAGGTTAAGTTTCAGGTTAAGAACAATACCCAAATATAGACAGTCATTTACCCTCGCTAGATTCAATGTGCTACCATCTGCCTTATTGCAGGGCAGATTCGAGGGTAAACCGGACGTGGAACAAGTCTGCCCCTGCGGCTTGATGGAGGTAGAAACTGTCTCTCATGTCTTGTTAGGCTGCCGTTTCTACGGGGATATACGCTCAGTATTTATCACTCTTGTTATACAAAAATCTCCAAATGGGTCCGAACTTCAATGTCTAAAACTCCTGGTAGAAGACAAGGATCTGGAGATTGCGCTAAGGGGGGCCAAATTCTGTGCGACTGCCATAAAACTTAGGGAACAAGCTGTACTACCAAAATGATTAAGGTTTTAAATGATAATTTTAGGTTATATTTTAGTGATCAAGATTTAATATATATATATTTTTAACTGCCGCCATATCTGAATTGTCTCTGTTGTACCTAATTGCAATTCAATGTATTCCTGTTGTGTTTTATGATTTTCCTGATATTGTAACTGAGCCAGAACTGGTCTGTGACCGTAATAATAAAATTCATTCATTCAGGTTAAGAACGGACCTCCAGAACGAATTAAGTTCTTAACCCGAGGTACCACTGTAACTTGAATTGACTGGTTCGAGTCCTACCCCCCCCCACTCCATCTTCCCTTGAGATACTTGAAGATGGTTCTTCTATCTCCTCTCAGCCTCCTCTTTTCCAGGCAAAACATACCCAGCTCCTTCAAGCGCTCCTCATAAGGCTGGGTTTCCAGACCAAGGCAACCTGGCTATAAGGCAACTTCCTAAGAGGCCTGACTCTGCTCACAACAGGTTTGGGGGCCTTTCAGCCTGGTTTGCAACCTCCCACATTGCAAACACTGTTATCCCCGGGACATTATGTCCTACGGGTTGCTCTCGCACGCCTCTTTCCTGGGGAGGAACAACACAAGATTCGCTTTCTTTGGCATTTTGCAAGAGAGACACTGCTGGGTGTCTTACTGCTCCTCAGTGAGAAGTTGTGTTGCTCTGTTGAAGCCTATGTTTTTGGGCGTGCTGTGCCTGCAGGAGACCGGATGCAGGAAACATGCAGCCTCTGAGAAAGCTGTGCAGGGTGGAGAAACCCGATGATGGATGTGAGCCATCAGGTGCCCGCTTGTTTTCTCCAGCCAGGTGGAATGTGAGGGAGGTTTGATCTGGGAAGCGCAGGCTGGCCCGCAGAATCCGGCTGGGAAGAAAGAGCCTTGTCTTCCTGTTTGGGATTATCTCTCGCTTGAAGCAGGGTGTAGGTCGGGGTTTGTGGGGGTGGCAGGTGTGCGTCTCCACCCCCATCGTTCAGCCCAGACACTGAGGTCCAGCTCCGAGGGCCTTCTGTAATTCGCTCTACACGGGGCTGCCCTTGAAGCTGTCCCAAAATCTCCAGCGGGTGCAGAATGCTGCAGCGAGGCTCCTCACAGTGTCCTCATGGGGTTTTTCCAGCTGCACTGGCTCCCAGTGGAGAACAGGGTCAGATTTAAGGTGCTGTTTTTGACTTTTAAAGCCCTATGCGGCCTTGGACCCTTGGACCTACGGGACCGCCTCTCCCGGTATGCCCTATGGAGGACCTTAAGTTTCCCTAAATAGCAACACCCTAGAGGTCCCGGGCCCTAAGGAAGTCAGATTAGCCTCAGGCAGAGCCAGGGCCTTTTCAACACTGGCCCCGGCCTGGTGGAACGCTCTGCCTCATGAGACCAGGGCCCTGCAGGATCTGATTTATTTCCGCAGGGCCTGCAAGACAGAGTTGTTCCGCCTGGCCTTTGGCTTGGAATCCACTTGATCCCCTTCCCCTCTTTTTCCTTTCTCCTTCTGTGATGGAACCCCTATTTGGGGACTTCCCTGGCTTTTCTGTCTTACAGGCCCTGCGGAAAGAAATCAGATCCTGCAGGGCCCTGGTCTCATGAGGCAGCGCCCCAGAGGTGCACTCCATTGTTTCTCGCTCGAGAGATGGATGCCATCAATGAGACACAACCCAGCAAGGCCACATCCGGTGCCATTTGAACCCATTTCGTTGGGCTTCACTGGAGACTGGATGGCCACCTGTCAGAGATTCCTTCACTGTGATTCCTGCATTTCAGGGGGTTGGTCTAGATGACCCTTGGGGTCCCTTCCAGCTCTACAATCCTATGATCCATCTCTGTGCACTGGTGCCCTCCCTTCTTCTTCAGGACAGGACAGGCTGTGCAGTTAACTAAGTAAGCAACATAAGGAACCCAGGATTTTCCTTGAACCAGATTTGGCTGATGAAGGCACACCTCTCTCGCCCTGACCTAGCCACTGTGATCCACGCGACGGTCACCTCCAGGCTTGATTATTGTAACTCGCTCTACGTGGGGCTGCCCTTGAGACTGACCCAGAAACTCCAGCGGGTGCAGAATGCCGCGGCGAGACTCCTTACGGGGTCCTTGCCGCGGGATCACATTCACCCGGTGCTATACCAACTGCACTGGCTCCCGGTGGAGTACAGGATCAGGTTCAAGGTGCTGGTTTTGACCTTTAAAGCTCTATGCGGCCTAGGACCCTCGTACCTACGGGACCATCTCTCCTGGTATGCCCCGCGGAGGACCTTATGGTCTTCAAACAAACATCTTGGAGGTCCTGGGCCACATAGCCTGGCCTCAACCAGAGCTAGGGCTTTTTCGGCCGTGGCCCTGATCTGGTGGAATGCTCTGTCACAAGAGAGTAGGGCCCTGCGGGATTTGACAAGATGGAGCTGTTCCACCAGGCATTTGGCCAAGGCACAGTCTGACCTCCTCCTTTGGTGATCCTCACAGAACTCTAGCCCAATGGTTGCCATTAATTTGATTTTAGAATGAATTGATTTTAGAATGCTGTATTATTTTACTGTTGTTAGCCGCTCTGAGCCCGGCTTCAGCTGGGGAGGGTGGGATATAAATAAAATTGTATTATTATTATTATTATTAAAGTTCCTTTGTAGCATCCTGCTGCCTTCCAGATGTTTGGGGCTATAGCTCCCATCGCCCCCAGCCAGCACAGCTTGGAGCAGCAGCTGAAAACATCTGGTTGGGGAAGGCTACTCCGTTGAGTCTAAGAACATAAGAAGAGGTTGCTGGATGAGGCCATCGGCCCATCTAGTCCAGCATCTCATTCTCAGAGTGGCCAACCGTAGGAAACCCACAAGAGGGATCCCAGCACAATAGCAACTCTCCCTTCTTCCCACTGGAATGGGAAGAAACTGGAAGAAATCTCCAGCAACTGGGATTCAGAATCATTGCTTCCTCTAGCCATGGAGGCAGCGCAGAGCCATCTAGCGATTTGTGCTCTGCAAAACTGTGTCTTTCCAACCCCAATTTCCTTGAGATGCTTCTAATTATCAAGGGATCCTGCCGTGCGCCGTGAAAGGAAGGCTGCTTTGGTGCGCAAGTTTTAATGTGACAAGATGAGTCATCGGTTTGCATGTTTACTCTCTGCAGCTACTGGCAAAACAGCTCGGCTCGCATCTCTCCCTGCTGTTGCAGCGGCAGAAACAGGGTGCAGGTCCGCTCTCTTCACAGAATTGGATAATTAGATCATTTCTGCAATCTTTGCTGTGACTTCGGCTGCGTCATCCGTGGCAGGTTGGATGTGTTGTGATCCCAGAAGTGCACAAGATGTGCTCTTCCAGCCCCTCTGGAATTGCCAGATCTCTGTGGAGTAATCAGTCACTCGGCTAATTTTCTCTCGCTCGCTCTCCCCTTCCATTTTCTCTTGCCAAAATATATGGGGCCGGCTTTGCCGTTATGCAAATTGCACATTTTGCTCAGTGAGGGGCACCTGATGCTTTGTGCAAGGGGGTTGTGTTGCTTGCTATCTTTTTATTGTAAAGCTTTCTGCTTTGTTTTATAAAGGGCATAAAACAGAGAGAACAATTAGAGCAACAGACAAAAAGCAAAAGGTTAAAAGCAAATCCATAAAAGAGGAGCGCAGGATGAGTGCACACGGGTTAAAACAACTAGACTATCAGCGCTGTCAGATTATCAGGTCTTGTTCTGGATTTGCCAGGCCTTGTGACAAGGGCTGCCTCAAAAATGACGGTTCCGCTGTGTGGGGCACAAAAGATTCCCAAATCAGATAAAAGGCGCCTGGGGGTTTTAGTCCTTGTCGAAGCCTCAAATTACGTTTTTATGCTTTATCGTGCATTTTGCTCAGCTAGGGGTACCTGGTGCTTTGCGCCAGACAAGGCCAAGGGGATTGTGTTGCTGAGCAGTTCTTTGTATTCCTGTCTGCACCTGGAAGAGCCATCAAGAGATGCTCAGGTGGCCTTTTCTGGAGGGTGGAAGGGATTTGTTTTCGAGGCCAATGGCTGACTGTTTGGATCTAGGGAGGAGGGGGCACAGTCAGATTTGGGAAGGCAAACTCCCAAGATACTGTTATACTCACAGAGCTAAAAACTGGCAGTGATATACCTCCTTTTTGGGAGTTCAGGTCAAAGTTGTTGAGTTTTTGTTAGGAAGGAAAGCCCCATTTTTTAGGGGTGCAGGGAAAAGTTGTTGAGCTAAAAAAAGTTGTTTTTTTAGGGGAGCCAAAGTTGTGGACCCCTTCATGGATCACTGCCTTGCCGTGGCGAAGGGGCTTGAAGAACTCAGAGAAGCTATGAACTATGCCGAGCAGGGCCACCCAAGATGAACAGGTCATAGTGGGGAGTTTTGACCAAACGTGATCCGCCTGGAGGAGGAACCGGCAAGCCACTCCAGTATCCCTGCCAAGAAAACTCCATGGAAAAAGACAACAGGCATATAAAAGTTATGACACTGGAAGATGAGCCCCTCAGGTCAGAAGACGTCCAACATGCTACTGGGGAAGAGCAGAGGACAAGTACAAGTAGATCCAGAGCTGATGAAGCGGCTGGGCTAAAGCCGAAAGGACGTTCAGTTGCAGATATGCCTGGAAGCGAAAGGAAAGTCCAATGCTGTAAAGAAAAATATTGCATAGGAACCTGGAATGTAAGAACCATGAACCTGGGTAAGTTGGATGTGGTCAAAAATGAGATGGCAAGAATAAATATTGACATCCTGGCATCAGTGAACTAAAATGGACGGGAATGGGCGAATTCAGTTCGGATGACCATCATATCTACTACTGTGGGCAAGAAACCAGCAAAAGAAATGGAGTGGCCCTCATAGTCAACAAAAGAGTGGCGAAAGCAGTACTGGGATGCAATCTCAAAAATGATAGAATGATCTCGATACGAATCCAAGGCAGACCTTTTAACATAACAGTAATCCAAGTTTATGCACCAACTACTGGTACTGAAGAAACTGAAATTGACCAGTTCTATGAAGACTTACAACACCTTATAGAAGTGACACCAAAGAAGGATGTTCTTCTCATTATAGGGGATTGGAATGCTAAAGTAGGGAATCAAGAGATAAAAGGAACAACTGGCAAGTTTGGCCTTGGAGAGCAAAATGAAGCAGGGCAAAAGCTAATAGAGTTCTGTCAAGAGAACAAGCTGGTCATCACAAACACACTTTTCCAACAACACAAGAGACGACTCTACACGTGGACATCACCAGATGGGCAGCATCAAAATCAGATTGATTATATTCTCTGCAGCCAAAGATTGAGAAGCTCAATACAGTCAGCAAAAACAAGACCTGGAGCTGACTGTGGCTCAGATCATCAGCTTCTTATAGCAAAATTCAAGCTTAAACTGAAGAAAGTAGGAAAAACCACTGGGTCGGTAAGATACAATCTAAATCAAATCCCTTATGAATACACAGTGGAAGTGAGGAACAGGTTTAAGGATTTAGATTTGCTAGACAGAGTGCCTGAAGAACTATGGCTGGAGGCTCGCAACATTATACAGGAGGCAGCAACAAAAACCATCCCAATGAAAAGGAAATTCAAGAAAGCAAAGTGGCTGTCCAACGAGGCCTTACAAATAGCGGGGGAGAGAAGACAAGCAAAATGCAAGGGAGATAGAGAAAGATACAGGAAATTGAATGCAGATTTCCAAAAAATAGCAAGGAGAGATAAGAAGGTCTTCTTAAACGAGCAATGCAAAGAAATAGAGGAAAACAATAGAATGGGAAGAACCAGAGATCTGTTCAAGAAAATTGGAGATATGAAAGGAACATTTCGTTCAAAGATTGCCATAATAAAGGACAAAAGTGGTAAGGACCTAACAGAAGCAGAAGACATCAAGAAGAGGTGGCAAGAATACACAGAGGAATTATACCAGAAAGATATGGATGGCTGGTACACCCCAGGTAGTGGGGTTGCTGACCTTGAGCCAGACATCCTGGAGAGTGAAGTCAAATGGGCCTTAGAAAGCACTGCAGATAACAAGGCCAGTGGAAGTGATGGTATTCCAGCTGAACTATTTAAAATTTTAAAAGATGATGCTGTGAAGGTGCTACACTCAATATGCCAGCAAATTTGGAAAACTCAGCAGTGGCCAGAGGATTGGAGAAGATCAGTCTACATTCCAATCCCAAAGAAGGGCAGTGCTAAAGAATGCTCCAACTACCGCACAGTTGCACTCATTTCACACGCTAGCAAGGTTATGCTTAAAATTCTACAAGGAAGGCTCAGGGCAGTATGTGGACCAAGAACTCCCAGAAGTGCAAGCTGGATTTAGAAGAGGCAGAGGAACCAGAGACCAAATTGCAAACATGCGCTGGATTATGGAGAAAGCTAGAGAGTTCCAGAAAGACATCTACTTCTGCTTCATTGACTATGCAAAAGCCTTTGACTGTGTCGACCACAGCAAACTATGGCAAGTTCTTAAAGAAATGGGAGTGCCTGATCACCTCATCTGTCTCCTGAGAAATCTCTATGTGGGACAAGAAGCTACAGTTAGAACTGGATATGGAACAACTGATTGGTTCAAAATTGGGAAAGGAGTACGACAAGGCTGTATATTGTCTCCCTGCTTATTTAACTTATATGCAGAATTCATCATGCGAAAGGCTGGGCTGGATGAATCCGTAGCCGGAATTAAGATTGCTGGAAGAAATATAAACAACCTCAGATATGCAGATGACACAACCTTGATGGCAGAAAGTGAGGAGGAATTAAAGAACCTTTTATTGAGGGTAAAAGAGGAGAGCGCAGAATATGGTCTGAAGCTCAACATTAAAAAAACGAAGATCATGGCCACTGGTCCCATCACCTCCTGGCAAATAGAAGGAGAAGAATTGGAGGCAGTGAGAGATTTTACTTTCTTGGGCTCCATGATCACTGCAGATGGTGACAGGAGCCACGAAATTAAGAGACGCCTGCTTCTTGGGAGGAAAGCAATGACAAACCTAGACAGCATCTTAAAAAGTAGAGACATCACCTTGCCAACAAAGGTCCGTATAGTAAAAGCTATGGTTTTCCCAGTAGTGATGTATGGAAGTGAGAGCTGGACCATAAAGAAGGCTGATCGCCGAAGAATTGATGCTTTTGAATTCTGGTGCTGGAGGAGACTCTTGAGAGTCCCATGGACTGCAAGAAGATCAAACCTCTCCATTCTGAAGGGAATCAGCCCTGAGTGCTCACTGGAAGGACAGATCGTGAAGCTGAGGCTCCAATACTTTGGCCACCTCATGAGAAGAGAAGACTCCCTGGAAAAGACCCTGATGTTGGGAAAGATGGAGGGCACAAGGAGAAGGGGACGACAGAGGACGAGATGGTTGGATAGTGTCTTCGAAGCTACAAACATGAGTCTGACCAAACTGCGGGAGGCAGTGGAAGACAGAAGTGCCTGGCATGCTCTGGTCCATGGGGTCACGAAGAGTCGGACACGACTAAACGACTAAACAACAACAAAAAGTTGTGGAGCTTCTTTGGGGGAGCCAGTGATCTACCGCAGACGTCCAGTGATCTGCCGGTAGATAGATGCCTGCTATACATCGTCCTTTAAGGGTGTAAAAGGGGACGCGAGTGGCGCTGTGGGTTAAACCACAGAGCCTAGGACTTGCTGATCAGGTCGGCGGTTCAAATCCCTGCGACAGGGTGAGCTCCCATTGCTCGGTCCCTGCTCCTGCCAACCTAGCAGTTCGAAAGCATGTCAAAGTGCAAGTAGATAAATAGGTACCACTCCGGCGGGAAGGTAAACGGCATTTCCGTGTGCTGCTCTGGTTTGCCAGAAGCGGCTTAGTCCTGCTGGCCACATGACCCGGAAGCTGTACACCGGCTCCCTCGGCCAGTAAAGCGAGGTGAGCTCCACAACCCCAGAGTCATCCGCGACTGGACCTAATGGTCAGGGGTCCCTTTACCTAAGGGTGTAAAGCTGCCCTTGCCATCCCGGTGCCCTCCTGATGTTGTTGAACTACAACTCCCATCAGCCCCAGCCAGTATAGACTCAATGTTTTCTTCTGAACGTATTTCTTCCAGCCTCTGGTTGTGATCACCTCTATTTTGTGTTCTTTGTGCCTTCGTTTTTTCAGTCTTTGCCTCCACCTTTAAACAAACCGAATGAATGATTCAGCTGTTGGGGCCTTGCCTTGTTTTCACGCGCAAAAACACACACAGTCCCAGTGTGGCAAAGCAGAACCCATCTGCCTTCTGATTCAGTGCATCTTTTAAAATATGTACTTGAAGCCGCCCAGAGTGGCTGGGGAAACCCAGTCAGATGGGCAAGGTTATAGGTAATAAAGTTACTATTATTCTGTGTAACTCACGAAGGGGTGAGGAATTTGATTCAATTTGCGTGGAAAGGTGGGCCTTACATAATCAGCTCTTCACAAAACAAGATGCAAGGTGCGACCCTCCTTCGAAACTTTTGCATCTCTCAACGTTGCAATACACTTCTCTGGCCAAGTCATGTTGAGTATATGAGTGGAAAGGGCAGATATCGGAATCTGGTTCCCTTCTGGGGTCTTCTTTTTAGAAAGAATAATAATAATTTTATCATTTATAACCCGCCCATCTAACTGGGTTGCCCCATCCACTCTGGGCGGTTTCCAAAACATATAAAAACATTATAAGGCATTAAACATTTTCTTTTTAAAAACCCCTTCCCTATACAGGAAGCAAGCAGCAATGTCTGCAAGGGACCCCATGAAAGTGTAACATGATAAAAGATTAGATCAATGTATATTAGTGTTGCCATATTTCAAGAAGCGAAAATCCGGACACAAAACTTGTTGGGTTTGGGGGTTTAGGGTTGTTATTTTTTTTTGCAAAATAGTTTTTTAGCTACTTTTCAGAAATTCACCCCAAAAATCAACACTTTCGATATGAGCTGCCACACTCCCAGTTTCTCCCCCCCCCCCGATATTTTAATTAACTTCCGAAAATTCCGCCCGGATGCCAGCTATGTCCTGAAAATCCTGATTGGATTGCAGCCCTAACCTATATGCCGATTCCCGCTTTGCTTATTTCCCAATTACCCCCTAGAAAAACGAGTGGACGTCTTGCGCTGGGAGAATGCATTCATTGAGAAAACAGGAGAAGCTTCCATTTGTGGAGGTTTGTCTTCAGTCGTGACTCAAACGGGGTAGAAGGATTCAAGATCGTGAAGCCTTCTGGCTTCTATGCAATGAGTCTGTCTGGTGGATCCTGTCCAGGAACTCCTGAGTTTGTTTTTATATTTAGCCTCGGAGGGTGACTAATGATACGCTACATGGAAGAGGATTGTGATGACAGGAAATTTGGCGGCATGTTGAGATGCACCCAGCAGCTCACAGCCGCTAAACACAGCCTCCCCTCCCAGGCTTCTCATTCCCTGAAAGAGTTGCTGCCAGAGGGGTGCTCAGAGAAGCCTTCGCCAACCTGGTGCCCTCCAGGCGTTTGAAGAACATAAGAGGGGTCTCCTGGATCCGGCCGGTGGGCCGTGTAGTCCAGGATCCTGTTCTCACTGTGGCTGAGCGCTTGCCCCGGTGGGAAACCCGCAAGCAGGACTCGAACCCAGAGCGCTGTCTCCTCCTTTGGTTTCAGAAGCATTGCCGCCTTGGACTGTGGATGGCAAAGCATGGCTAGGAGCCGTGAGTAGCCATCCCTTCCAAGAATGTGTCTGAGCCACTTTTGAAACCATCCAAGTCGGACACTCTTGAGAGTCCCATGGGCTGCAAGAAGATCAAACCTATCCATTCTTAAGGAAGTCAGCCCTGACTGCTCACTGGAAGGACAGATCCTGAAGCTGAGGCTCCAAGACTTTGGTCACCTCATGAGAAGAGAAGACTCCCTGGAAAAGACCCTGATGTTGGGAAAGATGGAGGGCACAAGGAGAAGGGGACGACAGAGGACGAGATGGTGGGACAGTGTTCTCAAAGCTACAAACATGACACTTCCGGGGTGGCGCCTCCGGAAAATGGCGGAATTCCCTTCGAACTGAAGGGAACCCGCTGCACGGAGGCTTGGGTCCTGCCGCTACGGCGCAGCGGGGACCCTTAAAAACCACAGGCGGAAGAAGCCTGTGGACGTGGGACTCGGCGGGCACCGAGAGCGCTCTCTCCCTTGTACAGGAGCCCGGTAACGGGCTCCGGAGTGGGAGGTGCGTGGTGCTGTGAGTCGACTGCTTCCTCCGTGCAGCAAAGCCGCACTGCCATTTTCGGAGAGCGCTGCCTTTTTCCTGGACAATTTGGCATCTAAAACATCTATCCGTGAGTACCTGATCCTGGAAGAGCTGAACTACTTTTAAGATTGGTGAATAAATAAATAATATTGGACTTGAACTTGAAATTGAACTTAATTGGGACTCGGAACGGAAAGGTCTAAACAGGAAGTCGCCTTCCGTTCTTTTGTTACGTGAAGAAAGCAAAGACAAATTATACTAAAGCTTGAAAATTAAATTCTGAAAGAACTAAAATTCAACATCTAAGATTTCTGAACCCCCCCTTTGACTGCAGGAGAAGAAGGGGGCTGTTTTGGTTTTTCCAACCCTGCGGAAGTGAGTTTAAAACAAAGTAATTTTCCACCTCCCTGAACCAGGAGCGGGCTGTCAGAACTGACGATTTGAAGCTTATCCAGCTTGACAGATAGTTAAAAGAAGTGTAACATTTTGATTCTACTGTTGCCTCTTGAATTTGGAAGGGGGAATTTTAGATAAAGTGTTTTTGGAAAAAGAAAGATTGTTGCTGTTGTTTTTCCCCCTTTAAAAAAAAAAAGGGGGGGGGGTTTCCATCTAGTGGAACTGAGTGAAATTGCAATGCAGAGAGTTTAAAAGAGAAGGATTATTCTCGTGGGAAAGAATTTTCTTTGACCTTGAAGGACAATGCTTGTACAAAGGCTTGAACAAGTGTTCCTGGAAGGTTTTGCAAAATTAAGTGCCCAGCTGGACCAGATGCGTCAGGAGTCTATCTTGATGATGGAAGTTACCAGAGCACAGCAGCAAACAAATGAAATTCAGTTAAAGTCTATACAAGTATATGAACCTGCTGTAGCGACGGAGACTTCAGAGATGGAGGGACCTTTGGATGGGCAAGATCAGCTTTTGAATTTGATAAATGAACTTGAGACAAACCTGACTCGGAAAGATGAAATGTGGTCAGATTTGGAAATGGGGGGATGGATTGACACCCCTCTATATGGTTATTTGGACTTTCCGAGTCTAGTGATGGGCCATCAGAGGATTGGAGTAGTTGAAGTCTCCAAGCTTTGTGGAAATTGGAAGTGGTATTATCTGCTGTCTGGCTTGGGTAATGGGTTTGGGATGGACTTGTTGCAAAGAGTCAAAAGCATTTTTTTGCTGGAGTATCCACGACTGAAAGGGAAATATCAACAAGAGTGGCGAAAGGGGCAAGAAAGAGACTTGAGGGCCTCGGATACGAGACAACCAGGTTAAGGAGCCGGACTATTGAGGTTAAAAGGACTGACAATCCCGGGTCCAGGGGAGGGGAGGCTGGAAGTTGACTGGACTGAATCTGATTTACTATTTTTTCTTTTTTATTTTCTAATATTGGGAATGTTTATAAATGTCTGAAGGATGTTGAATGAAATTATATGGCTTAAGTAAGGATTGGTAAAGGATTTGTAAAAAGGTAATGATTTAAGAATTTGCTAAATATTGAATATAAGCTTTGAGCTTTAAAGTTTTTATATGACAAGAGGGAAAATAGAATAAGGAAACGTAATGATAGATTGTTATGAAAAAACAGAAAGGATTTGCTGTAAAAATTAAATACTAAGAAACAAGAGGGGGGAGGAGGAGGAAGTCTAGAAAGGAAGTTAATGGAGATCGTAAAGGATTTTATATTTCTGTTTTTCTTTTTTTCTTTTTTTCTTTTCTGCGGCTGGTTTTTTTTTCTTTTTTTTTTCTTCTTTAATATTTGTATTATTTTCGGGGTTTTTTTCTGTATTTTCAAACCTTTTTGGATATTTTTGTTGTTACTTTTTGAAAATTTAATAAATATCAATTATAAAAAAAAAACAAAAAAAAACAAAGCTACAAACATGAGTCTGACCAAGCTGCGGGAGGCAGTGGAAGACAGGAGGGCCTGGCGTGCTCTGGTCCAGGGGGTCATGAAGAGTCGGACACAACTAAATGACTAAACAACAACAAAGTCAGCGCCCATCAATGCCTCCTGTGGCAGCAAGTTCCACGGTTTAGCTGTATGCAGCGTAAAGAAGCTGGCATCTGTCTGCCTCGACACAATGGGTGAAGTCACAGAGGCAACCTCCCGGGGGGGGACAAGTCTGGGCAGTGTGCCTCTTTTTTCTGAAAGGGGGAGCAAGCAAGACCCCCCTCCGACTCCTAAACTCAAACTGCTGGGGGTGGGACTAGAATAGATGCCCCCTCTGGCCCCTTCCACCTCTACTATGCAGTGATTCAAACATTGCTGCTCCTTTTATCTCTTTGCAGTTTTCCTTGGCTGCCTCCCCCCCACCCTGTGGCTTCTTGCAGCAGGAAAACAAAGCGCATGCATTTCCACCCCGTCTGCCGGGCCGGCAAGAGATGGATTAAGGGTGCGCCGTACATTTCACCTGCCACACAGGGCTACATCTGATTGGCACAGAGAGGCAGCCCTCTGGCATTTGAGTCAAGGCATTGATCTTCTGCAGAGTGTTCCGGACGTGCCAGGAATACTTTTCTCGGTGATGCGCTGCCCTTTTCAGAAGGCTGGCTTGCAGCAGGCGGCAACGCCTTTCTCCATCCACCCCCACCCCCATTTTGGAGATGGCGCAAGGCTGTAGTTGGGCACCCCTCCTGGTGGCAACAGCTCCGAGGCTGGGGAGGGTCCTTCTGGCCTGCCAAGCAAGGGATCGAGATGCGCCGATGGGGCACCCCGTAAATGTCCTTTGCGATACGTACATTCTCCTCCGCAGGCACCCCATCCGTCCTGACGATGGGCATGTTCCTGTAATTACGGCTTGCGACAGTCAGTAGTGTGATGCAGCAGAAAAAGTCTACTGCGAATAAAGGCTGCGTCCGCAGAAGTCTCGCAGAAGTCTAGTGTCCAGATTAAAGGAAGCAATAGTTCCTCTCTGTATTCTGACTCTATTCTGGGGTACCGTGTCCAGTTCTGAGTGCCACCGTTTAAGGAGGATATTGACTGTTAAGTCAATACAGTGGCTGCTTGGGTTGCGAGTATAATCCGTGCAGGAAGCATGTTCATAACCTGCAGCATTTGCAACCCGCAAAGTCTGCAAGTGCGGGTTGCGATTTGGCGCTTCTGCACATGCACAAAGTACGACTTTTTTCAATGCGTGAGCATCAAAACCCAGAAGTAACCTGTTCCGGTACTTCCGGGTTTCGGCGCGTCTGTAACACGAAAACGCGCAACCTGAAGCGTCTGTAACCCGAGGTATGACTGTATTAGCCAAAATGCTGTGCTACTGAATTTGTTACGCAAACTGCGAATACTCTGCAGGATCCCTAAGCGTGCTAATGCCTTTTGGCATCAGTTGCTGTGATGTTCAGGCAGAAGAAAGCTTTTGATGCTCCCAAACGATCGACCAGGAGGGAGAGAACATGCCAGCTGGGCATGTGTCTCTGCCAGGGTCCTACACGAGAGTAGGACGCTCCTAACATTGACAAGCTGTGCAGAGGAGGGCAACCAAGATGATAAAGGGCAGACTTCTGGGCTGGGGTGTTTTGTTTCATAGAATCACCAAGTTGGAAGGGACCACCAGAGTCATCTAGTCCAACCCCCCCACAATGAAGGAATCTCAGCTAAAGCGTCCGTGACACATGGCCACCCAACCTCTGCTTAAAAACCTCCAAGCAAGGAGAGTTCGTGCGCTGTCTTTATTTTAGATCTTGCTGTGATGGATGTGGAAGGTGTTGAGGTTGGTTGTGTGCTTTTATTTTTTATTTACTTACATTGCAGTTGTGTATTTTTTCCCCATGTTTGCGACTCAACAGCAGGAAGAACTTTCTGACAGTAAGAGATGTTTGACAGTGGAACGGACTCCCTTGGAAGGTGGTGGACTCTCCTTCGTTGGGGGGTTTTAAACAGAAGTTGGGTGGCCCTTTTTCATGGATGCTCAAGCTGAGATTCCTGCATTGCAGGGGGTTGGACCAGATGATGATGATGATAATAATAATAATAATAATAATAATAATAATAATAATAATAATAATAATTTTATTTATACCCCACCCTCCCCAGCCAGAGCCGGGCTGAGGGCGGCTAACACCAGTAAAATTACTATAAAAACATAATAGAGAAAAAACACCCAATTTAAAATACAGGTTAAAATGCAATTTAAAATGCAGCCTCATTTTAAAAGTAGCCCATAGATGAAAACCATAAGGGGAGGGAAACAGAAGGGTCAGACTGAGTCCAAACCAAAGGCCAGGCGGAACAGCTCTGTCTTGCAGGCCCTGCGGAAAGATGTCAAGACCCGCAGGGCCCTGGTCTCTTGTAACAGAGCGTTCCACCAAGTTGGGGCCAGTACTGAAAAGGCCCTGGCGCTAGTTGAGACCAATCTAACCACCTTGCTACCTGGGACCTCCAAAGTGTTGCCATTTGTGGACCTTAAGGTCCTCCACGGGACATAACAGGAGAGGCGGTCCCGTAGGTATGAGGGTCCTAGGCCGCATAGGGTTTTAAAGGTCAAAACCAGCACCTTAAACCTGACCCTGTACTCCACCGGGAGCCAGTGCAGTTGGTATAGCACCGGGTGAATGTGATCCCTTCCAACTCTGGAATGCTATGCATTCCCGTCATCCAGGTTCCCTGGCCTGGAAGATGGGGGCTGGTGTGAGTTGGCGGCTGCAGGACCCCCGTTACCATTTATATTCCCCTGGCAAGGGGGTCTTATACCCTATGAGTGCAAGGTTTAGCACACAGGAGGAGAGTAGAAGGCTTGAAGGGGACGAAGGAACTGCTCTCTTTGAGCGTAGGGGTAAATTGAATAGCTGGTAGCTGCCCAAAGGCAATTAATCCCAATATAAAAAATTCCCTGGACTTTTTAACATGCCAGTAGGAAAAGCTAGGATTGGTTTATTAAAAAACCCACATCGTATAAGGTGTAATAACCATTATGGTGAGATCCTTCTCTCTACCAAAGACCTCTATATTCCAAACCTCAGGTACCTATTGAAAGCTTGCCTCTATATTTAGGCAAACCCCTTGCCCCGCTCCCCAAATTAATGTGTTCTTTAATGGCTTATAGTTTTAAGTACACCCCTCCAGCTTTGCCGATTTAACACGTAGGAGGCGAGTCATTTGTGAAAAATTTCAAAGCGCTGTTCCCACGCCCAGCGAGTCCCGTCATTGTTCAGGTGCGGAAATTAGGCATTTTTCCTGATCGTTGGAAACCTTCCCCCCACCCCTTGAATGCACCAAATTATTACGCCCCTCCCCAGATGAATGACTGTGTTTATCTTCCTCTGAGTCAAGCGAAATTATTACCGGTGACAAAAAAATAAAAAAGGTTTTGCTCTGCTGAAAAGCTTGAGGGGTGTGTGTGTCATTTTTTTTTTTTTGTATTTCTGGAGGGGTTTTTTTTTGGGGGGGGGGGCTTAATTCCCAATCATGCCCCCCTCCCCGCCTATGTGGAGCGAGTGCTTGAATTAGCAAGCATATTTTATAAAAAGTGTTCGACAGCTTTTTAGGAAAGGCACCTGGCATTGCACCTGTATCAGCTAGAAGAGGCTCCCCCCTTTCTCTCTCTGAAGAAGCGGGGTCTGTAATTTGGGGGGGTCGGATCTGCCACTTTGGATCTGCCGCTTTGACCAGAGCGCTGTAGCATCAGTTAAGAGTGCCAGATGAGGACCTGGGAAGAGACTCGGGTTCGAATTCTGACGTGAAGCTTGCTGGGTGTGAGCTCTGGCCCTGCCTCTCTGAGCCTCACCTACCTCCCAGGGTGGTTGTGTGGATTAAGTGAGGAGGGGGGAGATCCATGTTTAAACTATTGTTTAATGTTTCATTGTGTTTTCATATATGTTTAGGTAAGCTTTTAATGTTTGATGCATTACTGTATTTTAATATTTTGTTGGAAGCCGCCCAGAGTGGCTGGGGAAGCCCAGCCAGATGGGCGGGGTATAAATAAATTATGATGATGATGATGATGATGATGATGTTGGAAGCTGCCCAGAGTGGCTGGGGCAGCCCAGTCAGATGGGTGGGGTACAAATACAGATGTACCTTAGTTTTCGAGCAGCTTAGTTCTCAAACGTTTTGGCTCTCGAACGTTGCAACCTGGAAGTGACATTTCAAGTTTGTGAACTATTTTTGGAAGCCGAACGTCCGACGGGGCTTCTGATTGGCTGCAGGAGGTTCCTGCAGCCAATCATAAACCGTGCTTTGGTTTCCAAACATTTTGGAAGTTGAACGGCCTTCCGGAACGGATTCCGTTTGACTTCCGAGGTACGACTGTAATAAAATTATTGGTGTTATCATCATCATTATTATAATTATGCATGACAACATGAGCTCCTTGGAGGAAAGGGGTACAATATAAATCCGTGGTTCGCAAGGTGGGGCACATGCCCTACAGGGGGGCAATTATTTTTAAGGGGGGGCAATTCGAGAATGAATTATTAACAGAGAATGGCTCTTTCTTTTCTATTTTACTATTCCCCAGTATTCCTGAGCTAAGCATTTCTCAATTGACTTCTATCTTAACCTGAAATACATCAGAAATAACCTTTATAATCTTTTTCCAATATTCCTTTACACACATACACTCCCACCACATATGTGCATATACCCCCAACTCTTGACCACAATGCCAATACTTAGGACTCAATCCTTTAACTATATATGCCACTTGCGCCTGGGTTCTATACCTGCGTGCTTCCTTTCTGACATTGCGGTACCACTGCAGTTTTTTGCCTGAAGCAAAATCAAAGCTGTCGCCTAGTCCCAGGGCATGTGCAGAGTTGCAGCTGAGCTGAGCTTCTGCGTAACAGTGGCAGGGAGTTCCCCGGGTTAATGACCTGCCGTGTCAAGGAAATGCTTCCCTCTGCCTCTTGGTCTGCCGTTTCTGTGATCCTTGCGGGGGTGTTGTATGATGACGCCTGCCACTCTTGTCTCCCCTCTGCCGCTCAGGTTACAACATCAAATGCGAGTACACCGCCCACAAAGAAGGGGTCCTCCGGGAGGAGATGGTGCTGCAAAGCCAGACCAATGACAAAGTCTCCATCAAGGTGGTCGTGCAAGCCAGGGTGATGGGTAAGTGTCCCCGTTCCTTAAGCCTACATTTTTTGGGGGGGCTGTGGAAGCCGTTGGAGGACCTGAAGACTCCCACCACTTTTCCACAAAAGAGAAAGTCCTCCATTGGCTCCCAGTACGTTTCTGAGCACAATTCAAAGTGTTGGTGCTGACCTTTAAAGCCCTAAATGGCCTCAGTCCTGTATACCCGAAGGAGCGTCTCCACCTCCATCGTTCAGCCCGGACACTGAGGTCCAGCTCCGAGGGCCTTCTGGTGGTTCCCTTGCTGCGAGAAGTGAGGTTACAGGGAACCAGGCAGAGGGCCTTCTCGGTGGTGGCGCCCGCCCTGTGGAACGCCGTCCCACCAGATGTCAAAGAGATATAAACAACTATATGACATTTAGAAGACATCTGAAGGCAGCCCTGTTCAGGGAAGTTTTTAATGTGTGACATTTTAATGTATTTTTAATCTTCGTTGGAAGCCACCCAGAGTGGCTGGGGAAACCCAGTCGGATGGGCGGGGTACAAATAATAAATTACTATTACTTACTATTACTCCTTCACGCATAACATAGTTAAACTGTGGAACTCCCTGCCTCAGGAAACAACGGTGGCCGCCAACTTTGAAAGGAGGCAGGGCAAATTCATGGAGGAGAGAGGCTGTCCATTGCTGGCGGTCAGGATGGCTATGCTCTAGAGGCAGTAATGTGTCATGGACTGGTTGGACAACAGGAGTGGGGGGGGGGACACCAGCTAGGGAACCCCCAAGGGAACTCCCAGGGGAAGAAGGCTCAGAGCCAGGGGAGTGGTGATGGGACGATGACAAGTGGTCAGAGGGAGAAGACTGGGAAGAGGGGATTGTCGGAAGATGAAGAGGTAACAGGGCTCCGTGAGCGGGGAGAGTCGGTGGCAGAGAGCAGTCCAGACTCAGTGGCAGAAGATGAAGCAGGAGAGGAGGGAGACCAAGAGGCAGTCTGGCTGAGGAAGACTCATGGGTATCTCACCCTCCTGCTGAGATAAGCTCCCATCTCCCAGGACCAGAAGAGGCATGAAAAGGGTGGAGGAGAGGTTTAGCTACAGGTAGGCACAGTCTCCGATTGCCTGGGGGAAACCCTGGAGAGGAGGGGACTTAGGCAGCTGTGGGGAATCAGGGACCTTTAGTCTCAGCAACTGCTTCATGGGGGCAGACCTGCCAGAGATGAGTTGCTGTGCTCATTAGGCCTGACTCTCCTGTGCAGATCCTTCTTTCGCTAATAAAGAATCGGCTCCAAATGGCCTGGTGTGATTGAGCTCACTCCTTTCACAGTGCTTCTGAGTCCCACTTGCTGGAAACCGCAGGAGGGGAGAGTTGCTCTTGTGTTCGAATCCTGCTTGCGGGTTTCCCATCTGTTTGGCCATTATGAGAAGAGGTTGCTGGACTAGGTGGGCCATTGGCCTGATCCAGCAACCAGCTCTTCTTATGTTCCTGGTTAAGTGTCCCCTTTCCCACAATCCATCCTGAGCTTTGCACATCCCTGGATTACCAACTTTTCTGGGACCCTTCAGCTGTGAATCCCGCATTGCAGGGGGTTGGACTGGATGACCCTTTGGGTCCCTTGCAGCTCTGCAGTTCTGTGATTCTGTGACTTTTTTGTGGTACAAAATCATAGCAATTTTGTGGTGCGAAAATTCAGCTCTTCGGCTGTGCACAGACAGTCCTGCTATCTGCTTGGACTACTTCAATGTGCTCTATGTGGGGCTCCCTTTGAAGGTGACCTGGAAATTACAACTAATCCAGAATGCGGCTGCTAGACTGGTGACTGGGAGCAGCCGCTGAGACCACATAACACTGGTCTTGAAAGACCTACATTGGCTCCCAGTATGTTTCCGAGCACAATTCAAAGTGTTAGTGCTGACCTTTGAAGCCCTAAATGGCCTTGGTCCTGTATACCTGAAGGAGCGTCTCCACCCCCATCGTTCTGCCCAGACGCTGAGGTCCAGCGCCGAGGGCCTTCTGGCGGTACCCTTGCTGCGAGAAGCCAAGTTACAGGGAACCAGGCAGAGGGCCTTCTCGGTGGTGGCGCCCGCCCTGTGGAACACCCTCCCACCAGATGTCAAAGAGAACAACAACTACCAGACTTTTAGAAGACATCTGAAGGCAGCCCTGTTTAGGGAAGCTTTTAATGTTTAACAGACCACTGAATTTTAATACTTTGTTGGAAGCTGCCCAGAGTGGCTGGGGAAACCCAGCCAGATGGGCAGGGTATAAATAATAAATTCTATTCTATTCTATTCTGCTGTGATGTTGCACGGGATCCTTAGGCATCCTCTCGCAGCAAGTGTCAGTGGGTCAGCCCTGGCTCCCCCCCCCCATTTCAGCGCATAAATCTCCTGTTGAACTGCACCACCCACTGGCCGGTTGCCCCTGGGCTATGACACCTTTCGGCATCTGAGCCCATATATCCCCGAATTAATATCCTCTGGCGCAGAGCCTCCACTGCTCAGGAAATTAAACTCGCTTGCTGTGTGTTGGAATATTTATCTCTCGGGTTAATGAGTGTTTGCTGGAGGCGGGGGTGTCAGCGATAAGGACCCTGAACGCTGCTCTCCATCCCTTGACTGCAGGAGATCAAAGCAAAGATTGCAGAGGGCGAAATGACTGGCACCGTTTTTAATAAGCGCAGGAAAGGAGATGAAATAACAAAAGGGAATTGGGTTTCATGATGGCTATAACTGCCCCCTCGAGGTGGGGGCATGAAGTTATTTCCCAGCTACCCATAATAACATTTCTTTTACAAAAGGCATGAAAGTTAGTTCTGCCTACCGACGATTTTTGAAGACCCTTTATAATAATGATAATAATAATAATTTATTATTTATACCCCGCCCATCTGGCTGGGCTTCCCCAGCCACTCTGGGCAGCTTCCAACAAAATATTAAAATACCGTAATACATCAAACATTAAAAGCTTCCCTAAACCCTTCCCTGTGCAGCTTGGCTCGCTTGCGCGAGTCGCCTCAACAGTTTCCTCTCTGCTTTCTGGCTGCCGCTGCCTTGCATAACGGGACAGAATTAGGAGGTGGGTCCTGTCTCCCCTTAGCCCCCCCCAGCAGTGTTTCTTTCTTTCTCCAACGCCGCCTGTAGTAATGTTGTGACACACCCACCTTCCTCTTCTGTCCTACAATCCAGCGGGACCCGGCTAAGAGAGGGAAGGTGGTGCCACAGCATTTACTTTTCAGGACAAAACACAACAGAAGGGGTAGTTGCTGCCACCACTCCCTTGTCCGGGGATAGCCCAGAAGATTAACCCAAGGGAGAAGGTTACTCTTCCTTGTTGCCAGCTGCCCCACCCTGCATTGCTTTACCACAAATTGCAGGCAGAAATTCAACAGGTTCCATAAATTAAAGGCAGAAATTCAACAGGTTCAGTAGGAGGCTAAGTGGTCAGACTTTGGATTCAGACTTTCCCCAGAAAGGAAAATCCGCCATTTAAAATTTATTTAAAAAACAAGATTAAACATACTTAAAAGTAGGCACATCTCTTATATGGTTCAGAAAGGAAAATAACAACATTGTAAAGCATTGCTAGCTAAATGTACCGTATTTTTTGTCCTATGGGGCGCACCGGCCCATAGGACGCACCTTGGTTTTTTTTGGGGGGGGGGGGAATGAATAAAAAAAATTATTCCCCCCCCCCGCCGCGGCTGCCGCCCCAAGCCTTGCACACACCTGCCCGAAGCACGGGGCACCCTCCGGAGGGCTCCGCGTGTTTCGGGGTGCATGCTGCCGCCCCAAGCCTCGCGCGCCCGGCGGGACTTCCTGCTGGGCGCGCAAGGCTTGTGGACACTCGCCCGAAGCACGGGGAGCCCTCCGGAGGATGCCCCATGCTTCGGGCAGGTGTGCGCAAGGCTTGGGGAGGAGAGAGGGACAGAGTGCCTGCTTCTTTAAAGGAGCCAACCGGACAGGAGCTGCTTACACTCGTGTAAGCGGCTCCCCTCCCCTCCCGCTTTGCTCCTTTAAAGAAGCAGGCACTCTGTCCCTCTCTCCTCCCCATTCAGCGGCTCTTCTCCCGCTGGAAACCACGGAGGAGGGAAGCATTCGCTCCGTAACACGCACAGACATTTCCCCTTACTTTCTAGGAGGAAAAAAACACGTGTTATGGAGCGAAAACTACGGTATTCACACTCCCAGAGTCAGTTGGTTAAAGCAACAGATATACATTTCCCATAAATCCTTTGGCCTTTGGTTTTCCCATAGTGCTTTTCTTCAGCTTGACCAAAATTTGTCTACTGAAATTTCCTAACTTCACTACCTCTCTGCTTTGCCTTGCAGACCGCCACCACGGCACCCCCATGCTGCTGGAAGGGGTGAAGTGTATCGGGGCCGAGGTGGAGTACGACTCGGAGCAGAGTGAGTGGCATGGCTTCGACTAGGCCTGCCCCCCAACCCACCGCCTCCTCTTCCTCCTCCTCTTCTTCGAACCCCGCTCGTCCTTCAAAGGGTTTTCTATGTATAAATATTTTCCGGTTATAAAGAGCTTGAAACGAGAATGCCCACCCCAACCGTTCGCTGGCTGCCTGACGCAGATCGTGCTTGTTTCGTGCCCGCCCCCATGGCGCTTGTCTTGTGGGTTTTTGGGGGTGCTGCGCTTAACCCCACCCCCCCCACCCTCCCGCCGGTTTCGAAAAGGCGGTTCTGTGGCTTAAGGCGAGAGCCGTCTCTCCGGCCTTCAAACTGCGTCTGTGGATGTGTGGCTTTTTGTCCAAAAGTCCGTGCCCACCCCAATTTTTGCAAGCGGGTGCACATGCGCGGGGGACCCCCAGAGACCAGTTGTGTGTGTGTTGATTTTCCTCCAGGTTTTAGCATCGTCTCGCTGCCTGCAAAAGCGTTTCCCGCGGCCGCCCTTTCGCGAGGCTCAGTTTCCCAAGTTGCGCAGTGGCCGATCGCATCAGCTGTTCGGCTGAGACCAGTAGCCATCTCAAAACAGCCAGCAAGTGGCTGCTCCCAAACAGCTGTTTCGGCTGGCTGCTCGGAGGAAGAGAAACCTATGTTCCTCCAGGCATTCAGATAACTTAAGGTTTCCCTGCGTTGCTATAGATAGGTCAGGATTAGTTAGAGAGCCTTTGCCAAGCCAGTGCCCTCTTGATGTTTTAGGACCGCAACTCCCGGCTGATGGGAGTTCTAGTCCAAATCATCTGGAGAGCGCCTGCTCTGTGAAGCTGACTTAGGGCTGCATCAGTTGCTGGGGACCAATTTTACACAGCCGCCCTGCCTTTGGGTTGGGTGCTCTTATTTTCTTTCGCCTCCCACTTCCCCATCCTCAGGGCAAACAAGCCTTCAAGGCGGTGCTTTCCTGGGAAGGTTCCCCCAGGCAGATCAGCCTCTGGCAGAGCCAAACAAGGCAGCCCATTATTACGGTATAGATGGGGCAGCCCCCAAAGGAGGAAAAAGTTGCCCGGTTGCCCTGCAAGAGTGTGTCTCTTCCCCCTCAAAAAAACCTCCTGTTTCTGCTTTGCTGTAGCCTGGGAAGGTTTGTTCCTTCCCAAGGCTTGAACCCTCCGTTGCCTTTCCAGAGATGCCCCGAGCGAATCTCTTCTTCTTGCAAGCCATACGGTGTCTTGAAACCCCCGCGTCACAGAAAACATGTGTTTTGTTCTCTCTTCCTTCCTGCTGCGGTTTGTTTGCTTTTTAACGTCTTTTTCATATTCAAGATTTGGACCCTCCGCTCCCGACACGAAAGGAATGAGTTGCATTTCCTAGTGAAATCTACCCACGGCGTGGCTTAAGAGGGCAGGTTGAAGAGCTTTGACTTTTGGATTTCGCCCCCCAACCCCAAAGCGGTCCCCTGCAACTGGAAAAGTAGCTCTTCAGGGAGCGAGGCTGCCACAGACTGATGTGCTAGATTTTTTACTTTCTTCTCCCTTCTCTTTTAAATGTTATTTTAAGTTTTCCACTACCTGCAGCAGAACCTCCTGTTTTTGAAATAAAAAAATCTGCTCCAGCAGTAGGAGGGAGGCAGTCTGATGTGCTCCTGCCTCGGCAACCCCATAACTAGACCACTGCCCTCTCAGGAGCAGCCCTTCTGGAGCAGCAGGGAGGTGAGGGCGCAGGATGAGACCCAAGGCTCATGGCTGACCCCTGTTTCATCTGTCTGAGATGGGCACCCCTCCAGTGTTGCTGAACTCCCATTGTCCTTAACCATTGGGCCACGCTGTCTCAGGCTGCTGAGAGCTGAAGCCCATCAACATCTGGAGAACTGCAGATGTTCTGTTCACTTGTTGGAGCCTTGTCTTTAAACATGGCGCTTCCTCTCCCAGATGTGTTTTCTTAACCATTCTCTTTTCTCTCTCACTTTTTTTTTCTTTTTTCAAAAAAGATTCATAGTACAAAGACCAGGAATGTGATATAGTTAAGAAAGAAACCAATGGGTTTTTTATGTGCCTATATACATATACATATATACATAAATATATATATATATTCAAATAAACTTGTGTGTTTTTTGGGTTTTTTAAAAGCAAAAAAATCTCTAAAGGAAAACAATAAACTTCAGTTGGAACAAAAAAACCTCCTCTGCTGTCCTGTGTGGAATGACTGAGGATGTGGTTGGGGTTTTAAGTTTTCTCTTTTGCAATGAGGTCTTTTGTCCTCTGCACCCGGCTACCCCCAGCCTGTGGCCTTCCAGGAGGACTACAACTCCCATCAGGCTGTGCTCCCATCAGTACCGCAAAGCGCCTGAAGGGGGCGCCCCATTGGCAAAGTCTGAATCTTGTGGGTGGGAGGCCATATGCTCTGCTGCCACCTACAGGCTGGAGCGCAGTCCAGCGTCTCTTCTGGAGCCTTGTCTAGGTCCCCAAACTGGGTGGCACTGCCCCCTGCAGGTGGGAGGGTGTGTGGTTTCCCCCTTGTTTTAATCATACATTTTGCGTTTTATATTTTATTTTTATGTTGCGAGCCATCCTGAGATTTACAGATGAAGGGCAGCGTACACATTAAATAAATAAGGCGAGGGGGCATGATTAGCAGACCTTGAAAAGCCGGTATCGCTGGGTCATCTATTACTCTTGGATATTTATTTATACCTTGCCTTCTTCCCTGATGGGGCTCAAGACGGCTTACAGATAAAAACCAAGAATTGCTAAAACATAGAAACAAACGAACACTGCAAAACAGCTTATCCTTAGCAGAATAATTAAAACTATACGCACATCTAGTTTGCTGAAATAAGCAAACTGGCTTCAATTGGTCTTGGAATAAATGTTGCAATTAATGGTTGTGGTTTCAGAATTTTACTGTGCGCGATTATCCTCCTCGATGGGTTCTGCGAACTGCTATTCCGGATCATGCTTTTCGTAGTGGAAGCCCTGGGGACGCAGAACCAAGACGGCTGTGGCCTCCAAAACTTGGGGGACCCCTGGTCTGGTTTGTTCAGGGTCAGGCAGCAAGAAAGCAAGTCGTTTTACCTGCTGTTATTCCCCATCCATCCAGCAGAATTCAGTTGACTGGTGTCGTTTCACTGCCCCAGAATCCCTCCTGTATGTGTGAAATTGCTTTTCTGCAAATTGCTGCCCCCCCAAGCCAAACTCCCTCTGGAGGATGGATGCTCCCCAGCAATGGAAAGTCTTCCCCAGCCATCCTCTCCCCGCATCCTTTTAGCTCATCTGCTGGGGATCGTTTAACTGCAGTTCCTTTTTGAATTTTAATTTTAATAATAATAATAATAATAATAATAATAATAATAATAATAATAATAATAATTTATCTATTTATATGCCACTCATCTGACAAGGTTGCCCCTGCCACTCTGGGCAGCTTCTAACAAATTAAGACATCCAACATCCAACATTACTGCTGTTCCATGGCAGGTAAGCACAGGTACAGATTGAACAGAGGAGTGCTGGGGCCAGAACCACTTTAAAAATAATTGCTTTAGTGCATTCCAGGTTCTCTCTCTCCTAGGACTGCAGGAGTAAGTGGGAGGGTGGCAGCAATTCCTGGAGAGTTAGACCCATGGAAAGCAGGGCTGTTGTGATGCAGTTGGGCAACAAAGGGCGTGTGAGAAGCTCTCTGGGGCGGCCAGTGATCAGGGGGAAATGCATCTTTCAAAATGTGACGGAACCTTTTAATATAAAAGGTAAAGGGACCCCTGACCATTAGGTACAGTCGTGACCGACTCTGGGGTTGCGGCGCTCATCTCACTTTACTGGCCGAGGGAGCCGGCGTACAGCTTCCAGGTCATGTGGCCAGCATGATTAACCAGAGCAGCGCACAGAAACGCTGTTTCCCTTCCCGCTGGAGCGGTACCTATTTATCTACTTGCACTTTGACGTGCTTTCGAACTGCTAGGTTGGCAGGAGCAGGGACCGAGCAACGGGAGCTCACCCCGTCACGGGGACTCGAACCGCCGACCTTCTGATTGGCAAGCCCTAGGCTCTGTGGTTTAACCCACAGCGCCATCCGTGACCCTTACCTTTTAATATATGTTCAAATAAAATTGGAAGCGGTCCAAGAGATTATACATCTTCTCATCGCTGAGATTAGAATTTTTGTCATATTGATGCAAAACTTAAAGCTTCTACTAGGAGATATGAATCCTTTCACAATGTGCTGCAGACTGGAAACCAGAGGGGTAGCTAACTATGCAGCCATTTGTCTAAATTTTACATTACAAAACCCACGGCGAGGTTTCTTTCGTAAACCTTGAATCTTTTCAAGGCGATGGCAGTGTCTGAAGAATGATCCCAGGCAGCGATGTGGGTTTTCCAGGAAATTTGAATGGGCTCACTTAGAGAAATCAGAAATGCCTTATAGTGATCTAAAGGGGGGGGGGGAATGAAATTGCCAGCTTGTCTAACATTTGTAATTGACATTTACAGTTACTAATTAATCTGTGAAGCAGAACATTTTCCACAGCAAAAAGGGGATCCTTTAACTGCAGTTCCTGCATTTCAGGGGGTTGGACTAGATGACCCTTGGGTACCTTCCAGTCTTCGAGTTCTGCGATTCAGGAAGCCAAGAGCAGATCTGCCTGCCAAGAGTAGAGTTGGAAGGAAACCCCCCCGCCAAAGGGGAATCACAGCTGAAGCCTCCATGCCCCACTCGCACCTGGGCCCCATACGCTCATCTCACAGAAGAAGAAAGCAAAAATCACTTCCGTTTATTTTTCTCTAATAAAGCCATACTGGCCGCAACAAGCTCATGAATGTCCACCCGTTCTCCCGAGGGAGAGAAAGAGAGAGTGCGGGTTTATACACAATATAGAAAAATAAAATTTTGGGTGGGTTCCTACAAAGCGACATATTACAAGCATTAAGGAGGCAGGACAGAGACTCAAAAGACAGGCCAGAAAAGCTTTTTGTCGCGGTTTGGAAGGGGCAGGCTGGCAATGTGGACAGTTTATTCAGCCAGATCTTCCAGAGAACGGTGCAATCCTGCCTGGCTAGTTGGAGAGCAATAGATGGTTGGTGGAGCAGTGAGCAGGCCGGCTAAAGGGACTCTGAGCTGTTGAGGGTGGGGTGTCACTGGAGGCAATCAATTTATTCTGATTTCCTCCCCGTCCTTTGCAAAGATGCAGTGGACGCTAGCAGTTCTCAAGACTTGAGCATCAATTGTTTAAAAGCCAAGACTCTGAAGAGACAAGCTGGACACTTAGAAAAAAACTCCCATTTCCAGGAGGCAACATCCAAACCTAGATCAGGGGTCAGCAAACTATTTCAACAGGGGGCCGGTCCACTGTCAGACCTTGTGGGGGGCCGGACTATATTTTGAAAAAGAATACGAACAAATTCGTATGCCCCACAAATAACCCAGAGATGCCTTTTAAATAAAAGGACACATTCTACTCATGTAAAAACACACTGATTCCTGGACCGTCCGTGGGCCAGATTTAGACGGCGATTGGGCCGGATCCAGCCCCCGGGCCTTAGTTTGCCCACCCATGACCTAGATATACCTGTGATTTCTGCCCCTCCTCTCCAGTTCTGCTTACATCAAGAGAACTAGACTGAAAGGACCTACAAGAAGCTGCTCACTGATAAGACTTCTAAAAAGTAAATATAGCTCTGAGGTCCTCAAGATGGCTGGGCTACAGCTTTGGGTTTGGGGGAGCAGGCAAAACATTGCCCTAGTCACCAGCCTCTCCCCTTGCCCCCAGCTGAATGAATCTCGCCCCTCCGCTCTGGGCAGGTTGGTGGAAGCTGAGCTGGGCTTTTATTTGGATTAAGGCACGATAAGTAGAGAAACTGCTCCACCTGCTGTTCACACTGGTACCCACTGGCTGCCGCCGATGGGATTGGCAGTCCAAGACAGAGGTTGGGGAGACCCAGCTAAAGCCATGCCAGTCTTCCTCTAAAATGGAAGGTAGGTCCAAATATACATGCTTCAGACATACATTGTTATTCACCGTTGGCTTAAATGCCCGTCCTGTTCCCCATGCAAAAGCACAGAACCTTTCTATTTTTTGCTCGTGCAGTTGTCTTAATTATCCAACACCTTGTGCACTGAGATGCTTCATTTGTGTGTGTGTGTGTGTGTGTGTGTGTGTGTGTGTGAACCCAACAATATTTAAGGATATTATTATGTAAACACTTCATGTTTCCAGAAGGCATCACTTTGTCCTAGATCTTAGGCCAGACAATTGAAAAATTGCTGTGTTTTTTGGTGTTTTTGTAAAGAAGAAGAAGCAGCAGCAGCTTAACAACTTTGGGGTTTTCCGGAATGTCCTAGTTTTTACTTTTTGAAATATGGCAATTCTAGGAGTGGGGGTGTTGCATGGAATGGAATGTGGATACAGTGGTACCTCGGGTTACATATGCTTCAGGTTACATACGCTTCAGGTAACAGACTCCGCTAATCCAGAAGTAGTGCTTCAGGTTAAGAACTTTGCTTCAGGATGAGAACAGAAATCGGGCTCCAGCGGTGCAGCGGCAGCAGGAGGCCCCATTAGCTAAAGTGGTGCTTCAGGTTAAGAACAGTTTCAGGTTAAGAACGGACCTCCGTAACGAATTAAGCACTTAACCCGAGGTACCACTATATTGCATTTCATCTTCCTATGGTGACACTGCTAGGTAAAATTTCCAACTCCCCGCTAGTTAAATTATGGTCTTGAATGAAGGGCTGCTGCTGCATCATGGACCATTCCATCTGCAAGGCCCATCATTGCACGCAAAATTGTCTCTCCAAAACCTGAAGAGAAATGGAAGGGAAGGTTATGGGACCAACCTCTTCTGCGGAATTTCTCTCTTTGGAGTTTTTTACTGCTGGCCTGCAAAGCTGCCCACCCCTCTGCTCTCTTCTAGAGTCCTGAGAAGATAATATATGACTGTGGTCCAGTTGCCACCACCAAAGACCAAGACTAACGATGGGAAAGATGAAAGGGTCCGTCCACCTGGTATTCCAGCTTGCCTTTCTTTGGCGAGTTGAAGCAAAGAGGACGTGTTTCTGGAACCTGACCTGTGCTGGATTTCTCCCCAACTCTGACATGACTCAACCAGAAAAATCCACAGAGGAGAGGAGGAGAAGGACCACAGCCAAACCCCTTCTTCCTCCTCCTCCTCCTCCAAGGCCTCAAATATCCAGGGCATCAGTTGGAAAGGAAATCGATAGAAGCTCTCACGGTCTTTGACGTCTGGACATCCATGGCTGCCACCTTGATCTCTGTGTCTCCAAACTGCATGCTGGCTCGGATCTCCCTCCTGCTCTTCTTCGGAGAGCTGGGCTCCTCCAACTCATCCAGGTCGAGGCTGATGGTACCGCATTTCCTGACCCCGGGGTCGGTGATGTAGACCACGTCGTCGGTGCCACAGCAGTAGATGTTGATGATGATCTTCCGCTGCCCCATCCGCGCAGGGCAGTAGCTTCTCTGCACCACCTCGCCCAGGGCCACGGACTGGTCCACGGAGACAAACTTCTCAAAGATGTCGGTGCACCAGTTCTTCCCTTCCTTGACCAGCAGCTTCTCCCTGGGGTGCTTGCCCTCCACGAACTTGTTGAGCACCCCCACGCCGTAGGTCAGAGGGGAGCGCCTCACGCGGACGATGGTGGGGTCCAGGCCGAAGAGCACCGCGCCTTTCAGGATGGTCAGGCCCACGTCCTGCGGGATGATGACCCGGCAGACGGCGCTGAAGGCCGACTGGACCGCGTGTTGCAGCATCGAGGACTCGGCAAAACCTCCCACCAGGAAGAGGAACTTGATACCTTTGACTTCCGGCTTCTTCATGAGGTCACCTGAAGGGAGAGAGGGGACAGTGGAGGGAGGTGGAGAGGCCACAGGGGTCAAAAGGATGGTGGAAAAACTTGGCAAGGTTCCATTTTGGAGCCAGTAACTGTCAATAATAATAATAATAATAATAATAATAATAATAGCCCGCCCATCTGGCTGGGTTTCCCCAGCCACTCTGGGTGGCTTTCAACAGAACACTAAAATACAATAACCTATTAAACATTAAAAGGTTCCCTAATCAGGGCTGCCTTCAGATGTCTTCTAAAAGTCTGGTAGTTGTTCTTCTCTTTGACATCTGGTGGGAGGATGCCACCACCGAGAAGGCCCTCTGCCTGGTTCCCTGTAACTTGGCTTCTCATAGGGAGGAAACCGCCAGAAGGCCCTCGGCACTGGACCTCAGTGTCCAGGCAGAACGATGGGGGTGGAGACACTCCTTCAGATATACTGGACCGAGGCCGTTTAGGGCTTTGAAGGTCAGCACCAACACTTTGAATTGTGCTCGTAAACGTACTGGGAGGCAGTGTAGATATTTGAAGACTAGTGTTATGGGGTCCCAGCAGCCACTCCCAGTCACCAGTCTAGCTGCCGCATTCTGGATTAGTTGTAGTTTCCGGGTCACCTTCAAAGGTAGCCCCACGTAGAGCACATTGCAGTAGTCCAAGCAGGATTTAACCAGAGCATGCACCACTCTGGCCAGACAGTCGGTGGGCAGGGAGGGTCTCATCCTGCATACCAGATGGAGCTGGGAGACAGCTGCCCTGGACACAGAATCGACCTGCGCCTCCATGGACAGCTGTGAGTCCAAAATGACTCCCAGGCTGCGCACCTGGTCCTTCAGGGGCACAGTTACCCCATTCAGGACCAGGGAGTCCCCCACACCAGCCTGCCTCCTGTCCCCCAAAAACAGTACAAGGCTTCAGGGAAGAGCTGAGGCTTTTCTGACCCTCCACACCTGTCAGGTAGGCTCACTGTCAGCAGAAAGAACCTAAGAGGCCAGCCAGATGTCTGTGGGAAACCAGCAAGCAGGATTTGAACACAAGACCTCTCTCCGCTCCTGCAGTTTCCAGCAACTGGGATTCAGAAGTATTGCTGCCCCCAATTGCATACCCTCCAATGTTTCTCTGGTGAAAATTGGAATGTCCTGTTCCATGAAAATAATAATTTTATTACTTGTATGAAACCATCCGACTGGGCAGCTTCCAACATACATTGGTACCTTGGTTCTCAAATGGCTGAGTTGCTGAACAAATCGACTCCCCAACGCCGCAAACTCAGAAGTAAGTGTTCCTGTTTGTGGACATTTTTCAGAAGCTGAACGTCTGACACGGTTTCCGCTTGAGTGCAGGGAGCTCCTGCATCCAATCGGAAGCCACATCTTGGTTTTCGAACGGTTTTGGGAGCCAAACGGACTCCCGGAACGGATTAAGTTCGAGACTACCACTGGATATAAAAATATAAAGGTAAAAGGTAAAGGGACCCCTGACCATTAGGTCCAGTTGTGGCCGACTCTCTGGTTGCGGTGCTCGTCTCGCTTTATTGGCCGAGGGAGCTGGCGGGTCATGTGGCCAGCATGACTAAGCCGCTTCTGGCGAACCAGAGCAGCACACGGAAACGCTGTTTACCTTCCCGCCAGAGCGGTACCTATTTATCTACTTGCACTTGATGTGCTTTCAAACTGCTAGATTGGCAGGAGCAGGGACCGAGCAACGGGCGCTCACCCCGTTGCGGGGATTCGAACCGCCGACCTTCTGATCGGTAAGTCCTAGGCTCTGTGGTTTAACCCACAGTGCCACCCGTGACCCTTATATAAAAATATAATAAAGCATTAAACATAAAAAAACCGCCTTCCCTATATAAGACTGCCTTCTAAAAGTGTCTAAAAAGTTGTATACTTGCCTATCTCCTTGGCTTGTGGGTTGCATAACTCCATACCCACCAACAAATCTCTGATGAAAATAGGGAGGTCCAAGTGGGACATTTTGGGATCAAATCAGAAACCGGGGTGGCTTCTGTAAGTCCGAGACTGTCCCTGGAAAATATGGACACTTGGAGGCTAGCAAGACCACAGGTCAGGGGGAACTTGGGAGTCTCACACTTGGGCCTTGCGGCTGTCTGCAGGATCAGGCTGCAAGTTGGTGGAACTGACCAGCAAAATGATATCAATATAGAATTGGACGGGACCCTGAGGATCATCTGGTCCATCCCCTGCAACGCAGGAAACCCAGTGCAGGACTCGAACTCGCAACACTAAGTTTAAGCGGTTCATTCTCTACCAACGAAGCTATCCACACTCACAAACTGACACACTTTTTTTCCCTTTTGCCCATTTCAGGGCATTGCCCACAGGAGAAAGAAGGTTGGCACCCAGCTTGAGTTTCTGCACACAGCCGAGCTCTCCAACTGGGGGACTCACCGATATGTGTGATAATCTGGCTGATGGTTGGCTGGAAGAGCTCATTCATGGCTTCAGAGGACATGCGCAGCATCCCTTGCGAGGACCACTTCACCAGGTTCACGCTGGAGATGCCAGAAAAGAGATTGCTTATACATTTTTATTTTTATTTTATTTTTCGTGGTTTTTTTGCTATTTATTTATTTATTGGTTTTCACATTACATTACAATACACATGTACCAAAACCAACACCATTTCCTCCCCATTACATTTCTATTTCCTCAATCTATCATATTATTCTTTTCTCCTTCCTCCCACTTCCCTCCGCCCCCCCCACTCGATTTCCTCCACATTATACAATTTACAATAATCTTTCCATTCTACAGTCTTCTCAAATCATCTATATAGTCTTGTTATCTTTCCTTACTAATTTTTCTTCCATCTAGTACTTCACATTTTAATCTAGGCATATTAGCGTATCTTTCCCCCCCAGCAATATTTTGCCATATATTCATCAAAACGTTTCCACTCCTTTTTTAATTTTTGATTCGACTGATTTCTTATTATAGCAATTAATTTTGCCACAATTAAATATTCATTAAGTTTACAAATCCATTCCTCCTTTGTGGGTATAGTTTGTGACTTCCACTAGCAGCGATCACTATTCTAGCAGCTGTACTTGCATATAGAAAAATTCTTTCTTCCCCCTGTGGTATCTCTTCATCTATCAATCCAAGAAGATATGTCTGTGGTTTCTTTGCTATTGATATTTTCAAAATCTTCTTTAGTTCTTCATGTACTACTATCCAAAATTTCTTAATTTCCTCACACCTCCACCACATATATATTGTAGTTGCTATTTCTCGACCACTTCTCCAACAGACGTTGGATTTCAATTTATATATCTTTGCCAACTTAACTGGCGTTAAGTACCACCTATAGAATACCTTTACAAAATTTTCTTTAATTGTATATGAGGCAGTAAATCGTATACCCTCTCGCCAGAGTTTCTCCCATTGCTCTAGATGGATAGTGTTAAGTTGTGGGTGAACATATCAGACGACACAGCGATTCTTCAAACAGCTCTTGTTTATTCACAGGCTAGAACAGAACCGAACTGAAGGGTTTAGCCAGCCTGCTTATATAGAGCTCCACTACAACGCAACAGTAACCACTTTCTGTAACTATCCAATCACTGAATGTCACTTTCGATCCCTTATTTGCATATGTGGACCTGAGTGAAAACTATCTACAGTATCCCCCTGCTGGCCCAGGGTGAGAACTTCAGTACATAACAGATAGTATGTCCGAGATCCTGAGACCATTCAATCTTTCTGCTTCATTTTATGCTGTTTTAGTCTAATTGCAATGACCAATCTACACTGCCCTGATGGTGTCCTACTGAAAGAAGGCCTCCGATTTTTAACAAAAGGGGAAAGAACTTGGGGTGGGGCAGTGGAATTGTGATCCTTTTATCCCTGCCAGGGCCAAGGTCATCCGAGAGTGAGGAGGGACCCCAGTGGTCATCTATCCCAACCCCCATTTTCATCCAACCCTCTGGGAGCCTCACCTGCTGCGCTTCAGAGCCGTCTCCACGTTCTGTCCCCGGTGCTTCCGGTAAAAGTCGATGAAGGAGAAGGGCAGGGAGATGTTGAGGGAGTTGGCGCGGTGAGGGGCAGCTGTCCGCTTGCGGGCCTCGAACGCGATGGTCAGGTCGACCCAGGCCGCTGGGCGCTTGGCCTTGAAGGTGGCGATGAAGTCCTCGCCAAAGATCTGGCAGAGAAGTTTCTCGAAGGCCAAGTCCACCCCCACGGCCCCGTAAGGACCTCCTGGAAGGCAGCGACAGGAGAGGGAAGGTCAAAGGAGCAAGGGAGAGGGGCAGCATGGCACAGTGGCTAGCGGATCAAACTAAGGCTTCAGGGGCCAGGGTTCAAATCTCTGCTTGGCAATGCAGTTCACCAGTTGGGACCTTGGGCTGCCTCTCAGCCTAGCCTACTTTGCAGGGTTGCTGTGGGACAGAATGAGGAGATGGGAAACCATGTATGCCTTCTTGAGCTCCTTGGAGGAAAAAGGTGGGCTAATAATAATAATAATAATAATAATAATGGTATGAAGGATATGGGGCTTTCAGGGCCTAAGAGAAGCTAGTCTCTCTCTGTGTTTTCTGCCCTCCCAAAGGTCAGGGTACATCAACAATACAGAACAACAAACCCCTGTGGTGCAAACTTAACACAACAAACAATACAAGCAACATGCAGACCAGTATACTAGATAACACTGTAATTCTTATTGCATAATATACATGATTTAGTAACAAAAACAAAATGTGTGCACTTGTAAATTGTCTAATATATTTGAAATCAAATGAACACACGTCTGTCAATCTTTGAAAGTAAGTAAGTGAATAACATATTGCATATCCACATGACCACTGCTCCTTGTGCCTTTTTCTAATCTATGGTTTGTGCTGAAGAAGATTCCAGCGAAACAGTCAGATTATCCGGGATCACTGTCCTACATTGTTATTCACCTACTACTTCGGCACCACGAACGCCTAAAAAGTTTTACCGCTTAGCCCACAGGATAGCATCTATTACTTTGTTTCAACTATAGACTTATTATACTTCTGCGGACTTTCAAAGATTGACAGACGTGTGTTCAATTGATTTCAAATATATTGGAGAATTTACAAGTGCACACATTTTGTTTTTGCTACTAAATCATGTATATTATGCAATAAGAATTACAGTGCTATCTAGTATACTGGTCTGCGTGTTGCTTGTATTGTTTGTTGTTTTCCCAAAGGTCAGGGCACTGACTGGGGTGGCCCCCTGAGCTGAGGAATGCACTTCCTTAAGCTGTTGTTGCAAATATGAGCAACCTATCCGAAGAATGCAGTGAGTCCCAGACATTTGCATTTCCACCTTCAAATAAAGGCTTTGATTTTCCTTCTTATTTTGCTTCTTGCTTGCTATTTCAGTTTCAGCCACTAGGTGGAACTCTAACATCAGAACACCAACAGGGGAGGCCAGCTTCAAACAACCCTGGAAACCCTGGAATGGCCGTTCTAGCCAAATAGCTGGGTGGGAAACAAACCTGGGCACAAACCCAGCCGCCTTTCAAAGCTGCAAAATTGCACGGCTTACATGAAAGTTCAGGGCTGCAGTCATGTTTGTGTGGAATTTTGCCAAATACAGTTGCGCCTTCGGTCCCAAACGCCCTGGAACTCGGACGTTTTGGCTCCTGAACACCGCAAACAGTGACTGTTCCGCAAACATTCTGTTTGCAAACATTCTTTTGGAACCCAAACGTCCAACGGGGCTTCTGTGGCTTTTGATTGGCTGCAGGAGCTTCTTGCAACCAATCATAAACTGTGATTTGGTTTTCGAACGTTTTGGAAGTCGAACGGAAGTCCATTCGACTTCCAAGGTACGACTTCCAAGGTATGGTATGGCTCTCCTTACCATAATTATATGCAGTTTTAGCCAAGCTTTACCACAGTCATGTGCATTCTTGCACACATTGTTTTGGCCGGAGAACTGCACCGCAAAATTCGGAGAAGTACGAATTCTGTGTTTCAGATTCCGTAGGGTTTCGGAAAGCGTGAATGAGATAAGTTTACCTTTCTCCTCCACCTACAGCCCTGGACCTCCTTGCAGGTGGCCTTGCTCTGTGGACTCTCCCCAGCCCCCCCTCACCTGACGCTTTGTAGAGCTCCTTGAGGGTCCCCTGTGGCTGTTCAATCTGGTGCACGGTCAGATCAACGGTCCCTCCGCCACAGTCGGCCACGATGTAGCGGTCCCCTGCGGGATGAAGGAAAGAAGGTGGTGATGCCAGGTTCGGGAAAGGAATCACAGAATCATAGAGTTGGAAGGGATACCTGAGGGTCATCTAGTCCAACCCCCGTGCAAGGCAGAAATCTCAGCTGAAGCATCCATGACAGATGGCCCTCCGACCTCTGCTGAGAAACCTCCAAGGAAGGAGGGTCCAGATGTATGCGACAACAGCCGCGAGAGTTCTGATGCAAAATGAAGTTTTGATGGATGCAACAATGGAATGCTGAATGGTTTCGTTTATAAAAAATATACAGGGATTTATGTTATGCAGAATGAGCCCTGGAAAGAGAAGAAGGGAAGTCTTTACAGAGGGTGGCGAACACAGCGCATGACATCATGGGCTTTCCCCCTGAGCCAGCTAGATGACATCGCAAGGGATCGTTGCCTTAGGAGAGTGAGAGAAATTCCCAGGGACAATTCACACCCCGGGCAGCACCTCTTTAATCTTCTACCCTCGGGCAGGAGATATAGAAGTATAATCAGTCGTACCAACAGGCTAAAAAACAGGTTCTATCTGTGGACTGTTAGGCTGCTGAACGGAAAATAATATGTTGTTATTGTTGTTGTTTAGTCGTTTAGTCGTGTCCGACTCTTCGTGACCCCATGGACCAGAGCACACCAGGCTGTTGTTGATATTTTAGGGATGTTTAAATGAATACAGTCATACCTCGGGTTACAGACACTTCAGGTTGCGTTTTTCCGAGTTACGGACCCGCTGAAACCTGGAAGTACCGGAACGGGTTATTTCCAGGTTTCGGTGCTCACGCATGTGCAGAAACACCAAATCGCAACCCGCGCATGTGCAGACCCACCGCTGCGGGTTGCAAACGCTGCGGGTTGTGAACATGCATCCCACACGGATCACGTTTGCAACCCAAGCGTTTCTTTATGGGAAAGCGCATCTTGGTTTAAGTCCGCTTTGGTTTAAGGCCGGACTTCCGGAATGGATTAAGGTTGTAAACCAAGGTACCACTGTAATCAATCCATCAGTCCTGCAAACTGCAGAATATTTCGCTCCACACACACACATCCCAGCTGACTTCTGAATTCTTCTTTTAAAAAACTCAGTCGAATTTCCCTCCTTTCCTCACCTTTGAATTGCCCCACTGGCTTCTGTCTGCCACAACAGCTGCAAGAATATTACTAGCGAAGAATTGGAAGAAACAAGATTTATCAACTATTGAAGAATGGCAGATGAAGATGATGGACTATATGGAACTTGCTGAACTGACCAGAAGACTCCGAGACCAGAGAGAAGAGACGGTGGAAGAAGATTGGAAGAAGTTTAAGGAATATTTGAAAAATATGTTAATAATAGCTTTGGAAGTGGATATAGGCTGTAGGGTTAGAAGTAGAAGATAGTGTATTTTAAAATAGTATTATTTGTAAGTGATAAAATGTGAAGATTTTTATGGTTAAAGTAAGTGTGATAAAAAATGGTTAAAATTATGATATATATAAACTGCTAAAGATGAGGTAAAATAAAAATCACATAGGGGGGACTTGGGGAAGCTCACATAACAATGTTTAGAAAAAATAAGGATAAGTCAAGAATTTGTTTGCATTGTTTGTTTTTTCTGTTTGTGTTGTTTAGTTGTGTTATAAAATGAATTTTAAAAAGGAACTTTTTACCACATGTGGTGGACCTGTCCCAACGTGAAAGACTTCTGGAGAAAGATTTATAATGAGTTGAAAAAAAATGTTGAAATATACATTTATAAAGAAACCAGAGGCCTTTCTTCTTTGAATAACAGGTCTGGAACTGCCCAAGAAAGATGTTAAATTATTTTTGTATGCCACAACTGCTGCTCGAATTTTACTAGCTAAAAAGTGGAAAATGCAAGAACTACCTACGGTGGAAGAATGGCAGATGAAGATGATGGATTTCTTGGAGCTAGCCGTCCTAACCGGAAGAGTCCGCGACCAGAAGGAGGAGGTGTATCAGGAACAATGGACAAAATTTAATGATTATTTAGTTAAATATGTTAAGTTAAACTAATTGGAAAAAGCTTGCAGGTACTTGATTGGCTTAGGATTTTACATACATTAAGTTAAGAATTAACATGTTTAATCTAGAAATGAAAAGAATCAAGGATGTTAGTTGTTCAAGATAAATTTATAAGAACTTTATTTGGAAAACCGTTAAAAGGATATACATTGAAATTCAACCAAGGGGAAACGAGGAAGTCAATTAACAATGTTAATAAGTGTAATTTTAATAAGGTTATGATGTTTGTTTGTTTGTTTGCAGAATGCTGCAGCGAGACTCCTTATGGGTCTTCGCTGCGAGATCACATTCACCCGGTGTTATATCAGCTGCACTGGCTCCCGGTGGAGTACAGGATCAGGTTTAAGGTGCTGGTTTTAACCTTTAAAGCCCTATACGGCCTAGGACCCTCGTACCTACGGGACCGCCTCTCCTGGTATGTCCCACAGAGGAACTTACGGTCTTCAAATAAAAACATCTTGAAGGTCCCAGGCCACAGAGAAGTTAGGCTGGCCTCAACTAGAGCCAGGGACTTTTCGGATGTGGCCCCGATCTGGTGGAACGCTCTGTCCCAAGAGACCAGGGCCCTGCGGGACTTGACATCTTTCCGCAGGGCCTGCAAGACAGAGCTGTTCCACCAGGCCTTTGGCCAAGGCACAGCCTGACTCCCTCCCTCGGCAATCTTCGCGGAGCTTGGCCCAATGGTTGCCAGTGGCTTGATTTGAATTAATTTTATAATGAATGATTTTAGAGTGTTGTGTTGTGTTGTGTTGTGTTGTGTTGTGTTGTACTGTTGTACTGTTTTATTGTTGTTAGCCACCCTGAGCCCGGCTTCGGCTGGGGAGGGCGGGATATAAATAAAATTTATGATGATGATGATGATGATGATGATGTGAAAATCAATAAAAAAATGGGGGGATTTTTTTGGGGGGGGGAAATGAATTGCCCCACTGGACCTTCCTACCTGTCTGCATTTCGGACCAGAGCTCTCCCATCCCGGACTCGACCAGGAACGTGCGGCTGTGTCTGGAACGGCGGAGTTGTTCTCGGGCTGCAGGGAGACGGATAGGAAAGTAAGGCAGCAGCAAGATGGGGAAAACACACACACACACACACACACACACACAGAGGAAATGGAATAATCCCTTCGTTGTTTTGTTTTATAACCATAGAATGTAGCCTGAGGATCTTCAATGCCCTGCAATGCAAGAATATGCAATTGTCCCACACAGGGATTGAACCTAAAATCTTGGCATTATCAGTACCACACTCGTAACCGACTGAGCTATCCAGCTCCTATTATTTTATTTTATTTATTATTTTTTTATATCCCGCCATTCCTCCAAGCAGCACAAGGTGGCGTACGGCTCGCGACCTCCCCATGTCGTCTTCAAATCAACCCTGCGAGGTAGGTTGGGCTGAGAGCGAGTCGCTGGCCCATGGTCACCCAGGGAGTTTCAATTGGACTAGTTGTAGGCAAAAGTACAAGGTGCAAGCTTCCAGGTCACACTGAACTCTTCAGCAGGGGAGCTAGGACCCTCGTACCTACGGGACTGCCTCTCCTGATATGCCCCACGGAGAACCTTAAGGTGCATAAATAGCAACACCCTAGTGGCCCGGGGCCCTAAGGAAGTCAGATGAGCCTCAACCAGAGCCAGGGCCTTTTCAACACTGGCCCCAACTTGGTGGAACGCTCTGTCTCACGAGACCAGGGCCCTGCAAGATCTGATTTCTTTCCGCAGGGCCTGTAAGACAGTTGTTCTGCCTGGCCTTTGGCTTGGAATCAACTTGATCCCCTCCCCCTCTTTCCTTTTTCCTTTCTCTTTCTGTGATGGAACTCCTATTTGGGGACTTCCCTGGCTTTTTTCTGGCCCATGCAGGACCAGTCTGGATAGTTGGCCTTGGTGAAGATTTGACGTTTTCATCCTCCCAAAAGTTTTTGATTTGAGTTCCTACTGAAATGAGGCTGCATTTTAATGTTGTATTTTAATCTTGTTTTTTAAGTTGTATTTCAATCAATTGTTTTTATGCCTGGTGTTAGCCGCCCTGAGTCCGGTCTTGGCTGGGGAGGGCGGGGTATAAATAAAATTTTTATTTTTATTTTTATAATTATATATTATTATTATTATTATTATTATTATTATTATTTTAGTTGAAGGTAAGCAATAATTGAAAGCTGAAAGAAAACACAGTGTGTGTCCAGGTATGGTTTTAACCAGACTCTTGGGCTGGCATTTCACGCCGTTCAGCTTAGCTGTAACACAATGTCCTGCAAAGGGTCCTAGAATTCTAGAGTCAGAGGGGCACCCAAAGGCCATCTAATCTGCCCCCCTGCAATGCAGGAACTTTGCCTCTGGCCTTGGGCATCATCTTATTAGGAAGGGCACAGAAGGGAGCTGAAGAGAAACAGATACACAGAGGGGTGTTTTTGCCTTCAGAAACCTCTTGGGCTTAGAATCATAGAACCAGTGCTTTTTTCCTAAAAAAAAAAATACTCTCATTTTGACTCAAGAAAAAACCACCATTTTATAATTCAAATCAGGGAAAATAAATACAGTAAATGGACAAAAGTACAAAGATACAGAAAATGTGTAGGGGTGCGCGTACCTCTGCACCCCCCCCAGGAAAAAAGCGCTGCATGGAACTGTAGAAATGGAAGGGGGCGCCCAAGAGTCTTGGTAGTGGCACCCGCCCTGTGGAACTCCCTCCCACCAGATGTCAAAGAGAACAACAACTACCAGACTTTTAGAAGACATCTGAAGGCAGCCCTGTTTAGGGAAGCTTTTAATGTTTGATGCATTACTGTATTTTAATATTTTGTTGGAAGCCGCCCAGAGTGGCAAGGTATAAATAAATTATTATTATTATCATCATCATCATCATCATCATCATCTAGTCCAACCCCCTGCAATGCAGGAATCACAATTAACACCCCTAATAAATGAGGCAGAGACTCAAGATCTGACTCTCTCCTCCATCGGACCAGTGGTTGCAAAAATTGTTTGAGCAAGAAAATGGGGAGATAGGGAACGCTCCCGAGAAGTCCAGGAGCAATGCCCAGCAATCTGAAGTTGTTCTGGAGTCGCCACGAGCAAGATCTGGAGCGCCTTGGGTAAAAGCAGCACTGCAGTGCAGGCTGCATGGTCCGTGGGGGGGGCTGAGGACAGTTAGCCTTCTCCCCCCCACCCCCAAGGCCAAACAGATGCAGGGAAGGTCCCTGACCCGGCCAAGGTTTCAGGAAACAGGCCATTTCCCCGACAACTTCCCTCCTGAGAGTCTCCCGACTTCCGGCTTCCCTCCCTTGGCTTCGAGACAGAAGCCTTTCTTTAGAATCACAGACCTTGCCTCTCGCACAAGCATGCACAGATCTAAAAGCAGCCTTCAGATTAGCACCTCAGAGTCATTTTTGGAGGAGACAGCATTTGAAAACCAAAATCCCTCTGATCTCTTTCAGCTTCTGCCTTCTGGAAGAAGGTCCAGGGTTATAAAGACTAGGACTAGCCGCCTGAGAAACAGTTTCTACCCAAATGCGATTTTGGTTTTAAACGCAGTAATAGGAGTCTCTATGGAGTATATTGTCTGTAATTATGGGGTATCAGAGTTTTTAGGGGGCTAACCAGGTTGGGATGGCTGGGATCGCAGGTTTGTTGGGTTTTGAATGTTTTATGTAGATTTTCAGTTTCGTTGTTCTGTATGAGACAATGACAATAACAATAAAGATTATCGTATTGTATCGTAACTCAGCCTAAGCCACAAAGAGAAATGTTTTGCCTCAGCTCACACCTAGGGAGGGCTTTCAACAGTTCTGGCCCTTTGGGCCCAGTGCCTCTGAACATGTACAAAGTGTAGTGTAGCAGTTAGATCAGTGTTCTGGGCCACAACCCTGCTTGGTTTCATAAACTCAGCCCCAGCGCCTCCTTGCTCAGAACAGCGGTTTGCACGACCCATGGAGGAAGATAATAATAATAATACAGTAGTAGTAATAACAACAACAACAACAACAACAACAACAACAACAACAACAATTTATTTGTACCCCGCCCATCTGGCTGGGTTTCCCCAGCCACTCTGGGCGGCTTCCAACAAAGATTAAAAATACACCAAAATGTCACACATTAAAAGCTTCCCTGAACAGGGCTGCCTTCAGATGTCTTCTAAAAGTCTGGTAGTTGTTGCTCTCTTTGACATCTAGTGGGAGGGTGTTCCACAGGTGGGCGCCACCACCGAGAAGGGGATAGACAGGAAGTCTAGTGTGTTGATATGTATAATTTTTTTGGGGGGGGGAATTGTTTTTGTTTTTTCTCTTTGTTCTTTCTTTAGTTTCATTTTCTTTCTAGGTATGTAAAATTTGTATATAATTTTGGTATGCATGTTGGAAATTATATTATAGTAAGTCCTGTAATGTAACATGACAACGTTTACCAATGTAATATAAGAATGTTAACAAATAAATAAAATTCAAATTCAAAAAAAAAAAGAAAAAGAAAGATATAAATGTCAGGATAAATGAATCTCAGAATCATAGAGTTGGAAGGGACCCCGAGGGTCATCTAGTCCAACCCCCTGCAATGCTGGAATCTCAGCTCAAGCATCCGCTTAAAAACCTCCCCGCTTCCTTGCAAGACGGTCACAGGGGGCTTTGTCAAAAGCCTTGCTGAAGTCAAGATACACTATGTCCGCAGCATTCCCCTGATCCACCAAGCTTGTAGCTCCATCAAAAAAAAAAAAAGAAATGAGATTCGTGTGGCATGACTTGTTTTTGAGAAGCCCATGGGGGGTTTTAGTAATCATATGTACAATACTCCCTTCCTGAGCATGTGCGGAATGCCTTTGCTTTGTGAGGCAGACCAAGTTTTGTGTTCAGAAAGGGTCCCAAGACTGTTGATCTGAGAGAGGGGTTGAATAACTTCTGCTTAGAAGGAGAGGGGCACTGTGGTTCAGATCCTGGAAACTTCAGGCGTGGTACTCGCTGGTGGAATCAAGAAAGGCTCCCTCAACTCTCCTTCCTACAGGCAGAGCTGCAGAAGACTCGGCAAAGCTGTTTGCAGTGAGACGGATTCTTTAATAACTGTGGTTTGTTCTGCTAATAAAATCAAATGAAGACCAGATGTGTGGAAACCTTAATTTAAACCACTGTCTTCTGATGCTTTCCCCCTTTTCTTACTGTTTTTTAAAACGGCTCCGTCAGAGAATAGGCAGCCCAAGAGGGAAAACTGGGTGGAGCTGGGTAGAAGATGCACACACCACCTGCGGAACTCACTGCCACAAGATATTGCCAAGGCAACTGACCACATGGGTATCAGCACATCTCACCTTGGCTTAATGTGGGTTGTGCTTCCTTTTAATTCCCCCAGCTACTGCTGCCCCACACTTTCTCATCCCTATGCTGTCAGTGGCCTTGTGCGCATCCAGATTTAGGGAGGATGCCGCACAGACGAGGGGGAATTGAAGGGGGCTAAAAGGGTCACGATCCGAATTCAGAAGAGGTCACCATGATTTAAGAAGGATGTTGACAAACTGGAAGCTGTGTGGAGGAGGGTGGCCAACATGACCAGGGGTCTGGAAATGGAGCCTGATGAGGAACAGTCGAAGGAGCTGGGTATTTTTTATTTTATTTTTTAAATAGTTTTTATTGATTTTTACATTTTTATCTTCATCACAAGAACATCATCTCAGATATAAACCCAAACCCAAATACAACCACCCTATGACTTCCCTTGCTTCCTCTTCTGGTTTGTTGCATAATAGTTTCCCTGCTTTTTGGTTATACCGCGGTACTGTATTCTCTAAATTAGGTCCTTTCTTTATTCTGCGGCTACCTTTGAAGGTGACCCAGAAACTACAACTAATCCAGAATGCAGCAGCTAGACTGGTGACTGGGAGTGGCCGCCGAGACCATATAACAGTGGTCCTGAGAGATCTGCATTGGCTCCCAGTACGTTTCCGAGCACAATTCAAAGTGTTGGTGCTGACCTTTAAAGCCCTAAATGGCCTTGGTCCTGTATACCTGAAGGAGCGTCTCCACCCCCATCGTTCTTCCCGGACACTGAGGTCCAGTTCCAAGGGCCTTCTGGCGGTTCCCTCCCTCTGAGAAGGCAGAGGGCCTTCTTGGTAGTGGCACCTGCCCTGTGGAACCCTCCCTTCAGATGTGAAGGAAATAAGCAGCTATCTTAACTTTACGATACGATACGATATCTTTATTGTCACTGTCCCATACAGAACAACGAAATTGAAAAATCTACATAAGACATTCAAAAACCTCTAAAAACTCTGGAACCCCATTTTAAAATACAATATACTATAGAGACTCCTTATACTGCGTTTAGAACCAGAATTGCATTTGGGTAGAAACTGTTTCTGAGGTGGCTAGTCCTGGTCTTTATAACCCTATATCTTCTTCCAGAAGGCAGAACCTGAAGATGTCTTAAAAGACATCTGAAGGCAGCCCTGTTTAGGGAAGTTTTTGATATTTAATGCTGTATTGTTTTAACACTCGATTGGGAGCCGCCCGGAGTGGCTGGGGAAACTTAGCCAGATGGGCAGAGTATAAATAAATTATTATTATAATTATTATTATTCTGTTTGGTAATTGTAAGTGTTTAGTCAAATCCTGCTAGGGAGTTCATTTCTTTACACTATTTCTGTAAGTACATCGTAAGGAGCTGGGGTTTTTTAGCCTGGATGAGAGATGATAACCATAACCCCTGGAGGTCTTAAAGCAGAGTTTGGACGGTCATCTGCCATGGCTGCTTTAGCTGAGATTCCTGCATTGCAGGGGGTTGGCCAAGAAGACACCAACCAATTTGACCTTCACGTGTCCTTTTTCAAAGCCACCCAAAGGCCATCGCCGTAGACGGGTCTGATTCAGTAGGAGCAACTCCCTAAAAGCTAGGTCCTCTGTGTCTTTACACAAAACAAATGAAATACCGTGAAAATCCCTGAAACGAGAAGTAATCGACTAATTATCTTATAAAGGTAAAGGGACCCCTGACCATTAGGTCCAGTTGTGGCCGACTCCGGGGTTGTGGCGCTCATCTCGCTTTATTGGCCAAGGGAGCCAGCGTTTGTCCGCTGGTCATGTGGCCAGCATGACTAAGCCGCTTCTGGCAAACCAGAGCAGCGCACGGAAACGCCGTTTACCTTCCCGCCAGAGCGGTACCTATTTATCTACTTGCACTTTGATGTGCTTTCGAACTGCTAGGTTAGCAGGAGCAGGGAACGAGCAATGGGAGCTCACCTCGTTGCGGGGATTCGAACCACCGACCTTCTGATCAGCAAGTCCTAGGCTCTGTGGCTTAACCCACAGCGCCACCTGCGTCCCTAAATTATCTTATAGAAATAAACTAAATAATAAAAATCAAAAAGTTTAAGGAAAATTTTAGAAAAACCTAGAATTGTACAAAGCCTTAATGGGATGCCGGCTACAAACTTTGTTTCACTGAACTATTCAGTTTCCTCAGAAGGAAATAGAAAGATCATAAACCTTAAATGACCAAAATTCAAAAAAGGGGATTAAAACTCCCCAAAATTCTGAAGCATTATAATCCTAGCTCAAACTAGGTGAAGCAAAGCACAGTAATAAAGGATTAAGGGCTCAAAGGTATAGTTTCTAATCCTAAATTTACAAAAAATGTTTGAAAACCTAAATGGCAAGTTTTAGACACAGCCCAACTTAAAGAAAGCCAAACACAGTAATAAAGAGTGGTCTGCCCTTTTGCTCGCTCCAGAGCGCAGGATCCCTGCGTCTTACCCTGCCTGAAGCTGGAATCGATGGGCAGATCCGACATGAGCCCGTTGGCCTGGGGCTTGTAGCTCAAGTCGATCAGCTGGTTGAGGCGGAGTTTGCGGCAGTAGATGGAGGCCGCTTCCGGCTCCAGCGCGATCAGGAGCTGCTCAGGGTTTTCCGAAGGAACCAGCCCAGCCTGGAGGAAGGAAGAGAAAGGAGGTCACTGGGAGGAAGGAGTCGTTGCAGAAGACAGCCCAAAAACCTCTCTGGAGAGCCTCTGGCAACAGCCGCTCCTGGAGGAGTGATTAACATCATCCATAGAAATATGCAGTGCAGAATTCACTAGGGCAAGGAAGTTTGCATGCCCTCCAACATTTCCTTCTCTCTCTCTCTCTCTCTCTCTCTCTCTCTCTCTCTCTCTCTCTCTGTATGGAAGTGAGAGCTGGACCATAAAGAAGGCTGATCGCCGAAGAATGGATGCTTTTGAATTCTGGTGCTGGAGGAGACTCTTGAGAATCCCATGGACTGAAAGAAGATCAAACGTCTCCATTCTGAAGGAAATCAGCCCTGAGTGCTCACTGGAAGGACAGATCCTGAAGCTGAGGCTCCAAGACTTTGGCCACTCATGAGAAGAGAAGACTCCCTGGAAAAGACCCTAATGTTGGGAGGGATGGAGGGCACAAGGAGAAGGGGACGACAGAGGACGAGATGGTTGGACAGTGTTCTCAAAGATACCGACATGAGTTTGACCAAACTGCGGGAGGCAGTGGAAGAGAGGAGTGCCTGGCGTGCTCCGGTCCAGGGGGGTCACGAAGAGGCGGACACGACTAAACGACTAAACAACAACAACAACAACAACAACAGAACCATCGAATTGTAAAACAACAAAGGAAAAGGGGGACATTCCAAGATAAAATGAGAACCTGGGACAGCTTATGTAAATCAGGGATGTCCCTGGAAAATAGGGACACTTCGAGGGTCTGAGTTGGAGCATATTGCAGCAGTAAGAATGTTATTTGCCCAAAAATGGAAAGAAGAAGAAGTCCTAAGGAAAGAAGAATGGATGCAAAAACTTATGGAATATGCAGAAATGGCGAAACTTACCAGAAAAATAAGAAATCAAGATAACAAACTTTTTTATAAAAGAATGGAAATGGTTCATTGAATATCCACAAACAAATTGTAACAGATAAGGACATTGGCAGGATTATTGTAACAACCTGCAGTTTTACAAGAGTATATAATTAAAGTAGTTTAATAAAAGAATAACTTAAGTTAATTTAGAATATTCAGGAAATTATAAAAATAAATTTAAGGAACTGCAGAAGGAGGAGGAAGGAAGGTGAGTTTTGAAATGTTAAAATGACTGCAAAACTATTGAAATGTACCGTATATAACTGAAAACCATACTTTTTTTAAAAAAAGAAAGAAAAAACAGCTCAGTGGCAGCCAAAACCACAGAGGGGGGGCGTGAGTCTCTCAGGCATCTGACATCCTGAATTTATTGTGTGAAGGCCAAACTCCTGAACTGAAACGCTTGGTCTTGCCGCAAGGCAGACCCAAAAGAGAAAATAACAGAACACCACTAGTAATCACATACAGCTCTCAAGTTAAAACAGTTCAGTGCATCATCAGAGATTTGCAACATCTCCTAGACAATGACAGTTCTCTTTCTCAAGCTATGGGAGGAAGACCTTTCATTGCCTACCAACAGCCACCTAATCTTAAACAGCTCCTCGCCCACAATAGTACAGCAACCAGACTTAACATGGACACTGGTACCAGAGCCTGCAATAAACCCAGATGCCAACTTTGCTGCCACATACACCCAGACAACACCATCACTGGACCCAACAACATCTATAACAATACCATCTCAGGCCTATTTAATTGCTTATCTTCTAATGTTTAGTCGTAATCCCCTTTCTTGTAACTTGAAGCCATTGGTTCATGCCCTACCCTCCAGAGCAGGAGAAAACAAGCTTGCCCCATCTTCCATGTGACGGCCCTTTAGATATGTGAAGATGGCTGTCATATCTCCTCGCAGTCTCCTTTATTCCAGCCTAAACGTACCCAGCTCCTTCAACCATTCCTCATAAGGCTTGGCTTCTAGACCCTCATCCTGCTTGCCCTCCTCTGCACACATTCCAGCTCGTCAACATCCTTCTCAAATTGTGGTGCCCAGAACTGGACACAGGAGGTCCTGGACACACTCCAGGTGTGGTCTGGCCAAGGCAGAAGAGAGCAGGACTATGATTTCCCTTGATCTGGACACTAGACTTCTGTTGATGCAGCCAAGAAGAGCCATGGCTTTTTTACTCACCAGGTAGGCAGCCTCCCTCATAAACTGCTTGGCAGGCTGTTTCCAGATGGCCGGCACAGTGATCACCCACCGGATGGCATCTTTCTCTGGCAAGGCTGGGCACTGGTCCTTGAGTTCCTGCAAGTCACAGGGAACAAAGCAGGAGGCATTGACTCTCCACTGGCTCCAAGAAACGGAGGGGGAAGGGAGCAGCCATAGGAAGGAGAGGCAAACTTATTCACTGTCACGGCTAAAAATTGGCCGCTGTTTCTTTAACGCTAAAAGAACTAAGTCAGCATGAGTCAGTGGCCTACAATGACTCATGAAACCTTTCACCAAATTGTAACGGTATATATAGAGTGGTCAATGTTAGTGTTGGGTGTTGGGTTGGTTGGATGGATGGATGATAGAAAGCTGGTTGTGCTTGGTGTTTGTAAATGCTGCCAGTCGTGGTTGGAGAGGAAGACGTTTTAAGAATAAAAGCAGCAATACTCTGCAAGAATACTCTTTCTCAAAGACTCTTTTGTGCCAACTAAGGTCTGAGGACTAGGCAAAGGAGTAAAAAGGAGGTCAGAACCTTTTTCTTTTCCAAACACTGACATTCACTGCTACTTCTAACTGGAAGGAATGCAGATTGTTGCAAGGTAACACGCAGATAGCTGCCTGGCAGCCATATCCCAGGCCAGCCCATGATATTTTGCTGTCTGAAGTGTAGCCCAAATGCTGCCTCTTCCACACAATTTGGACCACCACCTTCAAGGTCCTCCTGCGACATCCAAACACCAGTTCTTCTCTCTTCTCCGCCCACCTCTCCCTGGCACTGCCTGAATCCAGTCACTCTTCTGTGCTGCACCAGCCCTGGAAACTGCCATATTGTGGGTACCTCCCAAATCTGTTTGGAGAGGGAGATATCGGAGTTGTGGGGCCATCACTGAAAAGGCTGCTTATCCAGTTGGCACCTACCTCAGCTTGGAGAAGGGCCTGTGTAGCTGATTGAGCTTTGTGATGAGGCAAGCTTACAGTGGAGAAGGTGGCTCTTTAGGTTATTCTGGTCCCAAGCCCTGTGTGTGTGTCCATGCACAGGGGGCCTGCAAACCCATCCCACAGTGTCTCTCCCTCACCTTGCTGTTCCCTGCTTGCATTAGAATGGAAAAGAAGCTTTCTATTGCAACAAAGGGCTTTTTCCAAGCCTAATTGCAGCACACAAGTAATTGGGGGGGGGTGAGCTGCAATATAGGGCATGGATGCCCCTCCAGAGGGCAACAGTGCAATAACATTGGGGGAAGCACTGCAGAAGAACTAATAAAGCAGAATGATGAACTGGCTAGATTAACAGAGGCAATTAGAGATCACACTAGACAAGAGTTTCAAAAAGCATGGGGGAAATGCAGAGAATACTTCACAAAACAGTGCCCTAAAATACATACCAGGACTTGTTTCAATTAATGTCTGCAGGAGACTTTGTGGATATTTAAGTTATAATTAGAAAAATCTTAATAATTATTCATAAAGGAAACAGCTTATAAGTATTTACTTCTTATAAGGAGACCAGATACGGGATAAAGGAAGTCTTTTATTTGGTTGTTTGTATTGTTGTATGTTATGCTTATTGTTTGTTATGTTTGTGTTTAATGAGGGAGGATTTCTGTTTATGTTATGTTGTAAATAAAATTTCCAATAAAAATTTAAAAATATAACAAAGCAGAATGATGTCCGGTGTATAAACCCACCTTGAATGCACTATTATTGCATCAGTAACATGTTTCAGGAAACCCCTGCAAAGGAGCTGCCATCTACAGGGGCCCCAAGTCTGCGAAGAAGAAATATTAGCAAAAGGAGGGTCTCTGAGTGGGGAAGAAACTGTGGGAGAGGCTAAAAAGGAGACTGTAACAAATTATTATGGTGGAGGAGAAACACCAGCCAGTCAAATGCCTTCTCCAGACAACTGCAGAAAGTTATTTCATGCCCAGCCGAATTTTGCCTCTGTGTGACTTCTCTGCATGACGGACATGCACCTCTGGGTGTCTGCCCCCTTTCCCTTACCTGCAGTGCTTGTCGCTTAAAGAAGTGGAGAGCATGGGCAAAGACCTGCAGAGCCTGCACCTTCTTCCCATTCACTGCTTCCAGTTCGGTTTTCATGGTTAAGTCCTAACAAAAGAGGAGGGAAACAGAGATGGATTGCTCTCAGTTCATTCAATAGCCCCCGTCTTTGGACATCCAGGGGAGCAAGCTTGTCCTTTGCTTCTTCCCTTGTAGGCTTTCTCCACGGGGAACTGACCAGGGTCCTGATCTTCTCCCACCGACACGCCCTGCCCCCTTGTTACTGTACATCTCACCTGGACTCCAGCCGGCTTCTAGCCTCAAGGGGACATACACAGGACCCTTGAGCCTCTCATAAACATTCCCTTCTCCACCTGCATGCTTCCACCTAGACCACCACCCCGTGACAGACTGCCAGGTTTCCCAAGGGCATTGCAACTCCATTTTTAAGCTGGTCTTAAGCATGTTTTTGTCACCGAATTGTCCATTCAGCCTGCCCGAGCAAAGCTGCTCTGTTACTCTTCCAGAAGTATTCTGAGTGAGTAAATGTAATTTTACCTTGTTTTTGATTGTTATTTTAAGGGGGGGAGATGGAGTAATGCTAGGAGAACCCAGTCTGCCTTAAGGCATCCTGAATTCCCAATGTCTCAACAAATGAAACTGATTTGTAAAAATGTTACATGGGGGAAAAAATACGAGAGAGACATTGCAAACACTTTTGTAAAACAAGAAAATCTTTAACAAAACAAACAAGCAAACAAAAATTAAACGCTAAAACTATCTATCTAAGCTTCCCTTCTAAGATGGAAAGGGATACCATTCTGCTGAACTCACAAACATGAGGAAGGAAGGTCAGTATCTAATAAATATATCTTCTCTTAGCATCTACAGTATCCATATTCCAACATGGCCATCAGCTGCAAATTGCACATGGGAGTTTGAAGATCACCTGGGAGATCATCTGCCCACTGGAACAGACAGAATCTCCCTGAAGGCAAACGGGTTTCCTCTTAAGTAACTTAATTCAAAGTGTTCACATGGCATTCTTAATATAACAGATGTGCACAAACAGGTTAGAATCACCAACTCCTGCCTTTGGGTTATCAGAACCTGCCTAACTTGTTCCTGGTCATCTCTGAGAGCTCAGAAATATCAACACCAATCATCACACCTCACTTTGGAAAGGAAAAAAACCAAACAACTGAGAGAGGCTGCTTTCATTTTGGATAAAGAGCATCCAGCGTCCAGGAGAAGCTTGTGGGTGACTGAAAACTGAAGGTCACTTTTGCTGCGTTGTTCTCAACGAAGAATGCAACAAACATCTTGCAAAATAAATACAGCAGAATAGATTGAAGCCTTGTGGACACAAATTGTACAAATTGCTTCCCTTCACTGGAGGTTTTTAAGCAGAGATTGGATGGGCATCTGTTCGGGATTCTTTAGCTGGGTTCCCTGCATTGCAGGGGTCATCTAGTCCAACCCCCTGCAATGCAGGAATCTCAGCTAAAGCATCCCTGACAGATGGCCACCCAACCTCTGCTTAAAAACCTCCAAGGAAGGAGGTTCTGATGGCCTGGGACTCGGGATCGGACTCAGAGCCAGAGGAGTCTCAGTCCGCACTGGATCCTTTGCCTCAGGCATCATCTGAACCGAGTCTGGGGCCTGATTCTGAAGAGTCCCAGTCTGCACAGGTTCCCCTGCAACAAGCACCAGCTGGGCCGAGTCAGGGGCCTGAGCCTGCCCTGGCTCCAGATGCCTTACAGCTGCTCCACTACAGGTTGGGTCAGGAGTGGTTGAGGCGGCCTCTAGATCTAGTAACCCACCAACATCTCCCGAGCTTCAGAGATTGAGGTCTGAGAGAAGGAGAGACCCGAGTACTCGCAGGAGGAGTGCTCGCTTTCGGGCGAGACAGGGAGGTGAGTCGCCGGGGGATCAGGACCGGCCGCTACCCCGACAAAGATAAAAGGCTGTCGGACCCTGCCCCAGGTTGCGGGAGCAATATTGCTGCTTGCTGGAAGCTGCCTGTTACCCTGTGCCTGACCTTGCCCAGTTTCCTGCCTGGGCCCTGTCAGACTGACTCCTCACAGAATCCTTGGATTCGGGACCAGACCTGGACCTTGTTGCTTGGGTTAACCCCCGGCCCAGCACAGAGTCCAGAACCTCCTGGGGCTCGACCATCCCACCGTCAAACAGTCCTTGTGAGCTCAAATTTTGATCCTTAAGTCTGAGAGGAACTTGTTGGCTGCCTTGAAAGTGCTTCCATATCCCATCAGTCGGGGATACTGTGCCTTGCATGGCCCCCAAAGGAGGCTTCAGCCACTGAACTCACGCTAGTGCTGTGGATCTTCATTTTGAACTTCTCAAAGTACAGCCAGTCGCGAGCTTCATCGGGATCCAGGTCGTGGTAGTAGTCCCTGGCGGTGTAGCCAAAGCTGTGGAAACTGCCGTCCGGAGTCAGGAGGAGGCTGGTGGGGGTCTTCTGGTGGGCTACTCCTGGGTCTCCGCCTTCCCATTTCCTGGAAGGAGGGATCAGAAAGTGGGTTGACTTGTCTGCGTCCTAAACGGATGTGGGGAACCGCAGATGCAACGGCTGGATGGTGTCCCTCTATTCAGCCTATGGACTCACTGAAAGAGGTCGCACCCTCCCAGTCCACTTCACTTACTGGTCCACAACCTGCTGCACAACTGGGGCGTCCACAGGCAAGGGAGCCGTAAGGGCAGTTGGCCCTCCACCAATAAACCCAGGTAATAATAATAATAATAATAATAATAATAATAATAATAATTTTTTATTTATACCCCACCCTTCCCGGTTCAAAAACTGGGCTCAGGGCAGCCAACAACAAATTTAAAACACTTAATTGTAAAAGCAGCATAAAATACAGTATAAAAACATGAATAACAATAAAATTCAAAGTTCAGAAATCAATTTAGGGAAAACCCATCTAATAAGCATTAGATAATCCCCAGGGCTAGCTGGCTGAATTGGTCCTACTTGGGCCAGTGAGGAGACCAGGGGAGAATTAGCTGTGGGGTCTCAGAGCAGGTAATCTTCATAAAAGGGGAAGGGGAGGGAAGAGAAGGGAAATAAAAGATCAGGCTGAATTCAAATTAAAGGCCAGGTGGAATAGTTCTGTCTTACAGGCCCAGTGGAAGGAGGTTAAATCCTGCAGGGCCCTGGTCTCATGGGACAGAGCATTCCACCAGGTCGGAACCATCACTGAGAAGGCCCTGGCCCTGGTGGAGGATAGTCTGACTTCCTTAGGGCCTGGGACGTCTAAACTATGGTTATTCATGGACCTTAAGGTCCTCTGCAGGGCAGACCAGGAGAGGCAGTCCCACAGATACGAGGGCCCTAAGCCACAAAGGGCTTTAAAGGTCAAAACCAGCACCTTGAACCTGACCCTGTACTCCACCAGGAGCCAGTGCAACTGGTAAAGCACTGGGTGAATATGCTCCCATGGCAGGGACCCCGTGAGGAGCCTCGCTGCAGCATTCTGCACCCGCTGGAGTTTGTGGGACAGTTTCAAGGGCAGTTCCGCATAGAGTGAATTACAGTAGTCAAGCCTGGAGGTGACCGTTGCATGGATCACTGTGGCCAGGTCGGGGCGGGAAAGGTAAGTAACCAACTGCTTGATATGGCAAAGGTGGAAAAATGTCGCCTTGGTTGTTGCTGTAACCTGCGCCTCCATGGAAAGGGAGTTGCCAAGGATTACACACAAACTCTTAACAGAAGGCAGTGTCACTAATTGGGCCCCCGCAAGAGAAGGCACAGGTACAGGTAAAATTCATGTCAGGGACTGGGCATGGTAGAAACCGCCTTCCCAGCCTGACCCTTCCAGAGAAGAGGACGACAGTTCAGAATTTGAGGGAGGTCACAGCTCAGAGGCAGATGAGGGGGAAAGCTGGGAAATAATGGGAGGGGACGAGGAAGAAGCACAGCTGACAGACGCAGAGTCTTTGAAAAGCATTCCAGACCCTCCCTCTCCCAGAACCCGGCGGGCCTTGAAAGTAGGAGAGCAAAGAGCTCAAAGGCAGAGGCACAGCTGTCAACATTTCCCTTTTCTTGCGAGGAATCCTATTCGGAATAAGGGAATGCATTTTTTCAGCACCCGTAGCGATGGCGCATGAAAGAGGGAGCGGGTGGAGACTCACTCGGGGCAACGCCATTCTTCCAAGAGGTGGCATTCCCAAGCCTCTCTCTGTGAATATTGAATAAAAAGCAGTTGGTAAGAACTTTTCCTTGTCTTATCCATTCCTGGCGACCAGCCATGGGGCTTGGATCCTGTGCCGCCTGACAGTTCACCCTTCAACCTCACAGAGGGGGATTTTAAGAAGGTGAATGTTTAACGCAGGGCGAGGCTTGCAGGGAATTCATTTTGACCCTCTTGTATTCGTAGAATTGTAGAGGACCCCAAAGGCCATCTAATCCAACCCCCCTGCGATGCAGGACTCTTCCTCCCGGCAATGCCACGTACCTCATCATGTGGATGGCCTCTGGGTCACTGGCAAAACTGAAGGCGTAGCCGCTGGACGTGGTCCCAAAGTCAATTGCTACCACCACAGAGAAAGGAGTGGTTTGGCGCATCCGGATTTCATTCCTCTGGAAACAGAAGGCAGAGGATTCAGTTCCTGGAGGGCATTTTCACCACACCCGACTAAGAATCTGTGGGCTTAGCAGTGCCTTTGCCCCCCCCCCAGCCGATGATTTGGACAACAACTTCCATCAGTCCCAGACCAGGGCTGATAGGATTTGTAGTCTGAACCCTATGGAGGACACCCAAACGGTCAAGACTGGCTTAACCCATTGCTCAGAGTGAGGTGGTGGAATCCCAGACTGTTCGATCACAGGCTAGATGGTGGAGGATTGCTTTAGCATTGTAGACTTGGAAGGGACCCCTAGGGTCATCTAGAACAACCCCCTGCGATGCAGGAATCTGAACATTTCACTTTTAAAAAATGCTTCCCACCTAAGTAAATAAAACTGGGAGAAAGGGGGAAAGAGACAGAAAACTGCTGTAGGCAGCAGGCTTAAGACAAGCGAAAAGGACGTGTTTCGCACACTGCAGGTGGCCTCTGGGACTCACTGCCACAAGATGCTGTGACAACAGCTTTTTAAACAAGGCCAGATGAATACTCAAAGAGACATGGCAGGCAATAGACTGAACTTAGGCTATTTTGGATGGGGGCGGCAGGGATTATCACCCTCACACCCTGCCTGTGAACCTCTCCCTGCTTACCGGCGACTGGGACGGCGTCAGAGGGGCGATGTTGCAGCTTTCGTTGTGGAGTCGGGGAGAGTTTTGGGGAGATGGGGTGCGGGATCGCTCTCCGTTTGCACCTGGCAGATAAGAAGAGAAAGGTAGGTTTGCGAAAGCCCCTGTCCTGGTCACCAAGAATGAGTGGGAATCTCCCTCGAGGTGACTAGGAAGGGAAGCATTTATTTTTAATCGTATCAGCTCTTTGCTTTCTTTCAGGCTCCTCATTTGCAGGGCTGAAAGGGAAGTGTGAAAGGAATAAAGGAAGCTGCCACAGATACAGAGTCAGCCCCACTGGTCGATCTAGGAAGAACCACACCGTTCAAAGCACATTTGATGCCAATTTAAAGCACATGAACTTCCTGCAAAGAATCCAGGGAATTTAACCCTTATTAAAAACTACCCTTAATCTGGGTAGTTTAACCCCGGCAGAGTTACAGTTCCTACCACCCTTAGCAAACTCCAGCTTCCAGGATTGTTTGGGAGGAAGATGTGCGTTTTAGTATTGCCGGCACACTGACGCCAAGGTCTCAAGCAGGGGCTTTTTAGCCATGACCCTAGATGCCACCAGGGATGATGATGATGTTAATAGTAGTAGTAGTAGTAGTAGTAGTAGTAGTAGTAATAATGTATTTATTTATACCCCACCCATCTAGCTGGGTTTCCCCAGCCACTCTGGGCGGCTCCCAACAGAATATTAAAAACACAATAAAACATCACACATAAAAACTTCCCTGAACAGGGTTGCCTTCAGATGTCTTCTAAAAGTCAGATGGTTGCTTATCTCCTTGACATCTGATGGGAGGGCATTCCATGATACGATATGATACGATAACCTTTATTGTCATTGTCCCATACAGAACAAGGAAATTGAAAAAATCTAAATCAGACATTCAAAACCCAGCAAGCCTGCTATCCCAGCTATCCCAGCCTGGTTGTTGTTGTTGTTGTTTAGTGGTTTAGTCATGTCCAACTCTTCGTGACCCCCTGGACCAGAGCATGCCAGGCACTCCTGTCTTCCACTGCCTACCGCAGTTTGGTCAGACTCATGTTTGTGGCTTTGAGAACACTGTCCAACCATCTCGTCCTCTGTCGTCCCCTTCTCCTTGTGCCCTCAATCTTTCCCAACATGAGGGTCTTTTCCAGGGAGTCTTCTCTTCTCTTGGTTAACCCCCTAAAAAGCCTGGTTAACCCCCTAAAAAGTCTGATACCCCATAATTAAATACAATATACTCCCACAGAGACTACCTTACACTGCGTTTAAAACCAAAATCTCATTTGGATAAAACTGTTTCTCAGGTGGCTAGTCCTAGTCTTTATAACCCTGTACCTTCTTCCAGAAGGCAGAAGCTGAAAGAGATAATTTCTGGGGTACGCACTATCCTGCGCTACCTCTGCAGCTTTCTCGTGGCTGCTGTCATCATCTGCAGTGATCTTGGAGATCCTGGGCCACAGGGAGGTTAGACTGGCCTCGACCAGAGCCAGGGCTTTTTTCGGCCATGGCCCCGATCTGGTGGAACGCTCTGTCACAAGAGACTAGGGCCCTGCGGGACTTGACATCTTTCCGCAGGGCCTGCAAGACAGAGCTGTTCCACCAGGCCTTTGGCCAGGACACAGCCTGACCCCCTCCTTTGGCAATCCTCACAGAACTCTAGCCCAATGGTTGCCATTAATTTGATTTTGAATTGATTTTAGAATGCATATCAATTAATTGATTGTGATTTTATGTAAACTGTGTTACTTTTATTGTTGTTAGCTGCTCTGAGCCCAGCTTCGGCTGGGGAGGGTGGGATATAAATAATTTTTTTAACATTATTATTATTATTAAAAACCCTCAAGCTGGGATGTCTTTGCCACTTGGTTGTCCCAAATGTGCAAACTGGTTCTCTTGCTCTGTTGAAATCAATAGGACTCAAACTGCCAGTAAGAAACCTCAAGCAAGCCTGGGGAAAAAGGAGGTGTGTGTGTGTGTTTGTGTGTTGCAGACTGCAATTTTCCAAGAAGGGGACTCTGCTCCAGCCCAAGAGAGGCGGGTGTCGTTCTCTACGCTATCTGAAGCAAACACGCCTCTGGCTTTGCTGTCAACTTTTCCCTTGTGAGGAATCCTATTCAGAATAAGGGAATTCCCTTTAAAAAAGGGAAAACGTTGACAGCTATGCGTGGTGTTCGTGCGGATTGGAGCCCTGAGTGTGCTGGACGCCTTGTCTCGCCCACGCAATGCGCGCCTAATGAGGCAGACATGTCTCCGTCCCGTCGGCGCATAGACCGCACTCCCCTGCGCCGCAGATGGTTCCAATTAGGGGATGGAGTTAATTGCTCCCCCCTCCATCACTGCTACCCCGTTCCAGGCCAGAAGTATGGCTTCTTGGCTGACAGGATCCAGCTGTTGGTTCAGGGGAGAGGAGGAGGAGGAGGAGGTGGTGGAGGAGAGTCACTTTATCTGCAAGGCATCTGAGACCCCTAGCAGCGAGGGCCTCTCTCAGAGCTGCAAGGGGGCCGGGGGCGCTGGTTCAGATCTCAAGGCCTGCTTTGAGCAAGGCTGGTCTGCCCAGGCACTTGCCAAACCTCACCCTAAGAGGAGCGCGGCTGGATCAGGCCAAGCACCCATCTCGCCTGGCATCCTCTCCTGGCAGTGGCCACGGGGTCTGTAGCACAAAACTACGCAAAAAGAGCCTGCAAGATCAAGCCGATGGCCTCTCTAATTCTGCATCCCCCCAACAATTCTCTGATGACAAAAGGGACGTCCGAAGGGAAAGCGGGATGTTCTGGGATCAGATCAGAAACCGCTTCTGCCAATCCAGGACTGTCCCTGGGAAATAGGGACACCAGCCACATGCCTCAAAGGAAAACCTGCAAGCAGGATTCATTGCCATCGATAGCCCTCTCCTCCTCCATGTATTTCTCTAATCATCTTCTAAAGCCACCCAAGTTGGTGGCCATCACTTCCTCCTGTGGCAGGGAGTTCCACAGTCTATCTGCTCTGAGTGAGCACATTTTTCATTTGGTCTACCCTGAATCTTCCAACATTCAGCTCCATCCGAAGCCCACGAGTTCCTGTGGTATGAGAGAGGGAGAAAACCCCTTTGCTGTCCAACTTCCTCCAGACACGTATATGCGGCAGCTAGACTGGTGACTGGGAGCGGCCGCCGAGACCACATAACACGGTCCTGAAAGACCTATGTTGGCTCCCAGTATGTTTCCGAGCACAAGTCAAAGTGTCGGTGCTGACCTTGAAAGCCCTAAACGGCCTCGATCCGGTATATCTGAAGGAGCATCTACACCCCCATCATTCTTCTCGGACACTGAGGTCCAGCGCTGAGGGCCTTCTGGCGGTTCCCTCACTGCGAGAAGCCAAATTACATGGAACCAGGCAGAGGGCCTTCTCGGTGGTGGTGCCCGCCCTGTGGAATGCCCTCCCACCAGATGTCTAGGAAATAAACAACTACCAGACTTTTAGAAGACATCTGAAAGCAGCCCTGTTTAGGGAAGCTTTCAATGTTTGATGCATTACTGTATTTTAATATTTTGTTGGAAGCCGCCCAGAGTGGCTGGGAAGCCCAGCCAGATGGGTGGGGTATAAATAAATTATTATTATTATTATTATTATTATTATTATTTATTAATTAATTAATTATTATTATTATGTCACCTCTCACTCGCTTTTTCTCCAAAAAGTCCCCAAATCTCAACCTTTTCCCCTACAGGAGAAGCTCCATTTCCTTGATCATTCTGGTTGCCCCAGGTTTGCAAAGGTAGAGACAGACAGTATTTTCTTTATATACGGTATAACCAAAGATTACCATCCCTTCAAAGTAGGCCCCCTCTATCCTTCTCAGACCACCAACATCCCGAGAAGGACAACTTTTGAGAGAGTTACTCCATCGCAGCTCCTGGCTGAACGCCTGGAGAAGCGAGTCGTTTTAAAAGGCTTGGGTTTTATGAGCCTGTCAAAGATGGTGGTTTTTTTTGTCCCTTTCCAAATACAGCTCCAGAGATTAGTCTCAGCAACTCTTGCTGTGAAGAATCAGCGACTGGAGAGACACGACACCAGACCCTTCTCTCCGATTCCCTAAGTGGCTTTTTCTGTCTCGGGCGCCTGTCATGTTAATATTTCATCTGGTACAAAAAATAGACAGAAACCAGCCAGGATTTTGAAATGAAACCAACATGTTCTCAGAGAAGGCTCTTTACCCAGATCTTCTTACTTGTGCGTATTGGGGGGGGGGAGAGAAGGGAAGAAATGAAAGAGGCACTCTGCCGAAATGAAAACAAATAGCTGCTTTGGGATCAAAGCCGCCTGAACTGAGCTCACGCAGCAAACAGGATGCCTCGCAAAACGGTACACAAATTCTTAGGAAACAATAACATCACGGGTGTAAATTATAAATCATGCCGCAGGTAAGTTGAAACACTCAGGAGCGTGCCTCAGCCTCCTCTGTGCGAAAGGATTTGCAATTACGTATGCAGGCAATCCAAACTCATCTCCGAGAAAAATGGAATGGCCACTGGCATAAGAAGAGCCTGCAGGATCAGGCCAATGGCGCATCCTGTCCTCACAGATGCCTGTGGGAAACCTGCAAGCAGGATTCGAACGCAAGAGCCACTCTCCCATCTGGTGGTTTCTAGCCCTGCTACTACCAGCTGGGGCGGCACAGCAGAGCTATCCTGGTTAGTAGCCATCAATTGCCCTTTCCTCCTCCATGAATATGTCTAATCCTCTCCAAAAGCCACCCCAGTTGGCGGCCATCCCTGCATCCTGTGCCAGGGAGTTCCACAGTTTAACGATGTGCTGCATGAAGAACGGTGGCTACATTCTGCTTCTCGTGTCAGAGGATCTGGGCTTCCCATTGGGGCAGCTGGTTGGCCACAGTGAGAAGGTAGAAAAGGAAAAAGGTAAAGGACCCCTGGGTGGTTTAGTCCCGTCAAAGGCAACTATGGGGTTGTAGTTACAGGTAGGTAGCTGTGTTGGTCTGCCATAGTCAAAACAAAATAAAAAAATCATTCCAGTAGTACCTTAGAGGCCAACTAAGTTTGGGGTTGTGGCACTCATCTCGCTTTCAGGCCAAGGGAACCAGCGCTTGTCCACAGACAGCTTTCTGGGTCATGTGGCCAGCAGGACTAAACCGCTTCTGGCGCAATGGATCACCATGACGAGTGCCAGAACGCACAGAGATGCCGTTTACCTTCCCGCCACAGCAGTACCTATTTATCTACTTGCACTTGACGTGCTTTCGAACTGCTAGGTTGGCAGGAGCTGGGACAGGGCAATGGGAGCTCACCCATCGTGGGGATTCGAACCGCTGACCTTCTGATCGGCAAGCCCAAGAGGCTCAGTGGTTTAACCCACAGCGCCACCCGCACCCCTTTTCCCACAGTGAGAACAGGAGGCTGGGCTAGATTACATGATCCAGAAGCGCTCTGCTTCCACAGGAATTCTACAAGGTGCCTAAAATATGCAGATATTTTGGATATTTTGGATTTCCCCCCCTGCTTTTGCTGATCATGGGGAGGGGGCAAGGTCAGAGCGCTTATTGCCTCATACTCTCTGACCCATGGAAATCCATTTTGATGCCTCTTTGACTTCTGAGATATCAGCGTGGGATTCCTGCACACTTTCTGAGCAAATCTGAGCTTCAATATGGGCTAGAATATAAAATAAAGATTTTTTTAAAAAACATATGAATTCTAACAAAGGTCTGTATAGTTAAAACTATGGTTTTCCTAGTAGTGATGTATGGAAGTGAGAGCTGGACCATAAAGGTTGATTGCCGAAGAATTGATGCTTTTGAATTCTGGTGCTGGAGGAGACTCTTGAGAGTCCCATGGACTGCAAGAAGATTAAACCTCTCCATTCTGAAGGAAATCAGCCCTGAGTGCTCACTGGAAGGACAGATCCTGAAGCTGAGGCTCCAAGACTTTGGCCACCTCATGAGAAGAGAAGACTCCCTGGAAAAGACCCTGATGTTGGGAAAGATGGAGGGCACAAGGAGAAGGGGATGACAGAGGACGAGATGGTGGGACAGTGTTCTTGAAGCTACCAGCATGAGTTTGACCAAACTGCGGGAGGCAGTGGAAGACAGGAGTGCCTGGCGTGCTCTGGTCCATGGGGTCACGAAGAGTCGGACACAACTAAATGACTAAACAACAACAACAACAACATGAATTCTGATTTTGATTGTGTAGTTCTGCAAGAGTGCAGGTTCCTTCTCTCTCTCTCTGTCTCACTCTCTCACACACTGCCAACACAAAGACAGACAGATAAACTTGATTCGCATTAGCCAACGGCCATAGCAACATAAAACAAGCAATATATACAATTAAAAAGACAACAATGGGTAAAAAGGGCAATCAAACGACCAAGATCATCGTTCAGATAGTGGCCCTTAATCTCATTGCACCCTCGTTAAACCTAGCAACCTTTGCTGTTGTCTGATCATTTTGATCTGATAAAAGAAAGACCAGTGTGACCGCAGATGGGCGGCCTGGGATGGAAAGTAAGAGTGGGGTGATGATCTCATTCCTCAGATCTTTATAAAGGGGGCAGGACAGGAGAACATGAGCCACTGTTTCCAGATTGCCATCTCCACAGGGGCAGAGTCGTTTCTCAGTTGGAATATTTTGGTATCTGCCCTCAAGTACAGCAGAGATCATCACATCCAATCTGGCCAGTGTGAAGGCACGTCTGTATTTTGGGATGGTTAATTTATACAAATATGGTGCCAGGGAATCAAACTGAGAAGGGGGGGGGGAGGCATACCAAGGACAGAATTTCTTTGTAATGACCAGATTGTTCTGTTGCTCTAAGTCCAACACAAAGACCACAATCTGGATCAAGACTCTAGGTGTAGACAGAAGGGCTTTGCACCTTTGTCCATCTGTTCCCCCAGCAAAAAGGTCAAATTGAAATGCCTGGAGTTGTGTTTTTTTTTTTAGGAAAGGAGCCTGATAGGTAAGTGGGGAGGTGGGTTGATATCCTCTCAACACATTCTGAAGTGCCGCCTCCTAAGCAACTTCTCTGTTTTGCCTCTGGCTATTCTGTAGAAATCCCCAAGCCCATCATCGCTGCAGAAGTGACACTTATCAATTCCTCAGAAAGTTCAGGAACGCAACACAGCTAAGGCTGCCAATTCAAAACATGTTCGAAACAACAACGTGTTATCCTTTTTCCTTGGTCTTGGACAGAACTCCCACCCAGTGCTTTGGTAAGTAACAGTGAGGTAATGTAAGATTACCAGGTCTAGTGTCTACTGCCCTCTGAGGCAGTAAAGAAATTGTCTTCACCCTCTACAGAGATTTGGAAAGTGGTACCCAGGTCCTCTGCCCGCCACCCACCTTCTTTTATTTTCCCAGGCTGAATATGCCCAGTTTTCCCATATCACTGAATATCTTCCAGTATTTCTTACCGATTTGGAGAGTGTGCATTGCTGGTTCCACAAGCGTTGACATCTTCACATCACTTTTCTGGCTGAAAGACAGACAGAACATCCCAATCAAATTGCCCTCTGATTTATTTATTTTAAAAGATTTTATTGAAGTAAATAAAGCAAACCAATAGAAGTACAAAAAGGCAGCACAGCATTTACAAAAATGATTTAATATTAGGTGGGTAAAGTACTTGAAACCATCAAGTAAGCCAAATTTCATGTTGTGCTGTGGAGAGGCTGTCCTGTGTCTACTTCTTGTAGATAAGATAAAATCCCAACAAGCAGCAATGAATTTTTCAGGGTTCTCCAAGCCTTTATTTTCCCAGCTAATGCTAAACTCCACATATTTTTACACCATGCATCAGTTGCCCAGACTGAAAGTCCCCGTCTCCCCACAGATGTCTAAGTCCCCTTCTTTCCAGGGCTTTTTCCATGCCTGTGTGCAGCCAACCTCTCCTCCACCCTCTTCACGCCTCTCCTGGTTCTGGGAGACCAAGAGGGAGGGGAGCTGGTCACAAGAGAGGGGGAGACACCTTGACGTCTTCCTCAGCCAGACTCCTCTCTGCCTCTTGGCCTCCCTCCTCTCCTGCTTCAGCTTCTGCCTCTGGTTCTGCACTTCTCTTTGTCACAGAGTCTCCCTGCTCACAGAGCCCTGTTATCCCTTCAGCTTCCAATACCTCCTCTTCCCAGTCTTCTCTCTCATCTCCATCTGACCACTCATCATCGTCCCACTACCAATCCCCAGGCTCTGAGCCTTGTTCCCTTGGTGGTTCCTCAGCTGGTTCCTTCCTCCAATCATTGATCTGTGTCCAGCCAGTCCATGGCATCTGATAATGATGATGATGATACATACATACATACACACACACATACCCTGCCCATCTGGCTGGGTTTCCCCAGCCCCTCTATGTGGCTCCCAACAGAATATTAAAAACACGATAAAACACCAAACATTAGAAACTTCCCTAAACACGGCTGCCTTCTGATGTCTTCTAAATGTCAGATAGTTGTTTATTTCCTTGACTTTCTGATGGGAGGGCGTTCCACAGGACAGGTGCCACCACTGAGAAGGCCCTCTGTCTGGTTCCCTGCAACCTCACTTCTCGCAGGGAGGGAAGGCTTTCAGAGCTGGACCCCAGTGTCCGGGCTGGACGATGGGAGTGGAGACGCTCCTTCAGGATGATAATGTTGCTGAGATGCCATTACTCTGGCAGACCTCTCTGAACACCCCACTGCCCACCCTCAGAAGGCAACATCACACCAAGCCCATCAATATGTGTTGCTTGCTGGCAAATGCGTATTTTTTTTGGTCATAGCCCATGCACTCCATACACCGCATATTTCAGAACGCTCTATTCATGCTGCAATGGTCTGAAGACTCCTTGTGTTGGCAACCTCAAGGCGGTCTATGTGGGGTTGTCCTTGGGTTTGGTTCGGAAGCTCCAGCTGGTCCAGAATGCTGCAGCCAAATTGCTGACGGGGGCACTTGCCCAACAACATGTGTTGCCATTGTGAAAGCAGCTGCCCGCTTCCAATCATGCCAGGTTCAAGGTCCTTCTCTTAATTTACAAAGCCCTGAACAACTTGGGTCCAGGGATTTGCTGAGCCTTTTCATCCCCGCTCGATTCCTGAGATTCTCTGCAGGAGTGTCACTGCCCATCCCTCAAGCAAGGCTCGTTTGACAGCAAGAAGAAACCAAGGCTTTAGTGCCATCACCTCAGAGTTGTGGAATACTCTGCAAATAGAGATTTGGAAGGCACCTTCTGTTTTAAATTCTAAATGCCTGCTGACAATTTTTCTATTCTGCCAGGCCTATGCAGCCAATTAAGGAAACATATTTCCACAAAGGCTAATTGACGTCTGTTTTTAACTTCTAAAATATGTTTTTATCGCGTGGTTTTAATTTGGAATATTGTTTATGAAATATATATTTTTAACAACATATAAAATGTAATAAACTGAAGTCCAACAGAATATGACGCACACCGGAAAGAGCTTTAGTGATTAGCAGCCATTGCGAAAGGCAGGTGAGATGTGGTATTGAACATCTGTCTCAGGTGGGGATGTGCATTGACCGCAAAATTTGGTCCTTCTCCTTCTTTGGCAATCACTCGTAACTGAGTAAGATTGTCTTCCATGAACATGGTCTTAACCATGGGTAGGCAAACTCAGGCCCGGGGGCCAGATGCGGCCCAATCGCCTTCTAAATCCGGCCCGCGGACGGTCCAGGAATCAGCGTGTTTTTACATGAGTAGAATGTGTCCTTTTATTTAAAATGCATCTCTGGGTTATTTGTGGGGCCTGCCTGGTGTTTTTACATGAGTAGAATGTGTGCTTTTATTTAAAATGCATCTCTGGGTTATTTGTGGGGCATAGGAATTCGTTCTTTTTCACCCCCTTCAAAATATAGTCCGGCCCCCCACAAGGTCTGAGGGACAGTGAACCGGCCCCCTGCTGAAAAAGTTTGCTGACCCCTGGTTAACAGTGAGTCCGTAAGTGACTGTGGAGGCCAGTTCTGGATCCACACGTCCTTCCACAGTGAGGACATTGGTTTCTGGGCAGGAGCTGACCATGGTGTGGATTTGCCAAGTGTGCCTTCCTCTTAGTACATTTCCCCCTTTTGTCCCGAGTTCGAGCATACAGTGCATACCCTTTGGGGAAATTGCTTGCCAAAGTAGGAACAAGAATGTGTGTGAACGTTCAAGTCCACTTGAATTTGGGGCAAGCCAAACTGAAGAGTAGAAAAACGAAGCAGCAGAGCCACACATTTAAAGCACACCCGATACACACTTGAAGCACATGATTCCCCCCCTCCAAGTATCCTGGGAACTGTAGTTTGTGACTGAAACTACAGTTTCCAGGATTCTATGGGGGAAAGTTGTGTGCTTTAAATGTGCATCAGTTTTTAATGTGTGACATTTTAATGTATTTTTAATCTTTGTTGGAAGCCACCCAGAGTGGCTGGGGAAACCCAGCCAGATGGGCAGGGTACAAATTATTATTATTATTATTATTATTATTATTATTATTATTATTATCAGATGTGCCTTAAATTCATGGTGTAGGTCAGCTGTGAGAGAAACTGAAATCAACACAGCCATCCATTCCTCCCTGGCTAGGAGCTGATCTATCACCAAACACGCCTCAATGATCAGAATCGATATGCCAACGATCGCCAGATACTGGGCACAAACAACAGGAGCAGGCTATCTGAGGAGGGGCCACACCCCGTGTTCCAAACGGGCCGCTCCAAACCCCAGAAGTCCCAAGAGGAAAGATCTCATTCTGAAACTGCAGCTGCCAAGCTCTTCCTGACCAGGAACACATTTCCGTAACTGCGCCGCCTATAAATAGAGACGCAGGAATGGGTGGGAAGGGGATGGAGAATGACTCCAGTGATATCAGCTGCGGAGATCTCAGAGCTGGTTTAAAGAGCACACCCTCTGCATTAGAGACCAGGGGCGCCAATCAAACTGATGCCAGCGCCTCGTCTGCCTGGCCCTTGTGAGAACAGGATGTCAGGCAAGACAGGATGCTGGCCCGATCCAACAGCCTCTGATTATGTTCTTATGCAGAGAAGTTAAAGGTTTGGACAAGATACAAGGATTTATTGGAAAATAAAACCCCAAGGTGGTTGTCACCAATGGAAGCGAAAGCTCTGAAAAGGCTCAATATGGAGGCCAAATGGCCGAAATATTGGGAAATTTTGGAACAAGAAGGAGACAAATTGAAATTGCAGAGTTTCGAGAAATTAAAAAATAAAGTGAGAGATTGGCTTCATTATTACCAGATAATGGAGGCATATAATCTGGATAAGAAAATTGGCTTCCAGGTGGAAAAATCAAAATTAGAAACAGAACTGCTAGAACCCAAAACTAAAAATTTGTCAAGAATGTATAACTTGCTGTTGAAATGGAATACTCAGGATGAAACGGTGAAATCTGTTATGATTAAATGGGCACAAGATGTTGGACACAATATTATGTTTGCTGACTGGGAACAGTTATGGACCACAGGTATGAAGTTTACGGCATGTAATGCTTTAAGAGAGAATATTATGAAAATGATATACAGGTGGTACATGACCCCAGTCAAGCTTGCAAAAATCTATCATTTGCCCGATAATAAATGTTGGAAATGTAAAGAAACTGAAGGCACATTCTTTCACCTTTGGTGGACGTGCCCAAGGATTAAGGCTTTCTGGGAGATGATTTATAATGAAAAAAAAGGTATTTAAATATACCTTCCTGAAGAAACCAGAGGCTTTTCTTCTGGGCATCGTCGGCCAATTGGTGCCAAAGAAGGATAGAACTTTTTTTATGTATGCCACAACAGCAGCAAGAATACTCATTGCAAAGTATTGGAAGACACAAGATCTACCCACTCTGGAAGAATGGCAGATGAAGGTGATTGACTACATGGAATTGGCGGAAATGACTGGCAGAATCCGAGACCAGGGAGAAGAGTCGGTGAAAGAAGACTGGAAGAAATTTAAAGACTATTTACAGAAATATTGTAAAATTAAGGAATTTTAGAAGGATGTTGGATAGAAACTAAGTGGTTTCCAGCTGTAATGCTTTAAGAGAGACGAAAAAGGTTTTATAAATGGGTAAAAGCTTAATGGTAAGGACTTGCTGAACTAACAAACTGAACTGGAATACAAAAAAGGGAGGTATGAGGAGGTCCGGGGAAATAAGTGAAAGGAAGATATGTTATGGAAAACTAAAGATGTGTTTTTAATTGTTTTTACTTTGTATGTTTCCTTTTATTTTATTTTTTTTTGTTATATTTTAAAAACTTTATTCTTTTTTCTGTATTTTGTATTTTCTTGTATTTTTATGTTCTGTTTTTGTATTCTTTGAAACTTTAATAAATATCATTTAAAAAAAATAAAAAAATAAAGGTGGTCCATAATTTGGCAGTCTGTCAACCCACCAACTTTGGGCTTTGGGGCGATCTGCGTTCACATCTGAACACATCCTGTCTGCCTCCACTATTTGAGGCATCATCTTAAAAGTGCTTCCAGTGCATTTATAGTTTTAATCCTAACAACAGCCCTATAAAGTAAACCGGGATTATTATTCCCATATTGTAGATGGAAGGATCAAGGCTGAGAGTGGGTTTGACTAACAGTACCTAGTGAGTTCATGGCAGGTGCAAGATTTGAACCAAAGGCCTCCTGATTCACAGCGCAGTCTCTACACTAGCTCTCTAATCAGAGTAGAATAAAGGGAACCAAACTGATTTGTAAAATATTTGGTTCATAGTGCCCTGGTTCACCTTTTTACTAGTTTTTTTCACAATTCTGTTCTAAATTTGCTATTCTCCATTTAAAGTATCATTATGGGACACGGGTGGCGCTGTGGTTTAAACCACAGAGCCTAGGACTTGCCGATCAGAAGGTCGGCGGTTCGAATCCCCGCAACGGGGTGAGCTCCCGCTGCTCGGTCCCTGCTCCTGCCAACCTAGCAGTTCAAAAGCACGTCAAAGTGCAAGTAGATAAATAGGTACCGCTCTGGCGGGAAGGTAAACAGCGTTTCCGTGCGCTGCTCTGGTTCTCCAGAAGCAGCTTAGTCATGCTGGCCACATGACCTGGAAGCTGTATGCCGGCTCCCTCGGCCAATAAAGCGAGATGAGCGCCGCAACCCCAGAGTCGGCCACGACTGGACCTAATGGTCAGGGGTCCCTTTACCTTTACCTTTACTACTAAACAGTCATGGAGAACCCTGGGAATTATAGTTTGCTGGTGGGTGCCAGAAACTGCAGCTCCATGAGATCAGTCAGCAGCCTTAACAAACAGCAGTTTCCAGGATTCTCCATGACTGCTAAAGTGGTTATAGAAATAGATTGAAACGGATGGTTTGGATTTGACCAAGTTAGTCATCTCCCGAAAGGCTTGCTGGCCATTTTGCTTACAAAACCTTAGATCTGAGTTTTCAGGCCGTTTCTAGCAGTTCAGGAGCAAAGCAATTGCAGATATGCCATTGGAGCTAAGCTGCTGTAATTCAGATTCTGCAAGGCTTGTCTCAGCTTGCGGCTGAGCAGTCTTAAGATTATCATCATCACCAAGGGCAATTTATTTACAGAGCTGCCGGTGTTTCATACAGTGCGGTGTGTGGGTTTTAATTTGCAAGCTGCTTTGGGGGTTTTCTTTTGAATGGAAGGACCGGGCAACTGTTTGGGTTTTCTTGATAAATTGTTTATCTGAATTCAGTCATAAAGATGACTGAACTCAGGGACATGGAAGTTTGGAGTATTCTGCAATGCTACTTTTAGACTCTGGATTTAACCATCTTATTTCCACCCCACCCCACTTTTTAGATGGGAATGTGTGTTACTACATATCAGGTGGCAAAGCTGGGGGAGAAGAAACTTTGGGAACCTGGTTTTCCTTTTACAAAGCATCCTCAGGTGCTCGTCTTTTTAACTTCTGCAGAACTAGTCATCCAATAAGAGATCACTAAAAAAGGAGGGCCGTCAGGATGACAGACAGAGATATTATTACAAAAGGTATAGGCAGATGTGGCCCTCAAATCACTTATGAGTGTCAGAGCATGGGTCATAAGAAGAAAAGGGCCCCTGAGCATATACAGAGTGCCTTTTCTTCAACAAGAACTACCCTGACACAGTTGGATTCATAGGCACGGCAGGAGCTTTGAGTCTCAAGTAGAACTAGCACCTTTCATTTTAGGAATTGCTGGAGATCCTTCTCTGGGCTTACAGAATCATAGAATTGTAGTTTTGGAATGGGGACCCCAAGGATCATCAAGTCCAACCCCCTGTGATGCAGGAATAATTTAAGGTATGCGGTCTACGCACCAGTCCCAACACAGTATTTGGGTTTAAGTATTTCTAAAACATGGAGAGAACATCCGATCCAGCGATTGCACCAATAATTCTCCCTCTCTCCTGCCTTGCATATGTTTGCTTCTCTGCCCTGACTTCTGGTAGTGAAAGTATTTTGTTTCCTATGATGTAAAAGGCAAAACATACATAAGATTATAATTTCCATCTGTGGGATCAAAGGGCACTGCTACAGAAAGAACCACAAGCGTTTGATTGGCTGCAGTGGCGTTGTCCCCGCACGCACCTCCTCTTGCAAAGAGAGAGAGAGAGAGAGAAAATACAACTTTGAGCAGAAGCCAAGCGAGAGCAATCACCAAGATGCGATCATAATTTGCTTCCGAAGCAGTTTCCAGCGTGCAAAAAGGGCTCTGCAAAGCATTGTGCCTTTTCTCACAATCAGCCTTGAGAAACTGTTGGCTCACTTGGCCTGCTTTCTGGATAAAGAAGCACTGAAAGCATTTGTTGTCTACAGCAGACTAGTCAAGAGGGAGGGTCTGGTGGCACATTTTTCGGCAACAAATCAAGAGCCACTAAGTGCAGGAAATCTCCCGGGCTTCTGCCCATTGAGACAGGGTCACCAAAGTGGACAGCCAGTTGGTTCCTTCTGAGGGACTGAGGGGAGGCAGGTGGAGAGAAACATAGAAAATTCTTAGAACAGGGGACCCTCCCTTTGTTAGATTCCGGAATAAACACTTCTGCAGAGCAGGAATTCAAGAGCATTTCTTTCCAACTTTACTAATGGTTAAAGCCTGCGAGCCCATTGTGAAAACGAACAAAAAACGAACCCAGGGCAGTTTGCAGAATCAGCCCAAGCCTCTCCCAACTTGATGCCTTGGACTACAATTTTCATTAGACCCAGCCAACACAGCCTCATGGGAGTTGTAGTCCTAAATATCTGGAGAGTGCTAGGTTGGAGAAGCCTAGTTTAAGCTGAAATTAAGGGCTTATCCATACTGTTGTTTAAGGTGGGTCAGAACATAAGAAGAGCTGGCTGCTGGATCAGGCCAATGGCCCATCTAGTCCAGCATCCTCTTTTCACAGTGGACAGCCAGAAAACCGTGGGAAACCTGCAAACAGGATCTCTCTTCCACTATTTGTCACCACAATCTTAAGTGCTAATAGAAGCTTAAAGATTTGCAGTTCATGGTCTTGTTCCATCTTTTGGCTGTTGGGTTTATAGGAGGAAAGAGGAAGAAAAGAAAGGTCTGCACCTCCAGATATCCTCCTCATCAGGCTCTCCTTCCATCTTACTCTTCTTGCACAGTTCATGGGAAATTTATTTCGAAGAAGTACCACCTCCATGTTCCACGCTCAAAGTCCCTGAATGGTTAAAATGAGTTTGGCTTCTTATTTTCTCATCTTGGGACAAGTTTAGGTAAGGAGATCAAGAGCCCAGAAAGAAGTTTTTCTTTGACACTTTTGAGTCTAAACCAAGAAATTTTAGCAGCCCACGGAGACATGGACATTTGTCAGGGAGCACTGCACCATGGGATACGGAGTGTTTTCAATGCATTTTCCAGGCTGTTACTCGTTTCACAACTATCTTCCCTGTTAAACACGTGTGTCTTCTTGAAAAGGTGAGTGAGGAGAAATATACCCTTCCCAAACCCTGATTCTGAATATCATGGGATGGTTAAAGAAGGTGGGGAATTATACATTGGTCCCTGTTGTCTCAGGCCAATATTCTTCCCTGTATACACTTATTTGCTTCCGAGAGCTGTTCCCACCCTTTTACCTACTGGACTTCTCTTATACTCTTTTCCAAATGCAGGGATGAGACTCAGAAATTTTGGGAATCATAATCAACAAAAAAGCCCCACCCTGACCCCTCTCACACGCTCCTATGTTCACCTGTTCCAAGAGGACCTGTAGACCTCAGCCAATACCCAGGCAACCCTTAACTATTTTCCAGATGGGAACTTAAACTGTTCTAGGCCCATGTTTCTGCAAGGGTCCTCTGCCTATTATTATTATTATTATTACCCATCCATCTGACTGGGCTGCCTTCAGATGTCTTCTAAAAGCTGTACAGTTACTCATCTCCTTGACATTGGTGGGAGCCACCACTGAGAAGGCCTTCTGCCTGGTTCCCTTTCCAGTTGCTGACCAGGAAAAGCTTTTACCCAGTACTGAGAAGTTGTGATTCGAAGAAACTTTCATGCCACTGTTATAGAGCAGGTCCAAGGTTTTCTTCAATATTTTGTAGCTAAGCAAACCTGGAAACTCCAGATGTTTCAGATCTCTACTCCTGGAATTGAGACTGAGGGCTCAGACCTCAAGAGAGCCAGTGTGGTGTATTTATTCTTTATTCCTTATTTAATGTATTTTTTTTTTAAAAAAATAATCTCAAGTGGTTTACATAAAACAAAGCAGCAGATAACAATAAAATGTAGTGGCTAGAGGGCTGGACTCGGGACTTGAAAAAGGCCCGGGTTCAAATCCCTCTTCTGCTGTGAAACTCACAGGATGACTCTGGGCCTTATTACCTCACATTGTTGCTAAGGGTATAAAATGCAGAGCTGGGGAGCTGCGTTCAGCATCTTGAACCCCTTGGAGGAAAGAAAGAGAGATAGAGCGTTGAACTAAGGGGTTGGGAGGCCTGGTTTCAAATCCCGAATACTTATGGGATTGCCTTACCCCAAATAGGTCCACTCAATACAGCCTGGGTAGCTCAGTTGGATAGAGAGTGGTGCTGATAACACCAAGATTGCAGGTTTGAGCCCCATATGAGACAGATGCACAGTCCTGCGATGCTGAATATTTCTGCACTGGGCAGGCTGGACTAGATGATCCTCAGGGTCCCTTCCAACTTGACAATTCTATTATTCTGTGACATCTCTGAACTGTGGAACCGGCCCTGCGACAGAAGCCACTTCACACACACACACACACTTGTAAGAAATCAATATATTAGCGAGGCAGCACCTACGTACACTTTGGAACTCACGGCCTGTTGACGCCAGGCAGGTGCCTTTACTGTACTCTTTAATAATAATAATAATAATAATAATAATAATAATAATAATATATTTATACCCCGCCCATCTAGCTGGGTTCCCCCAGCCACTCTAGGCATCTGCTTAAAACATTTTTGTTTAGGCAAGCCTCCCCAGACATGAACAACTTAACGGCCTCGGCCCGGTATACCTGAAGGAGCGTCTCCACCCCCATTGTTCTGCCCAGACGCTGAGGTCCAGCGCCAAGGGCCTTCTGGCGGTTCCCTCACTGTGAGAAGCCAAGTTACAGGGAACCAGGCAGAGGGCCTTCTTGGTGGTGGCACCAGCCCTGAGGAACAGCCTCCCACCAGATGTCAAAGAGAACAACGACCAGACTTTTAGAAGACATCTGAAGGCAGCCCTCTTTAGGGAAGCTTTTAATGTTTAATAGACTATTGTACAGTATTTTAATATTTTGTTGGAAGCCACCCAGAGTGGCTGGGGAAACCCAGCCAGATGGGTGGGGCATAAATAATAAAATAATTATAACAACAACAACAACAACAACAACAACATGCATTTTATCCTGTTTTAGCTACTGTTTAAACATCTTTTAGATGTTTCCAAATCCTGTTTTCACTGTTTTTATTGACAATTTCAAATATTTTACTTAAAAAAAAACCAAAATAGGTTTGGCGGCTGGTGGTTGTTCTTACAATCAAGTGGGGTATAAACTTTGTTAAACAGATTTTTATTTTTTTTAATGCACCTGATAATCCATACCTAAGTAAAAGAAGACCTGCAGTCTTAACCCAAGCTAGTCCCCCAGCCCTCCCACATTGCTTGGGGTGGTTTTTGCAGTCTTGGGTAACTTACAACCTACCCATATCTCCGTTTATCTTCACAACAACCTTACAAGGTGGTCTCTCGCCCAGAAAGTCTGGCTCAGAGGCCAGGAGCCAGCCAGCAAGCAAGCAAGCTTCTGGGTTGCATGAGCAGGGCTAAAACCCAACTCCTTTCCCTCCCCGACTCCAAGGCCACCCCACCACCCACCCCACCCTCTCCTCCCCTGGCATGAAGGGCTATTAGAGATGCCACCTAATCTCCAACCTCCTTCCACCCTGCATCCTTCGTTCGCCACAAGCCGCCACCCCCAACCCCAACCTTGGCATTGCCCATGGCTTTCTAGAACTGCCTGTCTCCTTCTTCCAAAACTCTTCTCGCCCGAAAGGATTTGCCGAGAAGAGAGGCTCACCTCTTCTTCACGGGCGGTGCCAGCAAACCGCAGATGGCACGGCCGGGACAAAGCCCCCCAAGTCCAGCTGACCTTCCTGCTTCCCCTGAGGCCACCTCTTCTTCTGGACCTCGCAAGCTGAAGACCATGCCCAGAGAGAGTCCTTTGGTCCGCTTGGTCCTCAGTCTCTCTCTGCCTCTCCTCCCGATTTCCTCCAGGCCTCCCTCTCCTCCCCACCCCCTTATCCTGGCCCAGCCCAGACCTGGCTCTCGTTCAAATTGCAAGCCCAGCTGCAGATGTGCTGCATGGGACGGTAGGGTGGGAGGAAGAAGGGGGGGCCAGGCTCAGCCTACCCCACCCCTGCGGGACAGAGACCCCCAACACCTCCCTCCTCCTCTCTCCTTTGCCTGGGCAGCACGGGAGCCCTTGCCGAAACATACCACCCCCTTCCAAATGTAGGGAGGCTTCCCCCCCCCGATTCCTTTGCAGGAATGTGCAAGATGTGGAGGGCAGACACAACATGTGGGGAGGGGGGAGGGGGGGAGGAAAGACCCTCCCCTTCCCCAGCGCAGATTCTTTGAGAGAGAGAGGCCTGGGGTGGAGAATTGCAGGAGGCCAAGGAAAATAGAGAGAGGAAAGAGGGGAAAGGTTAACTGCGTCTCATATATAGCCCGCCTTTCAAGATCTGTTTTCTTTTCCTTTTTTTTTTTTGAGGGGGGTTTGCAAACGTGCATAGGAAGCAACAGATGAGACCGCAGAGAGCATCTTCTGCATCACCTAGCCAGAGACTTATCACCTAGCCCATGGGCTATGGAGGGTTACTAAGCACAATGGCTAGTCGGAGGCAGGAACGCTTTTGAATCCCAGTTGCTGGAAATTGCAGGAGCGGAGAGGGTAATAATAATAATAATAATAATTTATTATTTATACCCCACCCATCTGGCTGGGTTTCCCCAGCTACTCTGGGCAGCACCCAATAGAATATTAAAGGTAAAGGTAAAGGGACCCCTGACCATTAGGTCCAGTCGTGACCGACTCTGGGGTTGCGGCGCTCATCTCGTTTACTGGCCAAGGGAGCCAGCGCCAGCTTTTGGGTCATGTGGCCAGCATGACTAAGCCACTTCTGGCGAACCAGAGCAGCATTTACCTTCCCACTGGAGCGGTACCTATTCATCTACTTGCACTTTGACGTGCTTTCGAACTGCTAGGTTGGCAGGAGCAGGGACTGAGAAACAGGAGCTCACACCGTCGCAGGGATTCGAACCGCCGACCTTCTGATCGGCAAGCCCTAGGCTCTGTGGTTTAATCCACAGCGCTACCCGCATCCCAATAGAATATTAAAAACATGATAAAACATCAAACATTAAAAAAACTTCCCTAAACAGGGCTGCCTTCAGATGTCTTCTGAAAATCAGATTGTTTATTTCCTTGACATCTGATGGGAGGGTGTTCCACAGGGCAGGCGCCACCACCAAGAAGGCCCTCTGCCTGGTTCCCTGTAACCTCACTTCTTGCAGTGAGGGAACTGCCAGAAGCTGGACCTCAGTGTCCGGGCTGGACAATGGGGATGGAGATGCTCTTTCAGGTATACTGGACCGATGGCTTTAGCAGAGGATTGGCTAAATCAGTGGAGGCTTTGATGGCTACTAGCCAGGATGCCACTGTCAGAAGCAGTTTGCTGGAACCCACAGAAGGGGAGAGTTGCTGCTGAACTCAAGTTCTGCTTACAGGCTGTCCGTCGGGGCATCTGATTGGCCCCTGTGAGACCAGGATGCCGGACCAGATGGGGAACCCCCTTTGGCCTGATCCTGCAAGCTTCTTCTTCTGTTCTTACAGGGCTGAAACAAAATAGTTGAAGAGAAGCATTGTTTGCCCCATGGTGTGTATATGAACTCCTATGTTTTGTTCCATTGTCACATCTGGCCAAACAGATTCGGCAGACTTTCAGGACAAGGCTGGAACTTATAGTACCTGTTTACCAAAGGTGAAAGTGAGATCACTGTGTTAAGGATGGGCAAATCTGTCAAGTTTTTTCTCTCTCAGTTCATAGTTTTCTCAGTTCTCCACATGTGCATTTTTTTTTTAAAAGTCTGTGTGCGAATTCTGAATTTTTGGATGCTGTTTTAACTAATATACATGCCTTTTACAAGCACTGTCCCACAATGGAATGCATTTCTGTCTGTTATTTTCACTCATATAGGCATTATCTATGCACACCCCTTAATACATCTGTGTTTTTGTCCATTAGCGAACGGCATCACAAAATTCCGAGATGTGCGAATTTTGTTCACGTCTCAATCTAAGATGTAAGAAGGAGGTAGTTTTTCATAAAAAATACAAACAAAGATCAGTTTGCTGCAAGGCACTCTATGTGGGCCTGCTTTGGTGCAGAATGCTGCAGTCAGCTTGCTGACAGGAGCATCCGAACCAAGATCATGTGATAGCATTATGATAACAGTTGCGTTGGCTGCCCACTTACGACCAATCCAGGTTGAAGCTCCTGTTTGTCCATGGAATGAATGACCTTCGAACGTGGTGGGACCCCCTCCCCCATTCACTGGAAGTCCTCTGGTTCTATGATTCTAGGACAGATTCTAGTGGCATGCTTCCAAGAGAGCAAAACGTTGAGGTCATCATGTCACGAAAGACTCAACAGATTGGGAGAGCGTTTCATCAGGGCTTCCAAGAAAGCCACTTCTGCCCTGCAGAGGAGGTGGGATTGCAGGCATCACGGCCCAAACCCCCGCGCAATTGGGGGAATCCCTGGCCGCGTCACACCCTGGCCAGCCAATCGTCTGGCTTTGGGGGCATGGCCTGCCCAATTTAAACGCAGGCGTGGCCAGGGATCTCCCTCTTTTCCCGCCTACCAGCTGTTCTTGTTTTTCCCACCCTCCCGCCCTATAAGGTTTTCATTCCTTGACCTTGCTATGGACCTCAGTTGGTCGCCGTTGAGGGGCCTGGTAGGAATTTTTCCACTTGGCAAATTGGCACCAGCCACTTGGTTTTCGCCTACCTCGTAGCAAATCATCACAACTTTCTGGGTCTGGCGGTGGTATTGCTCTGTAGATGGAAGATGGGAGGAAGCGCCATCACCTGCCCCGCATATTGAAGGGTAGTCCGGTAAAGGATTCCGGGGGCGTGGCCCTGGCCAAAGCCTATGGAGGTGAGGGCCTAAGGCACACCCCATATCAGTGACCCCGGGGGAGTTCCTAGTTGATGTGCATCAGCAGGACTCCCCCTACTGGTGGTTAACCCTTCCCGGTCTTCAAGCGGACGGGCTGAAGTCGGATATAGACAGTTAGGACCAATGCCTAAGCCAATACCGCTCATCACCTGTAACCAATAAAGTTGTGGCCTTATTTAGCCCATTAACCTTAATAATTGTGTCATGTGTCTTTATTTCCACTGGGGGGGGCAGGAACCCGCCACGCAAGCACCACCCAATGGAGACGGCCGGCCTCACACCCTCGAGGTCCTTCCTGACTCGTTCCGAGTTACGTTCTAGATCCTGACCTTCCCGCAGGGTCAGGCCTCCACCGGCACGCCTGAATTCCCAGGGTGGTGGCTGCCCTCCGGGACACTGCTTATCACTCACCTCACTGCCCCGCCTCGTCCAGGGGCATGTTTTTGTCTGAAAATGTCCGTGGCTATTTGTTGTTAAAAAGAGAGAGAGCGAGAGCCAAATCGTGGACTGCAGACCGAACACACCCTGCTTGGGAAGGGCTGGTTTGCTTCCTGCTGCACAATAGAGGCCGTGTTACTAAATCCCCTCTGAAAGGTCTTTTGCCAGGTCCTAGAATAAATAACCCAAGTGGGACAAGGTCATTGTAAAGACCGACTTGTGGGTGTGGCCTTTGGGCGGCCTCCCCTAGGTGTCCCGTGACTCAGGAATGCTCCCTTGGAGGAGAACATGCACTCAGACAGAACCCTTTGCAGTGTGATGCCTGGGACTCGGGCTTGGACTCGGAACCAGAGGAGTCTCAATCCGCACCGGATCCTTTGCCCCAGGCATCATCTGAACCAAGTCTGGGTCCTGATCCCGAAGAGCCCCAGTCTGCACAGGTTCCCCTGCAACAAACATTAGCTGGGCCGAGTCAGGGGCCTGATCCTGCCCTGGCTCCAGATGCGGGGATGACCTCGTTGCCTCCAGCTGGGCCATCACTTACAGCTGCTCCACTACCAGTTGGGTCAGGAGAGACTGAGGCGGCCCCAGGGTCTAGTAACCCACTGATGTCTCCCGAGCTGCAGAGACTAAGGTCTGAGAGAAGGAGAGACCTGAGTATTTGCAGGAGGAGTGCTCGCCTTCGGACGAAACAGGGAGGTGAGTTGCCAGGGGATCAGGAACGGCCGCTACCCTGACAAAGATAAAAGGCTGTCGGACTCTGCCCCAGGTTGCGGGAGCAACATTGCTGTATGCTGGACCCTGTGCCTGACCTAGCCTGGTTTCCTGCCTTGTGTCCTTCCTTGGCCCAGTCGGACTGACTCCTAGCGGAACCTCCAGATTCTGGACTGGTCCTGGACCGCATTTCACAGGTTATCCCCGGGCCCAGCACATGCAGAAGCTCAGGGAGGAATAGACGCGTTAATTTGGTATCATTCACCCTCTTCAAGAAACTGTGGGGCAGAACTGGATTACCCCACAGGTAGACTAAGCCTGTGGCTTGATTCTACGAAAGGCTACATGGGGAGACACAAAGCCTCAAACTCTGGGGTGGGGCAGGGGTCCTACCAGGCAAATGGCAGCCCGGATATGCAAGGGGTTGGACTAGATGACCCTTGTGGTCCCTTCCAACCCTAAAATCCTGTACTCTGCCAGAGAAAAGCATGCCCACTCTAGGTAGAGATTTCCAGGTGATGCAGACTGCCGTGTCCTGAACGAGGCTGCCAACTCCTCTGCAGGGCTTATTGGCTGCTGAGTACGAATCAGGCTAATCAGTAAATCCTTATTAGTGTTGATTTGTGCTTTAATTGCACATAAAATGCCCAGGCACTCCCTGCTCCCCCGTCTCTTCCTCTCAGTCTCTCTCTTGCCTGTTATGTCTTTGTCTTCTCCTTGTCTCCCTTCTGAGCACAGTAACAGGCCTGGGATTATTGCAATCTACGCGACGCCGAAAAGCTTTTAGCCGGGCCTGTCTCCTTGCCATCTTGGTGTTATGCTTTAATAGCTCCTTAATGTTTTGACTGAGCGGTTTAATTCCAAGGCTCCCTGTTCCAGCCGCGCT